GGTGAGAGCGAGTGCGTCGTTTATGTCGAGGATGATATCCTCGATCGGATCAATTGGTGAAGACGAAGCAGAGGAGTCTTGATACAACTCAGTGATCTGTTCGACCGTTCCTTCCACGTCTGGAGTACGGGCTTCGGTAGGGACGGGGAGGACGGGGAGCGGTTTGTTGAGAGCTGCGAGGAAATCTCTCTGGTGTCTGCGGTCCGCTTCTGATACCCACTCTTCTGAGAGCTGTTGGGAGGTAGACACGATGGAGGTACACGACGTCGCTGACGAGTCCGGTTTGTAGGTACCTGATGATGGCAAAGAACGCAAAGAATTGGACGAGAGCGGTGATGGTAGAGAAGGCGTCCAGTTTGAGAAGACTGAACGACAATAGGTGTAATGGGGTGGATAGTGAGAGGTCGATGACGATAGTGAGGAGAGGGATAGGGATGGTAGAGAGGTGGAGAAGGTGATGATGAAGGTTTAGACCGGTGCAGTGGCAACGACAGTCTTTTTCAGGGTGTAAGGAAACGGTTTTCCAAAGAGGGGCTCTGGAAAAGGATTCGAGGTAGGTGAGTTCAATATTTTGTCAGGCAACAAATACGAAGCTATATAACAAAGCTCAATATCTGGTCAAGTCCTTCCTTGAAGGCGGTGAATCAGAGTATGAGAATGAAGAGTATCGGTAAGAGCGCAAATCCAAACTAATATTGAACTGGAGAACAATACATCAAGTATGTACTTCTCTATATAGTGAACGACGATGGTCAGACCGAGAAAGGGAAGTACTGAGAAAGTGGTCTGACCAGCTAGCTAACCAATAAGAAAAAAGAAGAAAGTGGTCCGATCTATCGTCTTTACTAATCGTATGAGAAAGTGTATTGGTAAGGGATGTACGATTGGCTGTATCAGTAAGCCCATGAGAAGGCGCTGACTCACAACCTTCTTCGCTTATCAATATTCCTCCGAAGTATCCCCAGACATAGCACTGGATCGTGACTATGTCATCTGGATATCTTCTCGAGGGTCGACAACGAGTCTACCTCGTTGTAGGTACGATAGAACGTGAGTGTGAAGAGAGAATAAGAAGAAAAATGATAAAAGTAATAGGACACCTGCTGTAATCTCTAGTCCAAGGGCGAGAGGAGTGACGGGGATTGAGTCTGCTAACCACGACATGACGGGAATGCGATAAGAAAAATCGATTCCTCACAGTCTAGACTGTAAAACGTACCCACTTAACCGCGACGAACAAATTCATCTTGACAAATTCTTGAAAGAGAACCTAGAAACAGGGAGGATTAGAGTATCGAAATCCCCTTACGCATCCCCGTTCTTCTTTATCAAGAAAAAAGACGGATCTCTCAGACCGGTACAAGACTATCGGAAACTCAATGCTCTCACGATCAAAAACCGATATACGTTACCCCTCATTTCAGAATTGATAAACCGGCTCAAGGGTGCTAGATTCTTCACCAAGCTGGATGTCCATTGGGGATATAATAATGTTCGAATCAAAGAAGGAGATGAGCACAAGGCCGCCTTCAGAACTAATAGAGGACTGTTCGAACCTCTGGTTATGTTCTTCGGACTCACAAACTCCCCAGCCACCTTTCAGACAATGATGGACCGACTTCTCCGAGACCTAATCAACGAAGGATCCGTTATCGTATACCTCAATGACATCATGATATTCACCGACTCATTAGAAGAACATAGGAAGATTGTATCCAAAGTTCTTCAGATACTCGCAGACAATCAATTATATCTCAAGCCAGAGAAATGCAAGTTCGAGAAGAAAGAAGTCGAATATCTGGGAATGATCATCTCCCATGATACGATTCGCATGGACCCGCTAAAAGTACAAGCAGTCGCAGAATGGCCGATACCACGAACCAAGAAGGAGTTACAGTTGTTCCTAGGGTTTTCGAACTTTTACAGACGATTCATCAGGGACTATGGAAAAATTGCCAAACCACTGACGATTCTCACCGGAAAGGTAGACTGGGAGTGGGCTGAAGACCAACAACAAGCGTTCAACATTCTCAAAAAAACAATCACCACCTCGCCCACACTCGCAATCCCTAACGATGAAGATCCGTTCAAAGTTGAATGTGATGCCTCCAACTACGCCACAGGAGCGTTGTTATCCCAACAGCAAGAAGGGAAATGGAGACCGGTCGCATTCCTGTCAAAATCGATGAACCCTGCAGAGAGAAATTACGCTATCTGGGATAAAGAGATGTTAGCGGTAATGCATGCGTTAGAAGAATGGCGACACCTCCTTATGGGAGCTAAACACCAGTTCACCATATTCACCGACCATCAGAACCTCACCTATTTCCGAGACCCCCAGAAAGTAAACAGACGACAAGCTAGGTGGATGGACACGCTAGCGAGATACGATTTCAAGTTAGAGCATGTGAAAGGCTCAGCAAACACGAAAGCGGACCTACTTAGTCGAAGAGTAGACCATCCGAGAGGCGAGAGAGACAATGAAGGACAGGTCCTTCTACCTCAGCTCGCGGAAGCAAACATTTATACTATGGAGGACGTGTTAAAAGAACACTACCTGGACGAGCTGCTAGCTTCGCAGCACAAACTAGATGATTACGTTGTAAAGAAGTTGAAAGACGATCCAAAGATTTGGAAGAAACGAGACGGAATCATCTGGATAGGAAACGAGAAAGAAGACGAATTGACATTAGGGTCATTCAAAAACAACATCTACGTACCCAAAGACCCAAAGTTGAGGGCACGTATTATCGAAGAAGAACACGACACCAGCCTCAGTGGACATCCAGGATGCGAGATATGCCAGAGAACAAAGTCACATCGTCAGAAGCCGCATGCTCCCCTCCATCCAAATCCGATCCCTGATCGACCCTGGCAGATAATCACAACAGATCTTATCGGAGCATTACCTGAGTCAAACGGATACGACGCTATCCAGGTTTTTGTTGACAGATTCTCGAAAATGGCTCACTTTGTACCCACGCACGTCACTCTTGATTCGTTAGGCTACGCCAAACAACTACGGGATTCAGTTATACGACTACATGGTATCCCAGAAAAGATCATCTCAGATAGGGGACCTCAATTCATGTCGAATTTCACCAAAGATTTCTATCAAACCCTTGGAATTGAACCCGGTTTGTCAACAGGTTACCACCCCCAAACTGATGGGCAATCCGAACGAATCAACCAGGACCTGGAACACTACCTACGCACATTCATTAATCACCGACAAGACGACTGGGCTGATTGGCTAGCGATTGCCGAATTTACATACAACAATCATCTTCACTCCGCGACCAATCAGACCCCCTTCTTCGTAAATTATGGTTCTCACCCTCGTAAAGGAACCGGTCAGAAGCCTTCCGGGCGTTCGCAAGCTGCCGAAGATTTCGCAACCTCTATGACGAAATTACACGAGCAAACTCGGCAATCACTATTGCTTGCTAATCAAAACCTCAAAAAGTACTATGACCGAAAACGCACTGAAGCACGGGAATATCACAAAGGGGATAAGGTGTGGTTAGAAGGAACTCATATTTCCACCGATCGACCGATGAAGAAATTAGATGACAAGCGATTTGGCCCATTTACGGTAAAAGCAAAAGTCGGCCCATCCGCTTATCTTCTAGACGTCCCTAGATCCTGGAAAGCGATCCACCCGGTATTCAACGAAATCCTATTATCACCGTATCACACGCCGGAGTTCCCCAATCAACCTCGTACCTCGAAACCTCCGCCGATCCAAGTTGATGGCGCAGTCGAATACGAAGCCGAAGAAATCATCGCTTCTCGACCCACTAAACTCAAAGGGGCTAAGCTCGATTACTTCGTCCATTGGAAGGGATACCCGATCACAGAAAGGACATGGGAACCCGATCATCATTTGAAAAATTCCCCCTCGCTTATTGCCACCTTCCACCGCAAACACCCTGCCGCCCCGCGCGTCATCGCCTCCGCCGCTTTACGATTTCGCCCTTACGAAAATTTCACTACTACAACCGAAAAACCCCGCCTCTTCGACTGGATCACAAACCGCTTCACGAACTGCGGCGCTAAGATTCTTGGGACAAGAATATAAAAGGGGGGGGTAATGTAAGGACCATTTCATTATTTTCCTATCCTTGCTATGTCTTGGTTATCGAACGCTTTTCCCGTTACACCTCTGGCTCTAGGGCTAGAGGTATCCTTTGCCGTTTTTGCTTCTCATAGCCCTCACAGGCTTTCTTAACCATCACTACCATTTTATATCACAGATCAGAGACTGGGTATCACTCCCAGCCAGCCAGCACACTGGGTAGGGACTGGTAGTAGGCATCTTGCCAACCAGCTCCAAGCCCCAGTAAAGCCTGGTAATACTAATAACGCCTTATCTAGGATCGTACCTCATCATGAGGATACGGTTCCTGAACACGCATGACAATTCTCTATTATTAGTATAAGTCTCTCACCTGCTGATTAATTCAAGTCAAAAGTCGTACGATAGTTACTCTCCTTTTTCCTATTGGTTGATTAATTCCTCAGACCACTTTTCGTATATTCTCCTTTTGGTCTGAGGAACAGACAGTTCCCTATATAAAGCTGTACCTATTCATGTATGGCTCCTTAGTTTTCTATTACTGAATTTACCCGCTTTACTCCTCAACAAGAACCTTTGAAGCTTACCTCTCAAAGTCCTCTACTCGCTATATTTGCTAGCGTCTGTCGACCTCAAGCTCATTGAACCCTTACTCCCTGCAAGTGCAGAAGGAGATAGGTTTAGTTTTTGTTATAGTTTATTGTTGCCTCACAAGCACCACTTTTCACTACGTCAAAGGGTCCAATGGATCAGGTAGGAAGTGCTGCATAGATTGCCATGAGCATTACCTCCGTAAGCGTGCAGCTAGTCAACAACAGACTGAGGGAAACACAGGCCCACTCACAATTGGCGAGTGATCAGTTTCTTCTATTTGTATGATGTCACTAATGCGGGACTTTTTCATTTAGAGTTTTCAGCCATTATGGGTCAGATTCTTGATGGTGATGCCAGAAAAGAACTCATCCGAGCTTCTTCTGCGGCACAATGTGGCGGTAGGAAATTTTCATTTTTTCCCATGCACCATGAGCTGGGCTGACTGGTTATTCTACCTATCAGAGGATTTATTGCCTACTCAGCATTTAGATGCCCCCTCCACCTCCTACCAGTTGTTCTTTGTCAGTTACATACTCCCGCCCTTTAACTGGCTATACATCAAGTCATGCAAACTATACTCACCACCGCAACAAGATGATGGCCTCGACAAATTCACCTCAGCATCAAGTAACAATCCGTGTGGTGTTGCATCATTTGAAGGTTGAGGGTAAGTCTGGAACGGAGTTAGTAGGAGTACGTGTCATGTTTTCCTAACCTCCAACTTCCCTAATCTGACACTTTGTTTTTATGCTGGTTACAGAACATTGAACGGGATATATCTGTCCCTTTGTCCATCACTGCATGCCAGCTACGTTTGACTATTATTGACAACCTACAGCTTCTATGGTCAGATTGGTTGGTCGGTTATGATTTATCACTGGAATCTCTTGAAATGCACAAAGCGCCAAAATTACTGATTTATGACCCCCACCTGCCTTTCAACAGCACAGAAAAACTTGTTCTCCACAACTTCTTCTTTCATATATCAGGTAAAGATCCCACCCCAAGGTTTGCCCCAAATCTGAAGGTATCAATTATCTTGGTGATGACAAATGCCCAATTCGAGGACATTTTGTCATGGAAATCGGAGTGTAAGCGGGGCCCAGGTGCCCATGGGCAACAAGTGTCTGATGGAGCAGACACGGACTTGGAAGAAGCGGAACAGTCAGGTGTTTATGATCCGATGGATGAGGTACATTTGTTTTATTGTATTTTTTCACTATTTTTTTCATGTTCTATTCTATAGGTATTTCGTGCCGCTACAACATTTGGCCAGAAACGTTGCATTGCCCAGGCTTGTGGAGGCTCAAGTGCTCGTGGAGAATCTAGCTCAAACTCATCATCCCAAAGTAGGTCATCCAGCATCCCACTCTCAGGTTCGTAACATTTTTTTTTCGTTTTTATTACCATGCCTAATTAATATTTAAATAAACTCTACTGTAAGGCCTCAACAAGTATTCCGTCCAGTTCATCAAGAGATTGTGAAATCAACAACACTTACATATCCGTGGTAAATGAAAATTGATGCCAATGATACAAACTAATCTTAACCACTTTGTAGCGTTGCTCGGCTTCACCACGGACATGTTCAGCACTGGCCCCACTCTTTTCAAGTGTAAGCCCTGTAACTATCACTAACTCTCTACTTTCGGAGAATCAAACTGGTGATGCCGAAGTCCGGATTGAATAGAGTTTTCAACTGTAACCATCCGACCACTATACCTAATCTAGTCCTGCTAGTAAATACCCATCGGAGAAATTCCTGCACGCAGCAGAGAAAGGTACATACACCCTCGCGACCGCCTTCTGAATCAGCTGCGTCCAGATAGTCCTTCAAGTTTTTTTTCCGTCTGTGTTATGTTCGTCACTTTCACTATCATAGGTTCAGAATGCGTTTATGAGCGACTTCGCAATTCTAAGCTAAGGACGGGAATAGCACTATGAAGACGGTCGCAGAACCCACCTAAGTCTTGCTCAGCTCAAAGAGCACGAGCAAACATACAATGATGCAAAGTTTGGAAGGGAACAGTACCGTGGCATGAAGGACCAGTGTCTCGCACATGTGTCGTGCATACAGCTCCCTTAAGTTGAGCTGGTTTGTCAATAATCCTTCCCATACACGACTGCAGAAGCAAAGAAAATATCCCACTGGAAACGTCAGACTAGTTTGAATCACCGTGACCATACACTCCAAGTTGGTTATCTGGGATGCATGATATGCTAGAACAAAGTTCTACCGTTCAAATTTCACCGAGAAACCTGAGCCTGTGTTGCGAGAGTGGTGAGATGAGGATTGAACACAGTTCATAATTGTTTCCTATGAGGTTGGTGCGGATACTAGTATCAAACTCTGAATTTCGAAAAACAACATTATCGTGGTCACGTGACATCCCGCCTTGTGTTTGGTTTGCACTGAAGTTGTAGCACGACCCTTTTTGCCAGTAGTACCCCTCGAACCTGAAGTCGAGCAAAAATGTCTAACACCATAGCATTGTTGGTTTTTGTAGCTCATACCTTAGTTCAAAACTGATAATGCCACCAGGTACCCCTTATCGAATTTCACGTTCAGGTGTGTGGCTTTTCACCCGCGTCTTGCTGCATTGTTTACTACATCTCCCGATTCCGTTTTTTGTATTGACTTGGAATATCCAGTACAAAGGAAGCCCAACCAGAGGAAGATCCTTCTGTGTCCGCTCGTCTCCAGCGTCTCCAGAATAACTATGAAGACTTCGGTATGCGACGTACTGTGGAAGGTATCCTCGTCGTGCATGACCACGGACACCCACACATCCTCATGCTTCAAATTGCCAACGCATTCTTCAAACTGTACGTTCTTATAACATTTATCTTACTGAAGCTCATGCAGTGTATCGTCATTATGGGGGGTGTCATACAGACCAGGGGATTATCTTAAACCCGGAGAAGACGAAATAGATGGTCTCAAGCGCAGGCTTGACGATCGACTTGCTCCACCAACAGAATCGCGCCAGTTTAATGCTTCCCACGGCGTCGATAACGAATGGGAGATTGGAGATTGCTTGGCACAGTGGTGGAGACCGAACTTTGAGACTTTTATGGTGAGTTCGTCTTCCGAACCGTATCAAATTTAAACTGACAATTGGTCCCTATCATCATGTTTATCCGCTGCAGTATCCCTTCGTTCCCGCACATATCACTAAACCAAAAGAATGTAAGAAGCTTTTCCTGGTGCAGATGCCTGAACGAAGTACGTCTTCTCATCCAACCAATTCATTCCCTCTTCGTCTATATGCTGAACATCTTGCCTTGCCTGTGCATCACAATGACGTCATTTCCACTCTTTTCTGATATCCACCCTCCTTACGGCTTTACCTTGTAAATTTGGTTTACTCAGAGGTTTTGGCTGTTCCAAAAAACATGAAACTCCTGGCTATCCCACTGTTTGAACTATATGACAATGCAGCTCGGTTCGTCCCTCCCTCCCTTCGCCCCTTATTTCCCATAATTTCCCGTAAATATGTAATTACGAACGCTCAGTCTATAAACAACCCTCATTTCCATTCACTCATTTTGTGGTGCCTGTGGACCTTCAGCCTTGTATTGCGTTCATCAATTTCCCATAATGTCCGTCTAGTTTTCACTCAATCAGGCAACTAACTCTTCTTATTTTCAATGGCAGGTACGGCCCTCAGCTCTCCGCTATCCCTCACTTGCTCTCCAGGTAAGTTTTGTGTTATCATCTGTATAGTTGTTGTAGGATTTCGACCCATTGGTCGTAAATCGGGCTCTGGATCACTATGTTCCTTTCGTTCCAGCTCTTCAGTCTGACTAGCTTGGACTATGATGGGTCATTTATTTTGCTTCTGCGAAATGAATGATCTCATTTTATTTTACCTTCCGCCACCATATTATTCTCATAATATTAGTCCTCCCTCATCACTTTTCCTTATACCCTGTTTTGACAACATGCTCACTCAACTTCCAACTCTCTCCTCGCATCCCTGCAGGTACAACTTCATTTATCAGTGATTCTTTGTTGGAGGCCGCGGGAAAAGCTTGAGAAACGATAGAAGACGCAAGAAGAAACAATAGTGGCAGTACAATGAGAGCCCCAGGACTAGTCACAATACCACATTACAATTCAGCAAAACGAAAAGTATCAAGCTCAACATAAAATCACGGCGAGGAGCATGTACAACGCCGCCAACGTGTACTCGGATTGTTATCACCACTTTCAAAGTTACTACCGCACCAATTTTAGGCAATTTGCACTTCAGATGTCTTTAGCTTTTCTCTCGCTTCCCTTTGAATTCGATTGGTAGAATTAATAGCCCCTGTTTTCGATGTTGTTAACTGAATGTAATAATGTTGCATCGCTGTGCTGCTTCCATGCTGATTCAGCGAGGCCATCGCTAAAGCTGATGCGCTGACGTCTTTGCCTTACCTTGTTGCTTGTCACTCATTCGATTTCCGTTCCAGTTACCAACCCAAAATAGGTTCTCTGACCATCATGATCGCCTGCCAAATTGAAATACATCAGAAAATCAGGGTGATTGGATGATAGCACAAGAATGACTTTGTTGCAGTAAGTAAAAGTCAGTGTATGCATGTATGTCATATTTTACAATGCAATGTTGGTATGTACGAACCATGTATGTACGTCGGGACATCAGTCATTAATAAATCTTCTTCTCTCATCATCAACGTGTATGTCATACGCTGACGTGGTGTGCATTAACACCTAAAAGATTAGAAACCTACACGGACGCGTCATTATTCATTCTCAAGTTTACCACGACATTGGTGGCTTACCACAAGTAGAATCAGCACGAGCACATTGCACCATCGTTTCTTGCGACTGTTTCTGGGCTGCCAAGTTGATAGTTCCCGGCATACCGTCACCGTCTTGTCCTCCGCTCGTTCTAGCACTTGCAATAGGGGGTCCACGTCCACCCTCGACGGGAGCCCATAGCTCCGGGGTCTCTAAAATCCTTCCAACAACGTCTTGGAACGCAGAGCGGACGCCCACTGAAGTCTTCGCACTTGCCTCGACGAAGAGAGCTCCACTTCGTATAGCATATGCAGAACCTTCGGAAGTAGGAACTTGGCGAGATTGCTCCTAGAGTAGCCGCAAAGTAAGTGGTAATGTCAGTAATAGTACAGAATGCGTGAAGGCAGTACGGTGATCAGCATATATATTAGAGCGCATATATAAATGATAACTCACCTTATCCACCTTATTACCTACTATGATCCTGACAACAGTATCTGGGACGTATGTCTCAAGCTCGGAGAACCATTTCGGAAGAGCTTCAAAGGATTCACGGTTGGCTACGTCGTAAACTAAATAGTCATTATACATGGTGGTTAGTACCAGTATGGAAACGGCGCAAAAACGAGATGAGAAATGACTATGTGCAAGATATTAAAAATAGTTTACGAATGGAATGACCATAGTAATATAGCAGAAAAATATTAAAAAAATGTAGAAACGTACCAAGTATAATTCCTTGAGCACCACGATAGTAAGAAGACGTTATTCCTCGGAAACGTTCCTGCCCTGCAGTGTCCTTTGAGTGATGATGTCAGCGCCGCTGAAATAAAGTAGTAATAAAAACAAAGAATACTGACCCATATACTAAGTTTAACTTTGCGACCATTCACCTCCATCTTGTGAACCTATGAAATCGGACAGAGCCAGAATTAGTATGAAGATCGTGACAAAATGTCTACAGCTACTTTTACAATCAACCACTTTCCATTGGGGTTGGAGTTGTTTATGCGAACAAAACACGAGAGCAGTGGCTATTACCCTTATCGCTCTTACAATGGCTCCAGTCAGTGCAAGGCTTGAAGCTAAAGTGCCTCCCACACCTCAGGTTCACTGAAGGATAACAAATGTAGAAGTTAATAAATGATTCCCACTCACTCTAAAGTCAACACCAATAGTCGCACTGGCCTCGTCCTCAGGAAGCCACTGCTCATCCGAAAATCGAAGTAGCAGGCTACTTTTGCCTACAGACGCATTCCCGATAAGCAGAAGCTTTACGTTCACTGTCGGAGACGAGGTTGATGTGGCTTTGGAAGTGGACGTTGGAGGCATGTTGGATGGTGGTTGTGCGTGCTGGGGAGCACCAGCCTGAGGCAGGCAGCACGGTTGGGGTCAATGACGGCAGCTGGCGTGGCCGGACAAGCGGACCGGTGAGTTAGTTTCATACCGTGACTAAGCGAAACGGCTTTTCACTTTGAAGTTCACTGGCAAGTTATCAGCTGGGCTGCAAACGGCTGATCATACAAACATCCTTGGACATCGCTATCAAAACATACAAGTACTGAAAGCGACAATGAAGGACTTGTTATCCGTACAAAAATCTGCGACTCTATGTGACAGATTTGATGTCGTCAATCGGGACAAAGTCCTCGCTCTCTTGTGCCCATCTTCTCCAAGATTGCCTCCAATATTCGAGTCTTCAAGCTTCAGGCCGACAAAGGGGCAATGTGTTCATGCCCAATACCACTGGTTCTAAATGCAGTCCTTATTCTTTGCATAGCCTCTGCCACAGCTATTCCGCTCTCCATAGTAATCAAAGTCCCATGCTGCTCAATCCCCCCCTCCTCGGTATCGTGATATGGTCCATACAGGCCCGTCGGATACAACCAAAACATAACACCGCACGTCGTCTTTCCCGATGCGTCCACTCTTCCTCGGTTGGTGATGTATCTCTCAACTGCTTCGAAATCATCTGAGTTAGATATTTCGTCCAGATCGCCTACTGTGAGCAATGAGCATAAAAGCTCCTGATTGGCGGTTCCGGTAGTCTGGGCAGCGCTGAATGGCCATCGTCTCTGAGTAGCTGAGTTCTGTGTCGTCGACATTTAGATCTGTCTACGGCGTCAGTGTCTGGAACAAGTCTCAAATACAAAATATCTCTCACTGAAAGGATAATCCTATAGATGGGGCTAGTGTTCGTTGGTGGCCTGCAAAGCGAAGCTTTATACGTCTATCACACTTCGTTTCGGGATTTGGCGCTTCTTCGGACCTGAGTCACGCAAGACTGGCACTGGCTGTACAGTGGGGTAAGTACAGACACCCCATCACAGGAATCCTGTGCAATCCGCCACGCTGATCACCGAGTCCATCTCCACTTAATGTTTAACATTCTCAAAGCTACTCCTGATTCCAGATTATAACATATTGCCACCTATCCCCATTCAATCCTTCATCGACCACTGCGGAGAACTTCATCCGTTTATGCTCTCATAATTCAGCGAAGTTGTGTCCAGCCTATGTTACTCGTCATTGTCACTGTATTTATCAATTTCAGATATTCAAATGTTTATGATACAATCAGCTGAGAGAGGGGTAGAAATATCTCATTCAGCGCAACTGCATAAGAAAACCACTTTCGAAATTGAACATTGAAGTAATACATTTGTGATTTTTCACGATGGTAACAGAAGAGTAGGCAACACAACTTATATCTTGGCAGAATGAAAACACGTCCACTATCACTATGCGCACATACTTAATCTACATCACTAAACACTAGCGAAAGGAGGAGGGAGCAGAGCATCAACATTTGATAATTTACGATTATCTGAGATCTAATGTATAGTTTCATACAACATCTACTTGAAGCACTCCCCGTTCTCCATGTTCGCCTGAGTCAAAGGGCGGCCTGAGATACAGTACCCTTCACCGTTGATCAAGCAGTAGTAGGCGCTGCCTCCCCTATTTTTGCAGTTGTGCGACGAAAAGAAACCGATGGATCTGGAGGGATCGCATCTAAAATTGACATATGAAGCCACAAGATTTCAGAGCAGTAAGAAGCAAAATACACATACCCTTTCTTCACATATTGCCCGCCGGTAAGCGTTTCCCCATGGTTTTGGCAGCTAGTCTGAGCAAACGAGACCGGTTCCTATGATAAATGTCAATATTAGATTCCAAGATGGTAGAAACAGTCACTCAACGGTTACAGTGCCATTGGCCTGGTTGTTCGTCGCAGGCATAGCGAGGACAGAGGTGAGGAAGATGGCGCAGACGCAAAGAGATCTGAAAATTTGCATGTTGAAGGGGATGAAAGTGCGATATGAGTACTGAGGAAGTGTAATAATTGCGATGGGTATTTATACTGACGGAACGGAAATCTGAAGAGACGAGACAGCGCATTTGGGATTTCTTCAGCTAGGCTTGGCTCTATGATACGTTTGAACTAATCAAAGAAGTTGTGTCAGACTTAGCCCTTCAACACTCCACACAATTGTCTGACAGCATATATTTGGGGCTTCAAACACAAACATGTCCGGGCTCGACGGTGTAAGTCTATCGTAAGTCACCCTTGAAAGCAACTGAGAAAACAAGGTGGAGATGGAGTGTGATACATGAATTATTTGGGTTCGACGCTTACCGCCTCAAAGAGCCATGTAATTCCTTGCAGTACGCACTCGCCTTAGTTCAAATTCTTGAGCGCTTGAGCAGATCTTCTTGCCACACACCGGTAGGGGTTCTTAGTGGATTACAAGGTGTGGTAGTTGTGGCACTGGAATAGCAATATTATCAAACCTCAGATTATCGAACTTGTAAGCGTAACACTGAAGTTATGCAAAGATCCTTACCTGAGGAGATCAAGTCAGTGCCCATGGATGCCATGATTTCTTCTAGTACCTCCGATCATGACGCTCCGGTATTGCCAAGCGACAAAAGAAGCAGTCGGTAAGGTCTAAACAACGAATCAACCCCACACATCGCAAACATAGTTGACACTCAGGCTCGAGCCAGAAAACGTTTACAACATGACTTGCTAATGTCGACTCCGATGCTATGCAAAACAAGCTCGTTGATTGATCGCCAAGTATGTTAGCGCTGTTGCTGCTCAGGCTGTGCCGGTAAGCCCTCGCTGTTGTTACATTTATCAACCACAGCTCTTAGTACAGCATTATCGTGACTTCAATGAACTTACCTGCCCGATCCACCCAGAGCTGCAGACTTGAAGCAGCAGCGAGCACCTCGGAAATGACGGTAACGTCTCTGCGATTATCACTAGCAGGATTTTGTACATCATCGGTAGGTAACTTCATCCTTACCTAAAAAGCAACTTTCGTGTGAAGTTCGTGTGAAGTCACCTCTCCTCTCCAAGTCTTGCTCTGAATGCTTTGGTAAAACTGTAACAACAATGCAACAACGTGTGTGATAAGAAATAACGGTATATTCTTCAAATTGAATCTGACCAGGACTTCAGACACGCCCCGCCACGGTCCACGTGTGACTCGACTTCGAGTTGGATATGTGACGTTGATATTTTATGTGCTACTCGCTTGGCGGCCTGGAGATCTGGGAGCCCTGGACCCGAATTTCCTCACATTTAAAAAATTCGAATCCAGCAACGCAAATACTTTGGGGCTGTACGAATGTTATGTTTGAGTACCAGACCTTGGAGGACGACTATATCACTAGTAGATATATGGGTAAGAGGAAATTATGACTCCTAACAACTTTACTCACCTTTACCTCCACACCATTATAAGGACGCTTACTCAATATTTCCCCAACATAGCGCTGGATTTCTTAATTTCAGGTTGACCTTGCCATTGTCACGCACCACTCAAGAAAGCAAAAGTAACTGTAAGTAAAATCATTGCTCACAAATATTACCTACCATACGGTACCATACCAACGCAATATACTATATACTCTTACAAAGTTACCCCCGATAGCATCAACAGAATAGGATGTGGGTTAGAATCATGCGAGATGTGTCCTGACGAAAATAAAGGTATGCATAAACTCTAGGAATCCCGGCAGGGTATGGACATTACGCCAACCCGCGCGTCCCATCTACCATGTCTAGCATCCAAAGAAGCCACAGTCGTCGTCTTCACCATCATCAGGATCTTCTTCGCCACCGTTGCACACAGTAGGGACCTTAAAGCCATCCTCTCGGATTCCTCCACCCCATGGCGTCTTCCCGACCACGGTTGCGTCTACTCCCAATCCTCTCTCTGCGAATCCCTCCCACAACTCGCAGAAGTTCTCGCCTCCGGTGAGGACAGCATCGGCTTGAATTATAGCATCACGAGCGTCGAAGAAGGAAGGGTGGCAATCTTGAAGCTTCATTCCGTTCAAGACAAGCCTGAATATGTAATATGTTAGCTCAATTTGGAAGATCCGGAGAGTAAAAGAGATACGTACTGTACGATCAACGAATTACCATGAATAGGTACCAAGGGCTTCGCTTTTCCGTGTACATCGTACTCTTTGGGCCTATAAAAGTTACCAGTGGGAATCGTTCCATCTTCAAGTGGGGCAGGAGGGAATAAGCTATCGCTATATCCATGCTTGTTGATCAGCTTCTGTGAGACTACCCAGAGCATTTCAGCCCAGACTTCGCCAATAGCATGCACGCCCCAGTAACCAGGCTTGTCGAGAGTCTTGTATGTCGATGGGTTGATCGCCTTATCCTAGAGGCAGGGGTGAGCCATAGAAAAGAAGATGAGGCGGAGAAACTCACGGTAGAATAGATAAAGTTCCTGATACCAGTTGGCCTGTTGGCAGCCCAAGCACCCATGGCATAGTCCGAATAGCTGCTGGTACTCCGGATGGTAGTAGCCAAGAAGTCTCCCCATCCCTCACCCATCCCTCCACTCTCTCCCCACCCGAGACATCCCGAGTTCGCGGGTCCACCAGTCAACCTTGTACTCAAACCATGGCTCAACTCGTGGATGACAATGCCTGCTTCAAGATCTCCGTCTCTGTAGGGATTTGCCGTGTTCCACAAGTACATTCTGCATCGGCCATTCTGACCATCAGGTGGAGTCATGAAGTTGGCATTGTTGTAGCCAGAGCCGTCCTGGGCATTTGCAATAACACCATCATCCTCTTTGCCTCCTCGACCAAAGTTGTGTTGCTGGAAGTTACCAGATACTTCATCAAAGCCATAGCTGTAGTGCGCATAAATTAGACCGCAGAGGAAGGAGGTAGACACAAACATACCGGTAATATAAATCATGCACCATATTAGATGTATAGAATAACTGCGTTACAGTCGCATCGATATATTTCTTTGCTTCATTCAATGCATCCTCGCTGTCGGTCTTCTTTGGGTCATAATCGAAGTCGAATACGGCACCTTCACTAGTGTCCCCCTTCGAGGCAGCTCCTTGTGGACGAAGGTTGTAGACCCATTCATTGCGGCCTTCCCAATTCTCGTGCGCAAAAACCTACCATAACCACCAGTGAATTAGTAACGAGCACCAAAATAGAATGCAGTAAGAAATGTTACGAACATTGTTGCCCCAAGTCGTGTTGGTCTCTCTCCAAAGACTTCCACCCACTTGCCTGATATTATCGCTCTGTGGATCATTCTTATATGGCAAAGTATGCCACCCCACTGGACTTGCCAACTTGTCTCCCAATTCTTGTACAATCGCCCGCTCGCCTTCGCTTGGGTCATTAACCCCCCAAGGGAAGATATTGTAAGATGCAGGGAGTGGACTGGGGGTAGTTGGTGGGATGGGAGCAGTTTGGAAAGAGGGGTGTGGCAGAGGAGAATCAGAAGCCCAATCCACGACAGTAACAATGCGGTGAGGCGCTATAGCTGCCACTGATGCTTCATACCAGTTATCTTGCATCTCGACTTCGAACTGTTAATTCACATCAGTAAAACAGGTGAAAACATCCTACTCGACTATCCGTACCTTCCATACTAGGTCAAGCGCTGTGCTTCCATCTGGCTTCGGTACCTGGACATAAACCATCTTGGCCTTCACAGGCGACACTGCATCAGGGACATTGTCGATGTACTCCATCATAGTCGCATGGTCGCCAACAAAGGAGGACTGGTATGTGACAGTCATGGCATTGATATGCTCGTCATACCGTGACTTGAGGTCAGTTGCAAGTTGGGTATTCGGAGTTGCTGCAATCATGAACTGCATCAGGGCACGACGTGAGTCGCCGAAGAAGCCTTCAGATGCAGGCACAAGAGCATCCGAGAGAGCGAACGAATAAGGAGTTGATACATGCGCACAGTTTGACGAGTGGAGGTGTTTAAGCTCAGAAAGAGATGTCTCGTGTGCAGATGGTGATGAAGAAGGGAAGACTGTCTGTTCTGACGGGTTAAAGAGGGCAGCAACAAGGGTGGAGCGCTGTGAATCTATCTCAGAATTGAGCTGGTCACAATAAGTGACATGAGGGTGGGCAGCTGATTCAGCGTTGCCAAGTGGCGACGGAGCAGGGCCTTGGTAGAACTAAGTCATGTGAATGAGTGAGTGAAAGATAAGAGAATTGGAAATGAAACATACCGAGTTGCCATATGATAGAACGACGCCATCTTTGATGTTGATGTTCATATTGCCGTCAGAGACCTCCATGCCATTTACGATCTGACGAACGTAGATATGTGTTACGCCGGTGTTCTTATCTGTGTAAGAATCATCCCGGATGACCCAGTGCTTGTCGGGGTTCACATTGTCAGCTGCCAAGATATCACTCAAAAAAGAACGAGCAACGACATAGGGGTTAGTGTGAGCCGGGAGTGGAAGGAAGGAGTTGGTCGTGATCTGGTAAGGACTCGAGTTGAATACAGCATGCTCATTAGCGTGGCCAAACCCAAGTGATTTTCTACGACGAGCAACGAACGACTGGTCGTCTGAGCTGCGGAGAGGAGCTGGAGTTGATAGGGCACGGCCGGCAAGGCCTGCGAGAGCGAGGGTGACTGTGAAGAGACGACGCATGGTGTGGCAGCCTCTCTGTGATGGGGGGGGAGAGGGAGAAACAAGGAGGAGGACCGCCCGAGGTGTGTCTTATAAGGACCCGTTGGCGTCAGGGACTTGCGTGTTCTGTATCAGGGCTAGTATTTGGTTATCACCCTTTTATGGTAATAATTCATCCGATTCGTAGATTACCACTACACCCCAGTCACACTCCACGTCACATCTTGTCTGATACTATCTTGTCACACATCACGTGCACTTCACCAGTCTCCCTGCCCGGTGCCAAAACAGAGTCTCTTCGTCGTCCTCAACTGGTTTGCTCCACACTTTCTTTTCAGCCCAACCGCCCGCCCGCTCAATCCAGATGTCAGTTGGTCGGTTCAGCCGACATCCATCGAATGCGAAACCCCACAACGGCGTCCAGAACCGCTGCCACCATGCCACATCTCTACGTCTGCTCAGTACGTGCTCATAAAACAGCATTTGTCCTCCAGGTCTAAGCACATCTTCCACCAGCCCTTTGATCGTCTTCTGCGGGTCAGGGACAGAGCACAGAGTCATTACCGATATAAGTGTGTCCACCGTATGTCGTTCTCCGAGGGCACTCATTATCGCCGTCGTATCTTCCGCACCACACGCGAGCACTATCAGCGAGCCTGCAGACTCACTGTACCCTGCTTTCTCAGCCACCTCCTTTATCTTGCCATGCATATGCCTGTTTGGTTCTACCGCAACGTATCTCGTCACCTTGTCTCGTTGTAGGTAGTTTATAGTGTGTCCATGTCCTGGCAGTCAATCAGACATTTCCTGAAGTAACGTGTGATCCCGACATACCTGCTCCTATATCAAGTACCACGCCGTGTGCATTATCAGTTATGAGTTCCTTCTTAACTGGTCTAGCTCTCTCGTCCACCCCATTTCCAAATGCTGTCCATACATGTGCCATGAATAGATGTGAAACCAAAGTAGGCTGGAGTAGTATGCTAGGACTAAGCCACAATGCTGCGAGAGTAGGCCATAATGCAGACTGGATTGCGAATCGCAGATCGATGAGCAGTCCAATGGACGCTGATAGCTTCATGGCGTCTACAGAGAGTTCGTAGCGTGTCTACTGAATTCGACATCGTCAGGTTATTATGATGTTTTATTATACACGAATATAAGCGCCGGTAACTGGCACTTGTACTGATACCGAGACCCGTGGTCCGAGTTCTCACGGCTATACGCGTCTAAAAAAGTATCGCCAGTCTTCTCTCTCAGCCAACGGGTGCCATCTCGACATCGTTTGACACGACGTTGGCCATCATTACAGACGTCGTCAGCGAACATTTCCCGTCGTGCTGACAGTGAGTATCTATCTTGTAAAGTTTTGTCTCAAACCGACGCTGATGAACTTTGACATTAGACCATGTCATTCCGAACCAGTATATCCCGCACCTTCCGTACGCTTGCCACTGCCATCGTCGTCGCCATCGGTCGTCTCGACAAATCCCTCTCCCCTTCAGACACAATAAATCGCCTCCGTTCTCACAAATACACCTATTCAGATGCAATATATATCTTCCACCTCCTCCTTGCCTCGTTTTGGCTCACCATCATGGAAGTACCACCTTTCCCTTACAAACTCATCATCCCAATCCTTTACTCCATCGCTCTCCTCATACCCTTTACCTGCCAATTCTTCATTCCCGCAACACCCATCTTTGCTTGGGTCCTTTCCTTCTATTCTAACCGTTTCATCCCATCCCCCTACCGTCCATCTGTCCACGTCGCACTTCTCCCAACACTAGAATCGGTTCTCTACGGCGCTAATGTATCAGACATCCTCACCCGATTTACACACCCTCTCCTCGACATCATCGCTTGGATTCCCTACGGCGTCCTCCACTACACCCTCCCATTCGTCGTCGCATTCTTCATCTGGCTCTTCCGATACCCGCTTGTCCTCCGCACATGGGCAAAAACCTTTGGTTATATGAATCTCATTGGCGTACTCACCCAAATCATACTGCCTTGCGCTGCACCATGGTACGAGCTCATATATGGTCTTACTCCAGCATCGTATGCGACCCCAGGCTCAGCAGGCGGCCTGGCACGCATTGACGCCATCTTCCACTCCAATGGATACCAAGCTACATTTGCTTCCTCTCCTCTCGTGTTCGGTGCTTTCCCTTCCCTCCACGCGGCATGGGCTACCCTCGAAGCACTCTTCCTCTCCCACTATTTTCCCCACATGTCGAAAGTAGTATGGATATACGCCGGAGTTCTCTACTGGAGCACCATGTACCTGACGCACCACTACCTCATCGACGTCGTAGGCGGTGCGTGTTTAGCTGTTGCTGCGTTCTATGGATTTTTCCCTGAAGAGCTGAGGGATAAACGTGCGGCTGTGGCGAGACCGTTTAGAGTGGGGAGATCCAAGTATGAAGTATATGATCTCGAAGAAAGGAGAGGAATAGTAGAGGAATTTGAGGAGGAATTCGCGAGTGAAGAGAGTACGAGGTCAGAGGATGGGGAAGAGGATGGGATCACGTTCCGTTCACCCAATGTTGGGAAGCAACTTGACGAACCTAGACATTCCGGCGAGTACACACAACCCAATGGACATTCTCAGGTAAACGGTTATGCTCGCACCAATGGCTCGCATCAACCGAAAGCTAATGGACGTGCAGGTGGAGGCCGGAGTCACAGACACACGGCGAGCATCGTAAGCCTTATCAGGGCTGATGAGAGGATTGAGAATGGGGAGGAGGGGTGGAGTCCTATAGGGAGTGCGGGCTTTGTGTTCCCGCCTGTCCGGGACGAGGGGAGGCGGTAGGAGGAAGTAGGGTGTTTTTGAGCGAAAATTGGGACGAGGGTTTTTTTGCATGAGATCTCGGAGGTGTTATACCCCCTACTCCAAGGTGCTTAATTGATGAGAATCCCTGGGTTCAAGAGCTCATCCTTCCGAACAATCTCTGCTTGCATGAATGGATTATTTTTTATTCGCGCCTTTTCTCACGTCCAACGGAATACCTTTTTCTTTCCTTTTTGTTTCGACCAAGGATTAATGTTTACGCTACAATCACGACCGAGGTAGACGGGATGCTAATTGGCAGTGAGGAAGTAGGCACACACCGTGGATTTTTTGTATTTATTTGGGGTGGTCAGGATAATTCACGACTCAAACTGGATACAGCACGGCGAGTGTCAATGATGTTGAGACGAAGAGAAAGAATGGCATCGAACTCACATCGACAATTTCGCGGACCTGCAAATCGAGTTTCTAGCAGTAGGGACTTTTTATTCTTTTCGCTGTGAGGCTAACCTCTGACTTCTGCGCTTCAGCTGCGTTAGTAGAGTGAATCAGCGAAGGATGCACTCTTCCTGGGATACTTTGAAATTGGTCTATATCCGCTCGAAGTTGGCAGGCTATCGCCGTGAGCTCCATATAGCCGAATCCCGCTCATTCGGTAATGAAGTACTTCAGTAAGCTTCAGTATTTGGATGCATGGTCTTCAAAGATTTTCCTTACCCCAGTGATGTTCTTATCTTTTAACCTGCGCACCATCATCTTGTGGACCTGCTATGACTGCCAAGTTTGACTTTCGTAAGATACTGACCAAGTTGACGCCGAATTTACCATGTTATACCGCAGGTTTAATCTGGACCTTCAATCGTGCCTTTTTTTGCCTTTCGACAAACCTATAAGCAGAACAAGAACAAGAGTGGCGACTCATCTCCCTCGGATATGTGTCAAAATAGTTTTGTCATCCTTTATTTTGTATCATTCTGACACTGGAAGGTGAGTAAGCTCGTACTTGATATGAGGGTTCAGCGACTCACGAGATATCATCAGAATGTACATCTGAAGGAGGCGCACATTAACTATGTGAATCTCCTGTGATTTTGAACTCCTTTATCGGGGGAAACGTACACCGATAATGATACACTAGCGATGAGAACAGGTTGGACGGCCGATGTTTCTCGTGGACGTTGTTTGATGCAATTTGCTTCCGGGTCAGCTATAAAATATATCCCTCACGGATAGATTTTGTTTTTCTTGGTGCCGTAGCGATGTGACTGTCTTCATCCGACTCACGGCTGTTCTTTCTCTTGAGTACGCGGAGTTCAGCATATCAATTGAGGTGTGTCTTTTTCACTGAGATAAAACTTGGGAAATCTCAGTCACGAAGAACGCGCGTTATGTAATGGTCACATGATTGGTCACATGACCATAATTCGTGCATGATGCATGAACCTTGATTGAACCACACTCCTATCAGAAACGTTGAAAGTCGCCCATCTCCTATTCATCACCTCAACTGACTTGTCAGCAATAGCATTCTCTGATATTATTGCTTATTACAGCTTATCCTCCTATATACGAGTTGGTTTGCATCAATTCTGGAAATACTGATCATTCGCAGTAACAGTACGTACTACATCCTTAATTCATCCGCATGGCCGGAAAGCCCCATTCTCATTTTTATTGTTCAGCTCTACCTTTTGTGACGGTTTCGACACTGTATCTCCTTTATTTTTATCTACACTGGGTTTAGACAGATGTCTTCCACATTTAAACCTGCGGACCCCGCCGACTCATCTAGTTCAGCCCCCAAAACCAATGCACCAAATCTCACAGCAAACAACGGAGGTCACACCTCTTCTGTCCCTTTTCCAGGCCCATCGCACTCCCCCAAAAAGTCGCCTCAAATTGATATCGATTTGCATCCGCCCTTCCCTTGGGATTCCCTTAAAGCTGAAAGCCTCCGTGCAGTATGCAGAGACATCGTAGGAGCGAGCGTTGGCGGGACCCACGTTAACGTAGGTGGGAAGAGGGGAGAAATGATTGCTTTCTTGAAGGTCGTCGAGGAACTAGGCAGTATGTGTTTATATCCCTTTATTTACTCTCGCTTCATTTTGGACGCCTTATGTCGTTCTTTGGGAATACTTTCTATTTCCTTGCTCTGAGCTCAAAATCAGGGAGCTGGAATTTCCGTTCTCGTTCTACTGCTGTTCTCACCTACTCTGCATTTGCCTCTGTTCCATCCTTGCCGAAGTAATTGGTGCTAATTCCAGTCATCAGGGGATAAGGCCCTCGAATTGGATTTTCACGATGCAGAGGAACCTTCTGCCACGGAAAGCAATCGTAAACGCAAGCGGACCCTTGGAGAAGGTGACACAGCTGAAGCGAAAACAGCGGAATCAGGAGATGATAAATCTGGGCCAACGACGAGCCCGCGGCGCACGATGAGGACACGCAAGTTATCCACACGAGCGGGCAATACGAACGGTGTTTCAACGCCTGCACAAGAAAGGACAGCAAGAAGAAAGAGTCGTGGTGCGGCGAAATATGTTGTCGATGATAAGGAGGGAAAATCGGAGGGAAAGAGGAGGAAAGGAAAGACCGCTGATGTACCTTCTAAGCGTGGTGGAGGGGTATTCGATGGTGTTTTGTTGACTCCTCGTAAAGTTTCCGGGAACGGTGGTACTCAGAGGGAAGGTGTCAATGCGGTAGAAAAGGATGGGGATGGGGAGCAGCAGCAGGAACAGGAAGAGGAGGGACAGAGGGGAAGTGATGTTGGCCCGGAAGACGCCGGGAGCGATGTTGCAGTAAAAGAAACAAGGCGGGGTGCGTTTTATCTGCCTACTCTCAATGGTGCAAGTGTTGAAGGACACGCTACAGAACCTGTTGTCATCATGGTGGAAAGAACTGTCGAGACAGTTGTAGATCCTGTGATTCCAGGTCCTTCTTCTTCGTTGGCAGGTAATACTTCATAGTCTCACCAACTTCCATCGAGGATTTTGCTAACGTTTTTCTGCGTACAAGGTCTTGACTCCACAAACGTGGAACAACTACCCGAAAACGGAGGTCTATCTAAGGGTATTGCAATCGCTTCTGTGGCTATCCTCTCTAATTCATCTACTGTTGCTATTTCAGACACACTCGTTATCAACACCTCACTTCAAGATGACGAGGAAGAAGACGTTGAAATGGATCTTGGATCGCCTTTTTCGGCCAGTCCTGAAGCGACGGCGATTACATTGGGAAAAAAGGTAGTGCAAGGCGAGGACAGTCAACAAGCCCCGGGAGCTGGCCCTCCTGAAGCGAATAGTTATACGACCATGCAGGCTACAGGGGGGTCATCACTGATAGCTCAGTATGAGAGCTCAGAGGGCTCAGTGAGCTCAGAGCCGGATGAACTGAACCTCACTGTCTTTGCATAAGGATGACGGTATGATTGGTCCAAGAATAAAATAACAATAGTTACTAATGTCAATCTGCTTATCTGATAGAAGTCCTTGCGACTCCCAATCTAGTCTTTTGTATCGCAACAGCAATGTTGATAAGAGTGAGACACTATCTATCACATGGCGCTGGCGTATTGCATGCATCTCAACGTCAAAATATCTTTCATCGTTATATGTTTATGTTCCGAGAGTCATGGTCTTCGCAAAATGGAGCACGCACAGGTGTTGTTTGTTCGGCAAGGTTTCTGGGTCAACCTTCTAATATGGCATGTGATATGTAAAATTTGCTCTACCAAGATAAGCTTCTCTACTGACAGTTCTTGTGCTGCATAACCTGTGTATTACGAAAGTATAATGATGCTGATCGAGGATCGAGGATCGTTATCATAATTTTCAAAGAGTCTGTGTTACTGTACTTTTTTAGCCACATCACGCATCGCTTGGATTTCGGTACTAGTTGTGGTTGCCGCGGCGTACTAATTCAAGTGTCTTTACTCCGAGTCGGTTTTCAGTCTGTCACCAGGTGTATTTAGAGCTGCATCTAAAGCTTTAACGCTTTCATAAGTCATATACTGGCCTATCCCGCCATTTGACCCTCTAATTGTTGACACCCGCATTTTACTTGAATGCCATGGCCCGCCGAGGAAAAAGCCAGTCAAGAAGTGCATTTGGTAGCAATAAGAGAAATCGATCTCAAGGTCAACAGGCTATTATAACAGTCAAAAAGCCAAAGTTTTTAGCCCGCGGTGATACTTGCAGCCTGCCCGGTTCCTGCGGTCCCGACGCCATCAACCTTTCTCAGGACGAGCAGCACGATGACCTTCAGAGTACAAGTTGCCAGGCGCCAACAAGTGTCTTACCCAAATCTGAGTCCACGATACCAATGCACCCTATAGCTACCAGTGCTTCGCCGCCAACCCAAGCATCGTCAGTTCCTTGCAATTCCAAAGCAAGTGGTGCCAGTGGGCCTCTGCGGAAAGCTAAGACGAGGAAATTAGTGCGTGCGTCCCCAGGTCTGTCAAACCGTGACGGTGAAGATGAGGAAGAACCACTTCCTGGAATTCAAGCAAAGCGCGCGAGACACAGCGTCACTGGCGGCGCACAACTAAAGCATGATAAACTAGTACGTGCATCGGCGTCTGGTTCTAGTTCTACGTTTGAATGGTGGCTATTTTTATAGCTCTGGTTCTATGGCAGGGTAAGTGCCCATATCTTCTTGTACCCAGGGAAATTCATTCACCTTGACTGTTGCTCTGTATGATATCTATTTCGATACCAAGTGAGTCGCCTCGACTTCGATCAATTAAAGACTAGTAGAACTACTTTCAAGAAACGGTACGAATATACTTCACCTGTTTTCTATCTTCGACTTAAATCCGTGTTTAGTAGAAGGGAATCGCGTGCGTCTCCTTCCTGGTTATCAAAACGTTAAAACCCACTAATTATAAATTTCTAGTGAGACTCCACCACCACCTTCTCCAAGTTTAGCCATTACTGATTTCACATCAACGATTCTCCAATCAGCAGTGCGGTCTACTATCTCGGTGGAAAGAGCGATTAGCAAATCTTCAGATACGCCTTTATCTAGTCATCCTCAACATCCTCAAGACGCTGCATTTGTAGGGGGTGGTGGCATCGGCGACCTAAAACAAGATGTCCACGCGGATGCAACCTCCAAGAAAGACAAAAGTCCAGAATGTCCTGACGACCTGAGCGAGATATTTCCCATGTCCGACCTTAGCGCAATGCCAGGGCAAGGCGAAGAGAAAGTGGATGAAGCAGAGGCTGCTGTTCAATTACTGCAATGTAATGTGGACAGTGATGCAGCTCAATGTCAGCGGTCACAGTGTCATCAAATGGCGCCGGAGAACAACGACCTGCGCGAGCAGATCCGCAGACTTTGTGAGGAGAATAGTCGCCTCAGTACAAAACCCAAGGGTAGACGGAAACGAACAAATCCACGGGCATTATCTCCTGCGGTAGCCTTGGAAAATTTTGATAACACCATCGACTGTGTTTCGGAAAAATACATCAAGACCGAACTAGATGATCTTAACGAGGCCGTGGATGGCCTAGTCGCAGACATTGTCTCGATGGTTACCTCGTTGCCTGACAGCGTCGCAATTAACCCTGACCACGACACCACTTCAATCACATACAATCAAAGTCCCTTACTCTGGGCTATCTTTCAGCGTTCCGAATCTCGGCGACTGTTCCTCGATGCATTCATCCATGCTTTCGTAATCGATCATGTTTATAAAGTATTTTTTCAGTCCCCCGTTCCCTTTGCTGCTTCTGAGGCCATATTGAACAACATATTCAATGATTTATCAGAGAATGGTAGGCTTCAATGTGATCCTTGATTTTGTTTCTGACGACATCCCTGTAGAACCATGGCACACGGCTCAAAGGTGGAGAGCCATCACAATATCTTATTTGCCTCAGCACATCCCCAACTATGCGTCTCTCGTCGAATCCAATGTCAACGAACAAGCTGACACTATTCTTCATGTTATTATACGAGCATATGTTGTGGATGATTCAACACATGAAAAGCTTCGGAAATGCACATTCGAGCATTTGAAGGCAATATACGAGATGGCTCGCGAATTGTCCATCAGCATGAAACGAGACATCCTTTCTGTCCGGATGTCTGTGGTCGTATGCAGTGATGTTATGCACAGCGGATCTTATAACGTGTGGCCTTCCTTGCAATATGCAACTACTGGCGATGTTTTCATTGGAAACTATCGCATGGGTTTGGTGAAGCAGACGGGCAGTGGGAATACAGGTACCCTCATTTTCCCCACAGTCATAACCAGCAGCCTACTACATGGAGCGGGATTGTGAGAGGAAATCATCTCGAACATAATTTAGACGCAGTGAACACTAGATTTGTCGTACAATGGTATTCAAAAACTTTGAAACCATTATACGAATGAGAAATGTAAGAAGGTATGAGGAGGGAACTAGTCGTAGCTAACTGTAGCTGGTCCGTAAACCGTTTCTCCCTGGATTCATAGTGGTGAATGATTAAGCAATATATGGATTTAAGTGCAAGATGACATACGTCTTCTTCCCATTTCATTCGAGCAGTGATTTCTGTTCCTCCCAATGAAAGGCAAACCTGGAAATTTAATGCTTTCAGCATGAAAGGCCTTAGTGAGAAACATCACCAACTTACACGGACTTCTCGAAATGCTTCTCTATCAGGGGATGTCTCTTTGGTTGAGGACAGAAAGCAGCGCCGTAGATTGCCAGTTACCTGACATAACAGCTCAAAACCCGGGTAAAGTAGTTTTATTCTTCCTAACACAATATCAGTTTAGCAGGTTCTTAGTCGCAACCAAGCAGTCATTTTACCAGGGAATGTCAGAAAACGAGGCGGTGTTGATGGACGTCGATATGCGTAAATGTCAGCTGTGTGAGTGAAGTCTTCGGTACTTTCATCTAACAAGATAAGGTAAGGTTCGGTGAACTCCTTGTTGGTTTTGACCTTGGTATCCTGAATTATCTTGGTTTAATCCCTGTTATCAATTCAAAAAGAGAAGTTACCACAGACTTTTTTTATGATGCAGCTCCATGCACCGCTGACTTTGAGCACCCCTCTGTGGTCAAGAAATGACTTGCGTCCTTTCATCGACGAATGAGATGTCAAAGTCAGTGCCATAATGACATTTCGCCACTCGCAATGACACAATGTCATCTAGGTGCCATGATAAAGTTCCATTTGCCACAGCTTTGACACTGGTTTAAGAGACTGAGATTTGGATTTGCCTGTAGGTCTTTAGTGTTAAGTAGTACATACGTTGGATCGTTGGGTCTACTGATCTCTATGCCATTCGCTTTCCCCCACTGTAAGAGCTTTGAATGGACATAAGGAGAGTTGGCGAGACCCCCGACTAATATGACTTTCTGTATAAAACATTCGCAATCAGGTGTGACAGTGGTTGAGAAATCAGTATTCATACACTAGCTTTCCGATTCCCGTTCTCAAATGCTGTATCGAGTCCTTCTGTTATGGTTGAAATGGTCGGATCAAAAAAAGATGTCATTTTATTCCTGTAGTGGCCCTTGAGTGATTCTGAATACAGACAAAACGGCAAGAACGCATACGCTGAGATCTTCAACCTTCCTTGGATAACCCCAATTGCAGGCATGTCCGCAATTACTCCTCCCACCTGGCTTAAAGGAAGCCATTTATGAGTGTCACCCTCCGCAAACTATTCACATTTGTCAGAAGAGAGTACACCAGATCAGCATACTTTACTACACACCTTTCTTTTGGCATTTTCATCAAAGTGTTTAACAAGTTGGTCCGATAATGGCCTATCCCACTTGGCGGTCTCAAAAAGGCCTAGCACTAAGGTGAGATACTGAAAAACTGTAATACCGATGGCATGCACCTTTTAAATACTCTTCGGCCGCAGACGTGACAAAGACACCACCATTTAGGTAGCCTGTGAGATTGTTCCGTCAGTCATTTCCACAGTAGACTACACGCACATACAGCAAGAAGCAATTGATTCTTCTAATTTCAGCGGTTTTGCGCATTTTATTGTATAGCCACTGGTAAATATTGACTGAAATTGTTCTATAACGAAGAAGGAGATAACTGACGTGATATCAATTGTACCGCCTTATTCATTTTGTGAGCATGAGCGAGGATAGGCAGAGGCATATACAAGATGTTGACGCACCTCCACAATCACAGAGAATAATATGCTCCCCTCTCTATGGTATAGATATAATTGGTTAGAGTACGAGCATATAATGCGAGAGTTGTCCAGAAAGACAGAAGAATCTGACCAAAAACATACCTTTAGCCAAGCGTCTACATTCCCACTGTCGGCAGCATATAATATAGCAGCCTAAATAATATATCATCGGTAAGCGGATATGTAGTGACACAGGAGTAGACAAACTTCGGCTTCAGTCACGAAGCTGACTCGTCGACCTTCGTCCGGGCTTACAAGTCCCCCGTTGATGGCTGCCTGCCTCATTCTGTGCTGCTGCTTACCTTCCCACCCGTTTGGGGTGGTGCATGCTCGGACTGAACTCCTTCCATTTTTTGTCACCTCCTGCAAGTCGGCATGTGATTGAGGCCTGGATTTGTGCCTTGATATATCGAAGAAAATCCGTAAATATTTTGTCAGGTGTTACTTTGGGAGGAAGATCTGGGAGCTTGAGTTTACGAATAATTGGTAAATGGGCTGGCCGAAGATAAGAGCTTAGATTTATGGTCAAAGAAAAGTGCAGATCACACTTAACTTACCACTCAACGCTTTTCCAGCCATTTTGTTCGGCTTGCATTATTGTGTCTTCGTCATCGCAATCTGCGCCAATAGCCCGTGCGTTACCCTCCTGATCATAGTATAATGTTGAAGGCACTTTAGCGTCGGGAAGAGCCTTAGATCACGAGGTCGACGACAAATTATATGAAAGACGTCACGAAGAACTTGCCTGCTTTGGCCACGATAATATCTGGTAGTACACTATTGTAAGCCATGTTCGCTCGGAGCCGAGACGAGAGCTGACCTGAATGAATTCGGGAACTTTACCTTTCTCAAGGATACAGTATGAAGCCGCACTGTATGTAGTTCCGACATCGATGGATGCAACAAGCTTTCTATCGCCTCTCCAGGGAGCTCTTGTGGTAGGCATGATTTGAACTGGAGTGGGGTGGGACACGCTGGCTGTCAGTAAATTTGAAAGAAAATAACTAACGCTGAAAACATGGTCAATAAGTTATAAAAGAGATATTTCAACATGAATGGCTACCGAATCACCTTGCTTTTGAACTGCACTACGACTTGAATTTTCCAAACTTTTGTTACCCTTCGGTTGGTCGCGTTCTGAATTGTGTCTAAATGGTCGCGTCGGAGTTCACCGGGACATGTGACCAGAAAGCACTTGTCACTGGCGCCCAGACTTGGAAACGCCTTGGAATTGCCTACTTGCCTAAATCCCGGCCTATAGGCTTCTCCACGCACCCAAGCATCGTCAGTCTATTGTAGTTCCAAAGAACTGTGTCATGGGTCTTTACATTGTCTGATGCTTTCACCAGGACATATTGGAGCCAAAAGGCGTCAAATCGGAGAATCCATGCATATCCTTGGCTTTGGAGACGATCTAACTGAACGACATGCCAATTACGAGTACGCTGGTGAATCCGCTCACCAAGAAAAGGTCTGAGTCGCAATCACGTGGATATTGCAACTCTTCCTGAAACCTCCAAGTCTACAGCACACACTCGAGATAATTTTCCAAGACGAGCTATAGCTACCTGTGTTTCGAATTACTCGTGCAGGTTCAACATTCGTAGCTGAACTAGTGCCTAGTTGTGGGCCTAAACACCAGATCTTATAAGGTCAAAGTCAAAAAGGCCAGACGACGCTTAGGGGAGATCATAGTACAAATATGCCTCGCGATGGAGATGAACGCAGAGCAAGAACGGATATGCCGAACCACAATGGACGTACCACTGATAGGAGCTATGCAGACGACAGGAGGAAAGAACCAAATTTGGTTCGAATGGACACGAACCGAACGAAAGCCGAGCGAGAACGCGATAGAGGCCACAACAAATCGCATGATAAGGGGTAAGTATAAATTAGTTTTTGAAGAGGTTGGGTTAACTAGAATCTCACCTGACATTGTAGAGGGAGTGCCCACTCCAACGCTCAATCTCGACCGCAGAAAACGAGTTCAAATAATGAGATAGACGAAATGTATGTATATCCTTTTTCTAAGGATATCATGATAGGATTGATTCAGATTCTCACATATACAGAGACTGCATTAATGCTTCAGAGTATATCAAAATTTCCTTCATGCCATTCGCCCAACCCTGATAATACATTTGATAGGGAACATGGAAATGTATATATCACAAGGGCTCAGACACTGGCAAACGCCGTGTTGGTGGGTGATCTCACCTATGTGAATTATTCGCACATAATTCACATCGAATCTCAGGACCTTCTTCCCAAAACTGACGAATCCACACCACCGAGTAACAAAACTGTTATTCAGCAGTTGATGAGCTTCATAACCCGGAGCACACCGGAGAAGCACCATTCGAGCTCTGCCCACGCACATATCTCTCCTCAAAGAATAACTGAGACCCTTCAGCAATTAGCGCAAGCTCGAGTTGATTCGAAGCATTTAGAAGGTCAACTTCAAGAAGCGACGCGCACAATAAAGCATAAAGACAATGAAATCGACAAACTACAGAAGGAACAGAATCGACTTGCTCAACTTTGGCAGACCACTTCGGAAGAACTCCAGCGGTATGAATCTGGATCACCACTATCATCAGGGAAATCTCGCTGATAGCATCACTAGGTACAACGAATCTAAACATGAGATAATGAAGTTGAATGATAGAGTCAATGAGCTTCTAATGGAAAGAGGCCGACTTCACACGGAACTAAAGCACCTAAGCAGCCTTCTCAATAATTCCAAACCATTACCCGTGCATGACATAGGCACCCATACGAAAGCCTCTCTGGACGATTTTGATCACACTTTGGATCAGCTGTCGGAAAGCAGTATTAAAGGTAGTGTAGAAGGACTCAATGATATGATAGACAACCTTGTGTCAAATGTTCTCGAGAGAGCTGCCACTATCTTTGCAGCAGAGGATGCTTCGTGTCAGACCAGCCCGCAGCGTCCACCGCCCGTTCATCAGGATCACCCTTTGCTCTTGGCACTTTCCCAACCTTTTCTCAATGAAGAGGGCCGCGGTTTTCTCTTAGATGCTCTTATTCACGCAATGGTGATAGAGGACTTGAATATAATGTTCTTCCGCTTTTCTGTGACCCCTATTTATCACGGACCTTTGTTGCCGTTGGAGGACATATTTACAAAAATATCGGAATTGGGTACGTCCTACAGGAACCATTATTAATTTCATGTGCTGACGGAACGGATAGAGTCTTGGAATACATCACAGAGATGGCGCGCGATTACATCGTCTCATTTAGACAAAACGATAGCACATCCCAAGTCTCATTTTGGTGAACATGCGAGAGCTTGGGGTTTAGAGATAGCTAACGCCATTGTGCGCGCATATAATGCAGACATATCAAGCTCGGAGATATTGCACAAGACCATCAAGGATGAATTGGTGGCTATCTACGTCGAAGCTTATAGACTTTCTATCTCTATCAAACGGGACATCCTCACTGTCCGTGTTTCTGTATACCTCTATGTGGGTAATTCGTTTGATCCCAAGAGAGCAGAAAGTGTCTGGGCGGAGATGGGGACTAAGGCTGGGGACAGCGTGATTGGAAATTACCATCTGGGCCTGATAAAGCAGTTGGCATCTGGGGAGTCATATTATCTTATCGTACCTCAAGTTATCACGCAATCCCTCCTCCGCCATGTTGGGCAGGTCTCACACTAGTAGACTGTGGTTCATTTAAACCATGTACATTATATTTTCTTGGGAGCATACACCCTGTTTGTGAGATGAGCCAATGGTTATATCCAGCAGTATCGTCAAGTCAATCATAAGAAATTTTTGCAGGTCCATAAACCAATTTCCCCTGAAACATGGCATGTCAGAAACAAATCGATATTACTGTGTGGTATAAAAACCTACATCTTCTTTCCAGCGCAGCCGAGCACTTATTTCTGTGTCACCAAGCACAATGCAAACGTCAAACTTGGCGGCTGATGTCAGTAATTGGAGACATAGCAGAAATATTTACTTACGGTAACCTCCCGGTACACTGTATTGGTGACGGATACCATTCGGGGTGACAGCAGGAAACAGCGGCGTAAATCGCCAGATACAGTGCATACTTTTTCGTACCCAGGATACATCTTCCAAGAACCTGAAGAAAGGATAAATACAAAGGCCTTCAAAACGAGACAGGTTCGCTAGCTTACCGGGAAGTGTTATGAATTTCTGGGGCTTTGCACGACGATATGCAAAAATTATCACCTCATGGTCGAAGACCTCAGAGCCTTCGCTAACCTCTAACATATAGCTCTGAACAAATTCTTCATTCGTGCCAATGCTGCAGTCCTGTCGTATTGGTTAATTAGCATGAAAGAATGGTCTGCCTCGGAAAGAAATTTAACCTTTTTCACTATACAACTCCAGCCATCACAGACCCTCAACTGTCCCTTACAGTCAGTGTACGAAGTGCGATCCACAGCTTCTTTGTCTTCCTTGTCATATGGAAGGTGTACTTCAGTACCATAGTGATATTTTGATACCCGGCAGGACACTGTGTCATCTATATGCCACGCTAGAGCGCCATTGGCAACAGCTTTAACACTATCATAATCTATAGCAGCTTATCACATGTCTCAATAACCCAAAAAAATGACATACGTTGGTCCATCCGGTCTGATGACTGATACACCATTCTCTTTCCCCCATTCGACAAGTCTTGAAAAAACGTAAGGAGAACTTGCGAGGCCACCCACAAGTATCACTTTCTGCGATGAAACAATTGACACGTTTGACATGTACGACAGAAAAAAAGCGGAAGTAATACATCAGCAACATAGTCACCATTCTCAAACATATCCTTGAGCCCAGCAATGATAGACGTAACAGCAGGGTCAAAAAAAGAGGCCATGTCTTTGCTTCGATAGGAATCAGTTATGCTACATTGTTGATATAACGAAAGTTACAAACCCAGATATTTTCAATTTTCCTCGAGTGATACCAGCCTTAATCACGTTCTGATACCCACCCAAATTCACCCATGAAGCATTTTTAGGGTCCTCGAACTACTCGCACATAATAAATGAGCAATAGCGTCAGCCAGATCACGAATATTTTAATATTACCTTTTTTTTGGCATTTCGGTCAAACTCGTAGACAGCGTGATTTAGCGCATCCTTATTATCCCATGGGGTATTTTTCAAGCGATCTGAGGAGCTTTTTAGCTGTACCTTATGAGAGAGTCACGACACAACACACGTTTTAAGAAAGTCTTGGCAGCAGCGGCTACAAATACAGCTCCAGCAAGATAACCTGAATATGACCGATATTAGTAGACGGAGGAGCAAATATAATATGTACATGCAGCGGGCAGCTGTATACTCCTCCAACTTTAAAGGTTTCACCTCCTGGATTTTGTATCCTCTGCAAGTGTATATTAGAAAAAAAGGTTTAAATGGGTAAGTTACCGATGTTATAAGACGGTGCGCACGCGATGTCAATGGTCCCCCCTTTTGGATAAGTGTAAGTAGTCAAGGCTGTAAATATATTTATGGCTTGCTTTACCTCCGCAGTCACATAAAATGATGTGGACATCTTTCTGTTATGCAGCTCGTTTTGAAAAAAAAAAAAGGCTCCCTGAGTAGGGTGAAAAACTGACGTACCTCCAGCCAATCATTTACACTACCGCATTCAGCAGCATATAGCATGGCTGCCTGAAAACGATGTCAGCATGCTTACATCATGAGTTGAATAGACTCGAACTTCGGCTTCTGTAACAAATCGAACCCGTCGACCTCCTTCTGCATCGACTATACCAGCAGTAATCGCAGCTTGACGCATCTTATTTTGCTGACCACCCTCCCATCCATTCGGAGTGGTCAAAACGACATACATGGCAGGAAAAAGTGCATCCCATATTTTCGCTCCATCTCCGTAGGTTGCGGTAATGTATGCTTTGACTTGTTCCATAGTATAACGTAGAAAGTCAGTAAATATTTTTTCAACAGTCAGACCTTCAGGGAGGATAGGTAGGGAAAGGCCGTTTATTATCGGTAGATGGTCTGGCCTCAGCTGGAGCTTCCACCTAAATCCAAATATTCAGCTACTTACTAGCTAGGCTAAATGAGAGAGCTTACCATTCGACTTTATGCCAATTTTCACTTTCTGCTTGCAATATAATCTCTTCATCTTCAACCTCTGCACCAAAAGCACGAGCTTTTCCGTCCTTGTCGTAATAAACTATGGAGGGTACCTTGGCATCTGGTGTAGCCTGGAAGCATGTGACGGCTATCAGCAACTAGTTCCTACGATGGACAAAAGCAACATGACATCCCTGTTTGGGCCACCGAAGAATCTGTGTCAACTAGGCATAAGTTTTATATGTGGCAGGAGAAAGAATATGACACTTGCTTCTTCAAACTTGGGCACTTTTCCCCTTTGTAATATGCAGAATGACGTGGCAGTGAATGTGGTACCAATATCGACCGACACAACAAGTTTCCTATCGTTTCCAAGTAATGACCCTTCCCACGCAGACCTACCAGTATTACCGTGCACCATGTTCAGATATCGGAATCGAAAAGAACTGAAGTCTTCGGCTGTACTCCTTGACAAGATTATATGGAGGAGAGTACCGTGAAAAAAGAGGGCGAGGGGAGTTAGAAACGCGGATCATGTTGTACTAATGTTGCGCATCATGCAATCCACGAATTTTTAACCTGCGAATCACACGAAGAAGTCGTAAAAAAGAGGAAAGATCAAAAATTCGAGAGGTTCGGATTGAGCGAGGACGTTACTGTAATAACTATACAACTAAGTATCGGCGGCCACAGCAGGTAAGCAACGCTCAAGTCGCGAGCATCTCGTTGACTGAAAAAGTCTATCGATATACATAGGTCAGCTGGGTGATAATCGGAAATACCGTTCTCAGACTGACCTCGCGCTCCACAAGAGACGTTAAACGAAATTCAGTTAGATAATGAATAGCCAATGTCACCCGTCACTCCTTCCTGCATTGCAATTAGCGCAGACAACATTTTCTGTCCTCTTCCGTCCAACTGTTCCCTGAATTGGTCACCTTTCATCCACTCCAGTCCATGTTGTAACACGTTCCGAGCTCTCGTAGAGCCACCCCGTATGTCGCCCATACAGGCATGAAGCGTTGCTCGCTGTTGAGTGGAGTCGTAAGTGGCACAATGCAAAATGTTAGAATTATAGAACACTGTTTCTCCCGCTAAAAAATACCGCTCGACTGTTACCAAGCGCACTGAGAAGTCAAAACAAATCTGGCTCACGTTGTAGTGTCACTTGAATTGCCTCTGGCATGGTGAGCGGGTCTTCCGGAGGAGTAAGCGTCATAGACTGTGCTCGTTGCTCTGCGGACCTGGGTAATTTGTGTGACTTGGGCACGACATATAGACAAGAGTCTTTGTAAATGGCTCTAAGCAAACCAGATCAGTGAATGCCCTTGATGCTTTTGAGTATATAGTATCGCCTCACGTATTCCACTGCACCTATTAACGAGCACAACGTTAAGCTGGGAAGTAGCCTTGGTGTGATGCGTAACTTACCCCATGACCCCATTGAGCTAGAGCGATACATTCCTCATCTCCAGTAGCGTCCTCCTTAACATCATCGCGATGCCATCGGAGTGCAAAATTGTGGAAAAGTGGATTAATTAACAAGTTAAAGAGCTCTGTATACAATACGTCGTTTAACGAATAATATAATAGAGACGAGCAGCTAGAAATGACCAAAAGCTCACCCATCTGTAATTCAGCTTCTTGGCATCCCAGAAGTCCTTGTGCTGCACCAACTAGTTTGTCGGATGTGTACCATTTAGCAAAGACAGATTCACCCAGATCTGGATGCATGATATGTTGTACACCCCAAGAGTCTGGGTTGTTATTATCGAATGGTGGAAATTGTTTCCCGACCGTTCTACGGTGTGACCATGAACCCGAGCGAGTACGTGTAATTACACGTTCACAAGCCGCTTCGATGTCCTTGAAATCCTGAGGAAGGATGAGGTCTGGAATAATAACAAAGCCTTGATCTTCATATTGGGTTTTGAGAGACGACATCATTGAAGCAGGATGCAATGGACGCTTGGATACGTATTTCTGGAGGTCCTAAAAGCCTGAAGATCGGTGACAGCCTATTGACTCGAGAAAAACCTCGTATAACAATCCGTCGGAGTATTGGCCCTTTATAGGGAGACCTTTGCGGAGCCTTTTAGAAACTGTCAATGGTCATGTGAAGACTTCAGTATGTCCAGGGGTCATATCCAGGGGTCATACTTGAACGTTTGCACAGGCTAGAATTCTGCGTACCATACGATCCTCATCATCGCATGTTCCCTCAGGCCTCAGGCTCTCGCACTCCACGAAAAATGGCCTTTCTCTCTCTGGCACCACCAGACATAGGATCGGATACACTCTTTCTGGGCGTTTAAGTTGTGCTTCAAATTGGCTTTCCGTACTCGTACATATCAACTTGAGGGAAACCAATATCCACGTCGACGAGCTTGATCATGATTGTGAGATAGATGATGCAGTGCATATGGTTTGAAGTAAGAGGAAAACTTAAGCCTTATCGCAATGGTGGGCAGTGGGTACTGAGTAAACACTGGGTCCATGGCATACTGTGATTTCAGGCATGATGCATGCCAGCGATGGCGAGATACAATCAAGGTGCTAGTCTTGGCACCCACAGCACGATTTCTCCTTGTACGTAAATACATCCTCAGACGACTACATTATTTGCATTTATGAGTAAGTATGAGCACTGCGAGGCACTAGCGCTGCAATGTTCATCCGAATTGCCAGTGACGTGATAAAGCTACATCAGAAAACCTTATACAGGATTCGAACATTGCGTCCTCATCATGATGACGGTCTAGATATCCAGTATCCCTAGCCGATTCAGATGCAAGGATACTCGGAATATACCAAACAAGCAAGTTACCACGAAACGTAGAGAACGTATCACTTCACATCTTGCCCTTTTTGGAGCGCAAACGAGCAAGCACCTGCTTAGCAACTCGTTCACGTCCCTCATCAAAAGTCTTGAAGGTGGTAGGAAGTTCGAATCGCTCCTTTCCTAGAATCATCCAGACTTTGTATCCAGTCGTGCCTTTCTCATCAACGATCTCTTCGTTGTAGTATTGAGGACTGCGTGTCTCCTCCTTGTTGCAGAACTCTGGTCGTGATTTTTAGCATGTACCCGCCAAGACAATGAGATTTCCCTACCGAGTAATGCTGTTACATGTGATCCTGTTATATGTTTAGAGGCTGACTTGGCTTCTTGCTTCTTGGTATCAGGAGCTGGAGAATTGGTAGCCTTATGTGGCTGGGAGTTGTCTGTACACTTTGGCTCGCTTGCTCGGGAGAGGGTGCCTTTAGACCCCGTTCGCTGAGCTTTGTACGAAGAGTAAGCATCAGCGGTGTGATAAAGCACTTGACTACAACTTACCAGGCTGGAGCTTCGTTCTTTCACCTAGAGATGTATTAACATCCGTAACTCCCGAAATAGATGGAGGTGATGCTTGTGTAGCAGATGAAGAGTTGAAATCAGCTTTCCCCTGATCATTTCCATCATAACATGCGAAGCCAGAATGAGGCTGAGTTGAGGTCTCTGTCTGCGTGCCAGAAGTAGAGGGATTTCTGAAAAGTGAAACTGATTACTACATGAACGAACAGAAGGCGCTAGCGTAGTTCGTACGGATAGTATCCCAAGAAAGGAGGCGCTGTATACGAGCTATGATGCACAGCCGGATAACTCGCCGTGGCTGGGTTTTCATAGTTTACATAATATGGTTGTCCTGAGCAGTAACCCGGCGTAGAGTATACGTTTTGTGGGAAAGGCTGAGCTGGGGGAATGGGCACAGGGTAAGGCGGTGCCACATGTCCCCCAAAAGCCAGACCACCGTCAAGCGTATGCGCAAACGAAGGGTTACTATCAAAGGACATTCCTGGGTAAGTATAACCACCATATGATGCCTGAGAGCCACCGTGAGTCGACGAAGGCCCACCAGCGTTCCAGATTCCGTAGTTGTATTGTTCTACTGGATTATCTGATTGCGCGGATCCCCATGTTGATGCAGTGCCACCAAGCCCTGGAGCGCTGGCGTTCTTCCGTTGGCCCTTGACAAATCCTTTCTTGATAACCTTATCCGGACCCCGGTATCGGCCCATGAGAGCCTCTGCACCCCGAAGGATTAGTGCTTTTTCCTTTGCGCGAGAGAGAGAAACGTCACCACGGTCATCAGAAGGCCTCAGAAATTTCTTCGCTTTTCTATTGCCTTCAGTCTCGTCAACCTCACCAGGTTCCTTTCTTTTCTCATCGGCCCTTTGCAAAACATCCAGCTCATGCTTTTGCAATGAAAATGGACTTTCATAGCCGAGCGGCGGCGCTTCACCACGAAAACGAAGGTATTCAATAAGACCTTGTTCAGCAGCTAAGCAAGTTACGCCGATTTTTGCATCAGCTTTTGTACGATAATCTGGTGGAACGCTATATTTCTTGGTTTCTTGCGGCTTAGATATGGAGGAAAGCTCGACGGTCATCGTGCAACCATATGCTGCAGAAACAATATCAAATAGAGCAGACTCATAGGAAGGTTGCAACTATACCGTCTTTGTCCTTTTCGAAATCATACTGAGGGTGAGCCCCAGGTTTGATTTTGCTGTATTCAGATGCAAGGACAGGAACGACGTGATCGTTCACCCACGTTCTCATCGTAGGTGTAACCTTACCTTCGACAGCTGCGCTGATGGACCGTATGTAGTCGCCAACTCCCTGAGACATCGCTTGAAGGCAGACAGCAGCTTTGGCATCGGCGCGTTTGGGGAACCTAGGGTCTACCAGATAAGATTTTGAATCTCCAGGCCGCTCGATGCGTAAAAGACACCCATGCACTATGTTGAAGATGAGCACTAGAGGAAACAACGATAGCTGGAAAGCTCACATCCAATCGTGCCGCTCGACGTGAACACAAATTTCATACTCAATCTGCTTCCTCTTGCAAGTTGAATCATACTATTCAACCATGAAGGAGCATTGATATCAGCCGCACTCTTATCCCCTGCTGATTCTGGGAACGGTCGGGGGAGGGTGTCATAAAAGTTCTGGAGTGTCAGGGGCGGCCGCAGAGCAGGCGATATCTCCCCAAGGTCATTGTGATCAGGGCGGGCAAATGGCCTAGGGGATGCAGGACGAGCCTGGCCGTTTCCATGCTTGATAAAATCCAAAACACCCTCGTCTATGGCAGCCTTGGCACACGCTACCTTAGCTTCGATGAAAGTATTGTAAATGGTATCAGACGCATATACTCGGTGTGAATGCGGGGAGAGCTCTATACGGAGAGCACAACCTTGTTCTGGCACAAAAATCAAATGATGTGAAGTCCTGATGTTGACAAATAAACATACTGTGACCAAGCTTGTGCTCAAGTAAGGCTACCCAGTGAGGCGTAACACGTCCTGCTCGCCAGTCCAAGCAACATGTCTCTATCTCCTTCAGGGATTCATCGTCTTCCGATGGTAGTGATGAAGTGTCTACAGACTCTCGTTGCTCGACTGGGCCGAGAGGAGCCAACACAAGGCCCCGCTTGATTTTGGAAGAATTAGGGTCGCCAACTGCGATGAAATCCATGGCCCCCATTTCGACTGCGATGGTAGCCGCCCTAGTCTTAGCTTCATTTTTTCTCGAAAAAGTTGGCTTCGTCGCGTAGGATCGCTGCAGTCCATCTGGACGAGTGACTGTTAAGATGCACTGTTTGGCTATCCCAACAGAGGCAGTGGCGGTGTCAGGCTATGCATAATGTGGTGACGGGAGGCGAATTGTCACGTACTATGAGGGCCATTTTCTTCAATAAAATCAAAGCTCAAAGCTTCTATTTTCCCAAAAGCGCGCTGACAGGCTTGATGTAGCTGTGTAACCGCGTGGATATTCATAGTGTCTGCGACCTTGCTCGATGAAGGCGTCGACAAGTGAGAGAGTAGGGGAGGGGGCGATGGTGCTGATGGGGGTTCTATGAATTCTATAATTTGGCTAGATCCAAAATTATCATATTGCGTGTGCGAGTTGAGGTATTCATCCAAGGAAATAGCGCCCATATTTGCTAAATTTCGAGAGACCGCTTGGAAAACATCGTCAGGGATGGTAAGACAAGCCTCAGATGCCTCGATATCACTATCAGTGTCGTCCCCTTCAAACATGGCGAATAAACAACGAGACTACGACGAAAAGTTTAGACAGACGATGGCGAGCTGGGAGCCGGATGGTAATGGGGGAGATGTTTACTTTTGAAAAAGTAAAAGTCGCAGTATCAGAACTGGAGAACCCTAGTATGCCTTAGCTAAGCTTTCTACAACCAGCTACACAACCTCCACCCCAGCCATTCCTGTCAGCGTCGAGCCACGAGAACCAGTCCGTACGCAACGGCCGCCATGAACAACACCGTATTAAGCTTAAACCCAGCCAGATAAAGAGGTGATGCACATAGTATGATGCAATAGCCTCCGTCGGAAAGACGGCCTTGACACTCACATCTTTACCACGTAAAAGATCGTGTAGAAGATGGTCATCACGTTGATCCTTTTCAATCGACCTGTGCAAGACCTGCTGGTAAAGGGACAATGCAGTGCAGCCACGCAACAGGGGATGTATAGTAAATTTATGGATCAATCATAAATTATGGAAAGCTGTGAAAAATGACGTTGAAATGATGCTTTCGCCAACTGTGATTTACTCTCAAAGCTCGCTCCTCAGGCTTCCTTTGCAGATATCGAAACATGTACAAAACCGAACAGGCCGAGCGGTTGCACAGCGTCGTCAAGAGAGATGTATAGGCCAATAAGGTTCGAGGGATCTGAGCGCTGCGGAGGAAAGAAAAGGGTGACGCTTGTTTGGCTGTGCAGACGGGCGTGGGAAACCAATATCTAGTGCGTGTTGTGAACAACGGTGTAAAACAGCAGTGCCCAGTGGCAGACCGTCCATCTCTTTTTATTCTCTTCACACCACAGTATCGTATCGTATCCTTCAGTTCTTTTTCTGCCCAACTACTTTTCTTTATTACTGCGTGACGATTCTTGATGAGCGACGTACCTGCTCCTGGTTACCAGAGACCCGGCGGTCACGACGACTATCCACCTTTTGGAGGATACGATGCAAATCCAGAAAGTCATTACAATGCATCAGAACATGACGACGACCGCAGAATATCGAGAACTCCAAGTCCTACTCCCAGTGAAGAGGCATTTTTGACGAGGAAATCTGTAATTAACTTTAAAGCATTAACGAATTGGAGGTATTGGTTACGAAAAGAGTGGATATGTGCGTATCTTTGCTTCCACTCGCCACATAAACCAGCTATTCACAGCACATACAGGGTACTACATCATATTTATCATCATCATTGTTTTGGTTGCCCTCATGAGCGTCTACGAAAAACAAATCGTTCATTGGATTCAGCCCGCAGCCACTTGGATGAAGAAGTAAGCTGTCACTCATTGTTTCAGCCACGTGTGGCCGCCATGTGCCTCTTTCTGAATATAGAATACTGACTATTGCCTGTCAAGTCTAAAAGTCGGATTCCTTATCCCCATAGCAATTTTCTTCATCATATCATTCCCCCCAGTGAGTACATACAACGATATGAATGCAGGTTAACTCAAGGTCAACTCATGATTGTATCTTTGTTACGTTATACTAGTTGTTCGGTCAAGAAATTCTTGCAATTATTTGTGGTGTCGTCTGGGGCTTATGGGCTGGATTTGGTATTGTGTCTGCAGGAACCCTGTTAGGTGAACTCGGCAATTTCTTGTGGGTTAATTTCCCTTCACATCTACGTTATCACTAACCTTCACGGTCGTAGTGCTTTCAAGTACTGGTGTGGTGCCAGAGGTGCAAAGATTGAAAAGACTAGTATATTCTATGCTTGTCTCGCCAGAGTTATCCGAGAGGGCGGTTTCAAGATTGCAGTCATTGCAAGGTATAGTGCTATACCCGGTCATTGTACGTGAAACTATCGGGGGATTGGTAAACGCGTTTTGCTCATATTGAATCAATATACAGTTACCACTGCCATCTTTGCAACTTGTGGCATGAATGTTTTAACGTTTACCATTGCGGCTATTTTATCACTGCCAAAGCAATTTATGACCGTCTACATCGGTGTACTCTTGGAAGAGTCTGGCAGTAAGTCGACGGAACTTTGTTGACTAAAAATGATCACTCACATTTCAATATTGCACGCTCAGCTGGAACTACCTCCTCATCAAGCAAGACTGTCAGTGATGTCGTTTTTGCTGTGACATTTGTGGTTACTTCGGTGGCAATGTGGTACATCTTGCGGCAGGTCGCTCTGGTTAAAGTGGATGTCATCCATGATCGTCGTAAGGCTCGGTAAGCACAGCTATGCAGTCATCTTCAATAATCTCGACACTATATTTAATCAATCTTAATACATTCTAGTCAATCCAAGCTGGACCGTACAACGGGACTCTATGGCACTTCCTTCGAAAGTACAAGCGTTTTTAATCCAAGCGAAGCTGAAATCCCCCTCAACCCATCTGATGCACCATACGATGCCCCTTACCAGCAATGGGACGATCAGGGCCGCGCAGTTGGATACACTGGTGACCCACAAGTCTACGCTCCTCAGCCCCGAAGAGTCGATAACCCTTTCGGATCGGGGGGAGGATTGACACCTAGTCGCACAGGCAGTAATGCTGGCCAGACAAACACTGGTCTTGCGCAACCACCTCCTGGCGCGGCAGAACCTGCGAGGAGTCCTTACCGACAAGAGAGTACGGACACCGTTGGATGGGAAATACAAAATAATCCCTCTTCTTTCCCTCTCTCTCAAGTCGGCGGGGTTGCGTCGCCGCCTCCTAGACTCCCTCCCCTATCAGAGCCGTATGAGGATCCATTTTCAAGTTCTGTGACATTGAGCCAGCCGACGTATGCTCCACCTCCCGGACCACCACCCCAATCTTTTGCGCAACCGCCAGCTCGGTTTACCTCGCCTACGGCTTCCCCAGTCAGCTCTCCTTCTATGCCTTTGCCACCCTTTGGTGGGGCTCGAGGACCCAGCTCTCCATCGTATGCTTTCGGTGCTCCTGCTCATAGCTATGGCAGTAATGCCCAGGGTGGTACCGGATCTGCTGCACAGCGGACATTTTCACCTCCGCCGCCCAGCTACCAGAGTGCAGACCTACGATAATAGGTGTGGAGCGCTATGTATCATCAAATTGATTCAAAGTCTGACATGTCCATGGAGCGCTCGGCGTGTGTGTTTCCTTTTTGTTTTGTTCTAATTCTACTTTACCCCACACTTTTGGACCCCGTCACGAGATGGTCGTTTCTGTCGTTTCTGATCCGTACATGCGTTTCGCCACTTGGACTGTTTCTACTACATAGTTATACGTACGTAGACCTTTAGGCATGGGCGTGATTATAACTTATATACCGACTTATATCGTCTTTTGGAATTGCAATGTCTAACTTGCTGTGGGACATGAGTTTTATGCAGATGAGCGGGCCGCTGTAACTGAATGCACTACGTATTGATAAAACACTGCCACAGACCTTGGCAAGGTCCTGCATGTTATCACTCCACAAATCCCTCCACAGCGCAATGAGGCGACGTCGAGGCTTGTACTAAAATAGGCGTTATGCCCAATGCCGTGGTTCTACATATATGCCTTTCTTGATCGTGTCCCCTTACCATCCCGAGTCCCACCCCGAGTCCAAGCCCGTAACCTGGAGAAGGTCGCCCTTGCCCAAGTGACGGGTTGCCAGAACCGGCTTAGGGCGTTATATCGCCTGTATTCTTCCTCTTGATTTGCCTCATTGAACGTGCCTGGGTCGACGCAAGTGGAGCAGCAGTAGCTTATCTCATAGTAACTGAAGCACTCGGACTTTGGACTTTGCTTAAGCTTTCAGGAATAGCATGGTTCTCACTTTTATTCCTGTGGCTCACGAGCTCGTTTGATCCTTGTGCTCTAGGTCGACTCAGCCCAAGTTGTACCGTATATTCCGCAGTTCTTGTGGAGATTCTGGCTTTCCGATAGGTACGCAGTATTCACCGCACCCATCATAAAGCCATGTTCATGGGCAAAGCGCGACAGTGATCCCAACAAGCATTCGCTTGATGACCACCGAGTCCATATTTATGATGTTTACGATAACGAACTTTCAGAGACGCGCCGAACCCCAGAACAGTCCAGGACTGTCTTCCAAGAATTCGACACTGGCACTTTGGATGACAGCTGTCGCACCGCATTGCGCACCGCCGAGCTAGCGTTTACACGTCTGGAATCGGAGGCGGAACGTGTTCTTGACGAGTTGATATCCAAGATACGTGCTCCAGAGGATGCCAGTGGGTATGCGAAGCGGGAGATAGCAATCCCTCGCCGGTCCCTCAACGTGATACGCAAGTTCTTTGTCTTCCTGCGGTACCGAAACAGCGATGAGTATGCCGCGCATATAGCCAGCCTCGATCGGCGCGTGAGAACCGATGTGGGGAGTGTAGTCTCGAGGCCGCATGGGTGGCACCGAATTCGGAGACAAGCTCTGCTGGGAAGCTTTCATGCTTTTCTTCAACACCAACCAACAGACAACCGAGGGCATGAACGTTTTGATGGCTTGGATTGTTGGCGTTTTCGCAATGCTGAGATATGTTTCGGCCTCGCATCCGAGGGCCAGCAGTATCTACTCCCAGATACATGCTTTGGCGTACTGGATGAGGAGTTTGGTGGCAACCCGTGTGTTCCGTTCGCTCTCATATGTTTGCTACAATGCTGACCTTCCTCAACAGAAATTGCGAACATCTATTTTTCCCAGTAATGCCAACTTTAGCTCTGTATATCTTAGGAAGTCAGGACGACGATGCTACATTGAGTTGTCCAGCTAATATAGAAACTGGTGTCGTGTGGGTTGACTGTGGCCTTGAAGGACCAAGCGATATCCATTTGCGTAATGCAGTTGTACTCCAAAGTTACCCTAAACGGCTTTACTTTTCGTCTCTATACTCCATCACGCAGTCGATATCCTCTTATGATCAATTTCGTACGAACTCTGAGCGTATGGACTACAGCAGGCTGAAGCAACGCTCCCGACAGAAGTATACCTTGGAGCAAGTGACGAAAACGCTCGTTGTGAAAGGGTCCATTCTACTAGTGGATCTGTCGGAAGAGGTCGTTCGTGTAGGGGATTCAGCTGTATCGCATGGCTCCTTCTCAGATGTCTGGAAGGGCGTGTGGACGAACTATGCAACTGACGAAGCCCGTCCAGTGTGTTACCTTTCTTTCGTCTCTTGCTCTATGGAACTAATGTATTACATACCAGGTCGCTCTCAAGTTTCTACGACGGTACATGGCAAACGATGTCAGAGAGAAAGTCTTGCGGGTTGGTTTAGTTGCTTGAGATATACAAAGCTTCTCTCTGACTTTTCCACAAAGCGATTGAAAAGCGAGATCGTGGCTTGGCATAGATTGCATCACCCGAACATTGCTCAACTCTTTGGTGCTATTCAATCGATGAACACAATAGCCATGGTCTCTCCTTGGTGCAACAACGGTACTATCATTCATTATCTGGAGAAAGTTAATCCACACGCAGATCGGCTTGCATTGGTTTGTCTGGTGCCCCATTTTTCACGTTGAAGATGATCTGACAGACCATTTCAGCTGCTTCAGATAGCATCAGGCGTAGGCTATCTCCACAACTGCAAGCCAATCGTCGTTCACGGTGATCTCAAAGGGGTGTGTACTTTTCATTCGAACCCATTTCTCAGAGAGACGCTAAAGTCGGATTGTTCGGCCTACCAAGTCAAACATCTTGATCGACGACACAGGTAACCCCCTTATCACGGATTTTGGTTTGAGCAATGTGGTTGAAGAGCTTTGTGATTCCATCAATCTCGGAACGTCGCTGTTTGCCGGATCGACGCGTTACATGGCACCAGAGCTCGTCCTTGCACTAGTAGAGGACGATGGTATACCACCACCCATCACCACAGCTAGTGACGTGTACGCGTTCGCCTGTGTCTGTCTCGAGGTAAGCTTGAAGTCGATCTTCTTTCCAACCCTACAGGACCAGACCACTGAACTCACCGCGCGAACATGATAGGTAGCCACAGGTCAAGTACCATATCCCCACCGAAGCAACGACCATGCAGTGACAGTTGACATCATGCGTGGCGTGAAACCATCTCGCGGATCTTCGTCCTTTCTCCAAATCAAAGATCACGATGCCTTTGGCGACTTGCTCGATCGGTGTTGGGATGCTGATTGGTATATGCGGCCGAGTATGACGGAGGTGACTGAGCTGCTGAGAGGTATTGCTGGATCGCATTCGTGATGGTTGGTGGCGTGGTCATGCGCATTATTATTGCTATGCGGGCATTGCCTGCACCCCTCAGACTAGAGGAGCTAACCACTCCTCAGTAGTCCGCTGTCTTTGCAAGGTTTCTGCAAGGTCAGTCTTGGGAAGTAATGTAACTTATCATATGGTTCCAGAGCTATGTTTATCACTCATGGTTATCTGTTTCCAGATGACCATGAGGATGTACTAGTACTCCTTCTGTTATGGATAAGAATTAACGCTCTTGAAGGCAGATAGGGGGCGGCGCACTAGTGTGGTTCTGAGGCGCTTGCTCATTGAAGCATGCCGCGTACGCATGGTCAATATGCATGTTTCGGACCATACAGTATGAGCGGCGTGACAGAGCAAGAACAAGTGATGTAAATAAATTATACACATACTTTACATTCAGGCTATTTAATAACACTAGATATCTGTACACGAGTTAGGTAGGGAAATGACATACGTCATAATTTAAGTATTGAGTGCTTTTTTATGCTGTGAAAAATCCTTTGAAATCCCACCCTTGTCCGTCTTGTCCTTCCCTCATCCAAGCTAACCTGTCTGCCGTCAACGTTGCGACCCTAACGAACAATGTCCCGTCGAGCTTATCGGCACCCTCGAGCTCCGTTCCGTGGAAGTAGCCCGCTTTACGAGTGCCATATATAGCGGCGAAATGAGCGAGCGCACGTTGGAGCTTGCAGAGATGCTCGTTGGGGTGTACAATAGTTGTCTGTATGATCGGGAGCCACGCGTTCGGTGTCAAGGCATGTTGCGAATCGGGTGTAGGAAGTGTCTTCTTAACTGGAGAGGGTTGGGCGCCGGGTGGAGTGTGCATTGTGGAGGTAGAATCAAAGAAAGCACTGATGTCCAACTGGACTCTACCACGTGCGATCCACAAGCTCAGCGACATTACAAAATATGCCTTGAGAAGAAGAGCCTTGGAGTGGTGGCTCAGATATACTAGAATGGACGGGACGAAGAGTACAGAAGTCACGAAATGCATGCTAATCATGCCATCAGCACGCCAGTTACTAACTGTTAATTTTAAAATGAAGACCACGCACCCGAAGAAATCAGCATTGAAATCCTGGCCTTCCTTCCATCCTCCGATACCGTATGTCATCGTGTTCACCCAAATGAGCTGTTCGATGTGATCTTCAACTTTCTGGGGATCGGATGTGTCGACTTTCCATAGGTCTGCGTATTCGCGGATCACATCGCCATGGTCCTTGAGTAACTTATTATACACTGCATCTGGACCCGCTCTCTCCACATTGTCGAAGCGCTTATCCTTGAGCATGCGAGCAAGGATGGTGAAAGCGTGTACGCCCTGAGAGGGAGGGGGAGGGTAGGGTGTATTGAGAGAAAGCCGAGAGAGCTGCTCGAGGGCAATTTCAATCAAGCTAGAGGCTTTCACGGAAGAAAAATTCCTGGGCATGAGTACGCTAGAACTAGCAGGATGAACGGCCGTCATAGCCATTCCTGACAGAAAAAAGTCAGAAAATCATCTGAGGACAGTGTGATTAGCCTAATCACCTTCTGCAGCAATACCCAACAACCCAAATTCGGCACCATAGCCGACATGTATAAAAGGGTGGAAAACACCCTCGACAAAACGGCATAACATATCGGGTCTTTGCTTGCCTTGAGCCTCGGCAGCATCATCGATATTAGCCTCCATAGAAAAGACGTGATTTTCAAGGACTTTTGAAAGACCATTTTTCGAAATTTCATCCGTGAAATATATCAGATAAGCATTATAGTAACTGTATATAAGTGATCAGTCAGGAAGAAAATGAATGACCTATCAACGATGACTTACTCCTCATCTCCAAGATGATCGTTGAAGTTCTTGGTTGTGATAGGCTCGGGAGATTTGTACGCTGGGAGCTGATAATCGCAATGGGTTTGGTAGGCAGCCTTGATGACAGGGGCACTAGCACCTAGAGCCCAAATGGCGAGCAGATGATGGGCAGCATGGCTTATCAGGGGTAGAGACCATCATGATCAAGAATCGTCAACAAACGATAAACAAGCCTTACTTATGAAAACCCTTATCATTGAAGAAGATATGCCATTCTTTATTATTATGAGTCAAAACCTCCTGTAAAGCAGTGGTCGCTTCGGGATCTGAGCCAGGCCATCTCTTGGGAGAGAGCAAGGACGGCGGAGGGCCCGGTTGAGGGAAGAGGCGGTCGTTGATGGATTCTGAGGACATGTTGGGCGCGCTAGAAAGAGGGGATACTTGGATTTTGCTGTCGTACCGTTTGGCTTATATACTGTCTTGCGATCGGACGGTTCGGTGAGCTTGATCATAAATATGACGTAACGTCACCATCTGCCAGGAGTAGCTATGACATTGACAGCTCTTAAGCGTGGTCTCGTGCCAAAAGTTCGATCTGAGTAACATGTAGACAGGAGTCTCACTGGCACCGACCTGAGAGCAGATCTCACAAGGAGGTACTCGAGAACGAATCCAAGGTTTCGTCTTCAGTGCCACTGACGTTGAGTTCGCCAGTTAATACGATCTGCGCATGTTCAAATTGGCGGATTACTGCTTCATTGTGGATTTCAAAGGACGGAGGAGCACAAGAACGATGTTTATGAACCACGAACCAATGATCCGCGAGTTCCGGAAGGCCACTTGCTATTTATGTAATCTACAAGCCAATGCTTATTTCGCAAAAAATGCCTTACTCAGTTGGATGGATTGTATCTATCACATATGTTCATACAAGTCAAAGAAAATGCTACAAATACATTACGAGGAAATAAAAGTCAGGTCACGAGTCTGACTGGATGCACTTCTCGCAGTGCAAATCCTCGCTACTTCCTTTCCTTTTCGAATTCCTGGTAATTCCACACCCCACTGTTATCCACGCCTTCTCTGACCCACCCCAGTCTATTCGCCGTCAAGAGAGCGACCCGAATGAAGAGAGAGCCATCCAACTCTTCCGCCTCAGGCAACTCCGTCCCCACAAAGTAGCCCTTCGTCCGACTGCCATACAACTCTGCAAAGTGCGCCAATGCACGTTGAAGCTTGCACAGATGCTCGTTGGGATGCACGATCGTCGTCTGGATGAGTGGTAACCAAGGATTGGGGGTGAGCGCGTAGACTGAGCTAGGCGAGGGGATGGCCTCTGATGCTGGCGTTGGCTGCGGACCGACGAGAGCGGGTTGTGCAGGGGCGGTTGGGGATGACAGGAATCGTGTGATCGGAAATCCGGGTCGTCCTCGCACGAGCCACCAAGTGATCGTTGCCAGGAAATGAGCGCGCAAGAGCTGAGATTGGTGTTCGGGCGTGATGTATGCGCAGAGTGAGGGGAGAAAGAGAGCCGAGGTCACCATATGCATACTGTGATCAATTTAGAATCAGACTATTGTCAGATGCGATGAAAGGCATACGTGAAGAAGTCAGCAGCGTAATCTTCTGTCTCTTTCCAGCTACCGACACCATATACCAATGTGGATACCCAAGCCAGCTGTTCGAGGTAGTACTCCAAGTCTTTGGGACCTTTGATATCCACTACCCATTGCGAACCATATTCAACAATAGCGTCACCATGCGTCTCGAGCATTTGGGCGTACTCCACCTTGTCCAATATCTTGTTTGAGAAACGGGGATCCTTGAGCATACGAGAGAGGATAGTGAAAGCATGAGTTTTGGGTCGAGGCGTCGCTGTAAGTAAGCTGGGTGAGTAATCATAGAAGGAGGACATTGCACCAAATATACCTGGCGTATCTTTCGATCTGTAGAGAAGTTGAGTCACTAAAACGGTCGCGCCTGCAGGATGAACCGCAGTCTGCGCCAAACCTTTTGGATGTTAGTAAAAGGCTGATAAGCGTAATAAACCCAAAGCACCTTCTGCAATCATCCCTAGCAAACCAAATTCTGCGCCATAGCCAGTGTGGATAATGGGGTGAACAAGAATTTCCAAAAAACGATTCAACATTTCGGCCTGCTTCAGACCCTTGGCTTCTCGCGCGGGATCGACGTTATATTTCTCGGAGAAAATGTACCCTTCGATGGTTCCAGCGATACCTTTCTCAACGACCACCTCGTGGAAGAACGTCAAATACGCGTTATAATTACTGCAAGAAGAAGACGTGAGTGTGAGCAGCTTGATAGATGACAAAGAAGCCTCTCTACGCTCACTTTTCATCGCCAAGGAAATCGTTGAAGTTGTCGTGTGTGATGACGATAGGGGACTTGAACGCGTCGCGTTGGTGGTCGAGATGTGTTTGATAGTAGGCAGCATCGATCAAGGGGCCACTTGCACCGAGAGCCCATATCGCAAGTAGGTGGTGTGCGGCATGGCTAGATCGATCGATGATGGCGTGTCAATAAAAGAAGGCAAGTGTAGAACGATGAAAACCAGACTTGTGAAAGCTCTTGTGGTTGAAGAATACGTGGCATCGCTCGTGGTTATCCTTCAAAGTTTTGAGGAGCGCCGCAGTTGCATTCGGGCCCTCGTTAGCTAGTCGTCTTGGAGAAAGAACCGAGGGAGGTAAAGAAGGGACTGGGAAAAGTCTATCGAGCAATTCAGGATAAGAAGACATTATCCCCTAGTTCGAATAAATGGTATGACTTTGAGAAATGAAAAGTGAATGAGAAGCGTTGATCTGAGAAGTGGGCTCAAAACTGCTGCTGATAACTTGCAAGAAGCCAGATGATATTTATAACCCAAAATACATCCACCAAATAACTATACGAAAATGGAATAAATGGGATTATTCTCTGGGCATGATCTGGTGGTGGTACCGATGGTGATATTGTCAGACAGAGCCTTGGGCGATAACTGGGCCACTGGCTAGCGAGTGGGCTTAGCAGTACTTTGCCCGCACATGGATCGAGCCTTGACAGTGCGCGCGCTCCGTCAGTGACGGTTGCGGAATCTTGCTGTGGCAGTGGAGCATTGAAAAGGTATAGGGTCGGTGCAATGAGAGCAACGAATTTGCATTGACATCAACTGACATTTGGAGGAAAGATTGCATAGGCTTAGACTGGGCACGGACTCGATGGGTTTAAGATGAGATATGGATGAGTCCATTCAACTGGAGGTCGGATTTACTAGAAGTTAAGGTGGAGGTTCGACACAAGAATAGCCTAGCTGGATCTTGCACCGTGGACCTCCAAGGACTCGACAACACTTTTAACGTGGCTGAGTTGAATTACCGGAAGTAGCCGGCTGGTCAAGGTAAGACGAGTAGATTAGATTAGATTACATCCTGCACGCTCGGCTTTTATACTGATATCGACTCTTCGGTACGTTAAAGAAGTTGGCATCTCTGTAGACTTTTTAAAACGTAGAGCTTGTCGAGTATCAAAAGGGGACCAGGGAGAACATCACACCCCAGCATAGTGTGCAGGGGTCGGGTTGTGAACGTCCACTTGCAACGGATCGCAAGATCCTATGGAAGAGACACTTGAGGAAAGTTCCCGCATAGTTCATCGAGATTTGTGAGGAGACCGCCCGTGATCGGAGTAGATACTGGGCACCAGCACTGCTAAAGTGATGGTACAAACGCCAAGATAAAAGGCCGAGTGCTTACTATCGCCCTTCGATTCCATATGGTTCGTCTGTGCAGACTCGGACGTCCGATAGCATTCCCATCACTTATCGACCGTAATTTGAATTCGCATAGACGCCAAGGCTCAAAGCACGTCTTATACCTGACCGTCATACCCGCCACCATCTTTGCAGTTTGAGTGGGTATTACTGTAAGTGGATGGTGTAGCAGATGCAGTCAGTTAAATAGGTATTGGATGTGACGTATTTATTCGTTACGACCGCACACACGCATAGGTGATTAGTAGTGGTCCGATGCTGATGCTTATCGTATCTGGGGAATCGCATGATTGATCAGGAACGTTCCCATTAGTAGTTTGCCGTCTATAACGTACGCATACCTTCAGTTAGAGCGTACTCACAGCACTAAGCTTCAACACTTGTTACCTCGAAAACTTCCGTTTCACGACGTGCATTTCAGGAACAAAACAGAATCTCATTTAATATCATACACGGGATACACAACTAGAAGGAGAAAAACTCAGCTCCTAGCAAATACATGTTTATGAAGTGACTCACATACGCATCTACATCAATTCTTCAGACCCAGAACCTCCTCATACCATCCCAATTCGGCCTCCAATGCAGCCTTAATGGTTTCTGCTTTCCGGAATCCATGTCCTTCACCGTCATACAGGTGATATTCAACTTTCCCACCCCGCGCATTAATCTTCTGTACAATCTCCTCCGACTGTTCTTTTGGTACAACTTTATCATCTGCTCCTTGGAGAAGCTATGGGGTGAATTTTTAAGTAAGATCCCACAGCTACTCCAAAAATCTTTTTAAAAGCGGAAGATGCAAGTCTATTTCCGCGCTCCACAAGGGAGCACTGAATATCCGCAGCACAAAATGGCTTATGACCAAAAGTAACGAATGAAACTCACCAGCAAGGGTATAGTGATCTTATCAACATGGTAGATCGGCGACCTAGCCTCGTAAACGGACCGGATCCTCTCTACAGGTCCACCCATCAAACCGTCAATGTATCTCAACTCAAACTTGTGTGTGTCTTGCCCGAGTAGGATCAGGTTTGATATACCATACAAAGATGTCCCCGCGGCAAAAACAGTGACATCTTTTGCGGTTGACGCAGCTGCGAGCACGGCGAAGCCGCCTCCGGAACCTCCCCTGATCACGATACGTTTTGCATCGACCAGAGAGTAAGGCTTCGAAGATAGTATTCGAGCAGCATCGATGCAATCTTGTATATCAACCACTCCCCAATGTCCGTTCAGCCGATCGCTGGCAATAAATAGTATTAGTGGATGCAAGCAATTCCAGCGTATACGAGGTGGACTTGCCTGTATGTGCGACCATAGTTGGATGATCCGCTGAAATTCACATCCAGCCTTTGGAGATAGTTTGAGAACTCGCGAAAGGACAAACTCGTGAAGAATATTTACCAGGCCCATCCACGACTCGTAAAGTATTGTTTCGCCCAGTTAAGTGATTGTGGCTCCATAGCCGTGGGTCCCCCATGGACATTCAGTACACAAGGAGGCTTTTCTTCAGCAATGCTGGAACCAGAATAATCGGGGTGGAGGGGTGCATAGTATACAACGTACAATGGCCCATCATCTCTCGCGAGCGTCATTGGCTGAGGTGGTGAGATGAAATTCGAAGGAATTGTAGTGGAGGCAGGGGACGCAGAGTTGTGCTCAGCTGAGGGCCCACATATCTCAAAAGTCGGCGAATTTGAAGTTCCAGTGAGCGTACAAAACACAATTCCCTCTCCACCGTCGCTTCGCTTGCCAGAAAACACGACTTGTGACTCGCCATGACTGACTTGATGAACGCTAGAGATGTCCACGAATGGACATTCAACCTCTCTCGGCTGTGTCTTTCCGGACAAGTCAACCACATATAAGACACTTCGCCCGTTTCGATAGGCCATGAACATGGCCGCTTTGCCATCTGCGTCCAGCATCGAAAACGCCGAGGAGCCCAGAAGTTTATATGGTGCGCCAAAGTCTTCAGCAATGGAAGCAGGAAGAACAGCCTGAGCCTCGTCAAAGACGAGGGAGTATTTCCACGGATTGCGGTATCCTCCAAATGCATCACTCAAGAAAAGAAGGGTGTCGTCATTGATCCAAGAGACGTAGGAGGCGCTTTCAGCGTCTGGTCCCTTACCTGCGATGGAAAAGTGATCCGTGAGGTTGAGACTTGAAGGGTGACTCTCGATCGTCACGTTTGCGACATATATCAATGTCCCTTGCCATGGCATGTCGGGGTGATTCCATTGTTGCCATGCCAGCTTTGTGCCATCAGGAGAGAATGCCGGAGCAGCATAAAAGTCGGCGCCAGATTCGAGGGGTAAAACGGTCTTGGTGGTAGTATTGATCACACACAGTGTATTGACAACAGTTTCAGGTGTGTCCACAGTATGGTCTTCCTGGACGCATACCAAAAGATCCGGATGGTTGGGACAAACTGAAAAGTTTGCATAACGCAAAGTCTTTTTGCTGTCTGGTCCGTATGCGGGGCAGCGATTGAGATTATATGTATCAATCTAGAAATCAAAGTCATACTCACCTGGAGTGACAGCTTCAGGCATATGACCCTCTTCTATTTTATAGACCCTTCCATCTACGACGTGAGAGAAATAGATGTTCCCATCATGAGCCATAGCGGCCCCTCCTCCATATTCGTGCACAGCACTTCTAGCATCCCACCTCTCATCAAAAACATCCTCCTTGGTGCGCGTGTTGACGATGACAGACCTGCCCTTCTCGGCAGGCCTTCGTTCGATGTGATATACAGTAGACCGAATGGCGTCTACGATGATGTCGTTGATGGTCACGGACTAGCAAAACCAAACTTTCGGTGAGTGAACTACTATGATGCATGTTTAGGAACTGGATGTACACCGTTCGTGACTGCATCTGTTGAAATGGGCGATACCCATGTACCGTAGGGAGCTGTTCTTCCTGACATCGTCGTTCTTGCTCAGCGACCGTGTAAACTGAATATAAGAACTACCTTGCGATTGGCCATCATGGAATTGAAGACAGCCGACGTATCAAACTGCCTTTTATATCAACCTATTCTCTCCCAGTCTACAAACTGCGGCTTGAAGTTGCGCCATATCAAGTCTACTATACACATATTGCACAACTTTTTTCATACTACACTAAGCCAAGCTTGTCCAATATAAACAAAACAAAACGCAAAACCCGCTGATCTTTGCAAGTCTTGCGCCACTATCACACAATTTCATAGCCCAACTTCTTTCAGCATCAACGCCCATCTCGACTACTCATTTTTCGACGCAGGTAGGACCCTGTTTTCGTACCACACACGCTCGTAAATCAACGCTTGCTTCATATTTTCAGCCTGGCGCCATCCATGTCCCTCTCCTGCGAACTCGTGGTATTCGACGCGATCTGCGCCTCCAGTTTCCTGTATCTTTTTCACTATATCCTTAGACTGGTCTGGAGGGACAATCTTGTCCTCAGAACCTTGCAAAATCTAATCCACGAGGGGACATCATGAGTTATATTCCGGATACGACCATCATATTAACAAATGACGTACCAACAAAGGTTTCTTGATTTTTTCAGCATGGAAGTACGGTGATCTAGCTTCGTATATCTCTGGAATTTCGTCCACAGTCCCTCCGAGGAGTTTCTCCATGTAATGTAACTCCATCTTGTCGGTGAATTTAGCAAGTTGCTTTAGGTTGGAAATACCAAAATTCGACGTGCCAGCTGCAAAGAAGGTGACATCCTGGGCGATGGACATGGCGGCCAGAACGGCATAACCGCCTGAAGAGCCACCTCGCACGGCAACACGGTTCACATCGATAGAATTCTCGTGGGTTGCAGCTAGAATTTTGACAGCATCAATGCAATCCTGAATATCGACAATTCCCCACATCGTTGCAAGTCGTTCGCTATAATTGATGTGTCAGTACAAGTAAACATCTACTCGATGAACTAACATACATGTACTTTCGGCCATAGCCAGACGAACCACCATAGTTAACGTCAAGCCTAGAAACAATATGTTGATTGACGCATGTTGACATCTGAGGTATTGATCACGACATACCATGCATACCCACGACTTGTGAAGTATTGTTTCGCCGAGCTGAGTGCTTGCGTTTCTATCCCAGTAGGTCCCCCGTGGATATTGACGATACAAGGAGGTTTTTCATCCTTTGGTGCGATATAGTCTGGATTCTTTGGACCATAGTATATAACATGAATCGGTTGGTCACCTCTTGGCAACGTGAATGGCTGTGGCGGAGAAATGATCCCTGGGGGAAAAGCTGGGGCTACGGATCCGGTAGACTTGAGTGTAACACACTGGGCTGATGGTCCAGCCGCAGAATCAGTGATAGTGCACAAGATCACACCTCCAGCTTCGTCACTCTTCTGCCCAACAAACACAGCACCACCGAAAGTCTGACGGATGTTAGTGATCACTGCAAAATGGGAAGACTGGATGGAAACTTCTGCTGGTTTCTTCTCGCTTTGGAGATCAACAACATAGAGTACGTTACGACCATCTCGAAATGCCGTGAACAGTGCAGTGGATCCCGTGTGGTCGAGGAAAGCGTACGGATACGCGCCAAGCAGCCAAGCCGGTCCACCAAAGTCCTCCTGGACCGGAGCAGATAGTGCCAACTTTGCAATCTTCGTTACTGTAGAATATTTCCATGGGTTTTGATAACCAGAGTCCTTGTCGCTGGTGAATACAAGGGTGTTATTGTTGGCCCATAGTGGGTAGGAAACGCTGACGTGGGCTTTTTCTCCTGCTACAACGACAGCATTGCTGATAACGAGACTCTCTCCGCTAGGAGCAACATCGGCGACATAGATAAGAGATCCTTCCCAAGACATATCAGGGTGATACCATTCCTGCCACGCGATCTTGGTCCCATCAGGAGAAAAGACAGGTGAAGCATAGAAGGTTGCACCAGTCACTAAAGGATATGTTTGCTTAGTCTCCGTATTGATGACATAAAGGAAGTTGTCAGTTTCTCGGGGGTTATCTTGCCCAGAATGATCCTTGTGATTTTCAAAGATCGCTACAATCAGATTGGGATGCTTAGGATGAACTGCAAAGTTAGCGTATTTGTGATATTTGTTTTCTAGCACGCTTGTGTCAATATCATGTTTTCATGAGAATATTTCAGATGGATTTTACCTGGAGTGATCGCTTCAGGCGCTAGGCCTGTAAGTTTATTGACGCGGTATACTCTCGAATCATCCCAATTGGAGAAATAAATGGTGCCATCGTATGCAATAGCAGCAGCGCCTCCATATTCGTTGACACCAGTCCTCGCGTTGAAACCTTCACCGAAAACATCCCCTTTGCCGCCAAGGTGCGTATTGACGACTACGATGCGGCCTTTTTCAGAGGGTCTGTTCTCTAGGTGATACACCACGTGTTGTATTGGATCAACAATAACATCAGATATGTTGATGGTCTACGCAATCGGACGAATAAGTTAGATGATTAATAAATTTGGAAATGATAGCGTACATTCGCCGTGATAGCATCTTCAGTTATCGGAGAAGACCATGTTCCGTACGGCGCTGTCGTTTTCTTCTCCATCGCTGAGTTTATATCGACGAACAAAGTACTAGTTTAATGGGTCCTGCAGAGCGGGGAAGATGTCCAGGGCCTTATGTCATGATGAATGACTGGAATCAGCCTCACCTGAAGTGTTCGAAATTTTTTATTGATATCATTCCATCAGTATCACCAGACATGGTTTGAGCTGGTGCCCCAACGACCAAAGGCGTACCACAATTAAGTAAATGAAGACACAGGATTCTCGACTCGAGCCCAAGCTGGAATCTCTGGGGTCACATTGTCATCATCTCATGGAAGTATATCCTGTAGACAAGATGGTCATATTCATACCGTATAACCCTTGCTTCAATTTACACTGCTAATGCGACGCCTTTGAGGAGTTGGCAATCGACGATTGCGATGTTCTTCGTGGGTGGGTCACGGTGATGCTGGTTTGATCGCTGGGCGAGTTTTTGTTTTTTTTGCTAAAACCTTGCCTTTTTCGCGTATGTGTAACCTCCAACCGCTATGCAAGCTGGATGGACCTCAGCTGACACGACTTATAGCAACACTAGTACTGGCGATAACGATGATAGCAAGAGAGACGAGGAGACTCGGAACATGATCCAAACCGCGGCCACTGAAAATCCCGGACCGTCCCTCCCGGCGGTCAAGATTCTTGAAGTTGCGTCTCAGAGTCCAGCTCGATATGCAGGTGTGCCATTATCTTTTACTATGTTTTTAGATTGTTTCTTGCCAATGCTGAAGTTCGCATCTTGGATGCGGATGTCATGACGTTAGGCTACGATCCTCAGACAGTCAATGGGCTAAATGGAAATCAGTCCCACAGGAGACTGTTACTACTTCTAACGGTGCGTCTTACTATGGCACGCTGTTCTGGAGTACAGCTATTAATGAGTCTGAAATTTGAAGACTACCAGTACCAGTATGATGTGTTTTGGGTTGCTGATACTGTCAGACACGCTTCTACCTCCCGGCGTTCCATTCAGCGGCAGAATGCTCCACAGGAAACTTTCGCATTGACGGATTACAGCCAGACAGAAGATGACGGACGTGACAGGTACGGTTGCTTTGTTCCACCCCTATGAGCTTGCTAATGTACAACTTTCCAGCATTAAAGCTCACCTCGATTGCTCATTTCGATGCAGGCAAAACCCTTTTTTCGTACCACTCACGCTCGTAAATCAGTGCCAGCTTCTTAGTTTCAGCCTTGCGCCATCCATGCCCCTCCCCTGCGAACTCGTGATACTCGACACGATCCGCACCTCCTATTTCCGCTATTTTCTTCGCCATATACTTAGCCTGATCTACAGGGACATTCTCGTCTTCGGCACCATGCAATATCTAAATCAACGGGACGACATCGTGAGCAATATTCCGGATACGATAGTCACGTCAACGAATGGCTTACCAACACAGGTCTCTTCATTTTCTCAACATGAAAATATGGTGACCTAGCTTCGTATACCTCCGGAACCTCGTTCACAGTCCCTCCGAGGAGTTTCTCCATATAATGCAACTCCATCTTGTCAGTAACTTTGGTAAGTTGCTTCAGGTTGGAAATACCACATTCGCATAGGCATGTCGCAAAGAAGGTGACATCTGGGGCAATAGACATGGCGGCCAGGGCACTGTAACCACCCGAAGAGCCGCCTCGCACGGCAACACGGTTCACATCAATATAATTGTTATGGGTTGAAGCCAGGATTTTGACAGCGTCAACACAATCCTGAACGTCGGCGATTCCCCACATCCCTTCAAGTCGCTTTCTAAAGGTCGGGTGTCAGCATAAGTAAACATCCACCATGTACTAACATACATATGTTTGCGGCCGTATCCAGCCGAACCGCAGAAGTTCACGTCAAGCCTACAGGACCCTATTTAGTTGGCGCGTAGTGACTGAATTGATCACAACATACCAAGCATACCCACGGCTTGTGAAGTACTGTTTCGTCAAGTTAAGTGCTTGTGTTTCTAATGTAGTAGGCCCTCCATGGATATTGAGGATACAAGGGGGTTTTTCACCGTTTGGTGCCACATACTCGGAATTCTTTGGACCGTAATATATGACATAAATTGGCTCATCACCTCTCAGAAATGTGAATGGTTGTGGCAGAGAAATGAGTCCCGGAGAGAAAGACAGGGCAGTAGATCCGGTAGACTTGAGTGTAACACACTGGCCTGAGGGTCCCGTCGCAGATTCAGAGATAGTACACAAGATTACACCTCCAGCTTCATCGCTCTTCTGTCCAACAAACGCGACAGCACCTGCAGAAGCCTGACGAACGTATCTAATTACAGCGAACTGAGAAGGTTGGACAGCGACTTCTTCTGGTTCCTTCTCGTTTTGGAGATCAACAACATAGAGTATGTTACGACCATCTCGAAATGCTGTGAAGACTGCGGTAGAACCTGTGTGGTCGAGGAAAGCATACGGATATACACCGATGTACCAAGCTGGTCCACCAAAGTCCTCCTGTACTGGAGCAGATAGCGCCAACTTGGCAGTCTTTGTTATTGTGGAATATTTCCATGGATTTTGGTAACCAGAATCTTTGTCACTAGTGAATATGAGAGTAGTGTTGTTGGCCCACAACGGGAAGGAAACGCTGACGTGGGTTCTTTCTCCTGCCACAAGAACAGCATTACTAATAGCGAGACTATCACCACTGAGAGCGACATCGGCCGCATAGATAAGAGATCCTTCCCAAGGCATATCAGGGCGGTACCATTCTTCCCATGCAATTTTTGTCCCATCAGGAGAGAAGACAGGTGAAGAGTAGAAGGTTGCACCAGCCACTAAAGGATACGTCTGCTTGGTCTCCGTGTTAATGACATATAGGAAGTTGTCGATTTCTCGGGGGTCATCTTGTCGAGAACGACTGAATATCGTCACAATTAGATGGTAGTGCTTAGGATGAACTGCAAAGTCGGCGTATTTGTGAAAATCGTTTGCTAGCCACATATGTCAATGAAATGTTCTAGCGTGAATCTTCAAATACACTGCACCTGGAGTAATCGCTTCAGGCGCGAGGCCTGCAAGTTTATTGACACGATATACTCTTGAATCATCCGCGTTTGAGAAATAGATGGTGCCGTTGTATGCGATAGCAGCAGCACCTCCGTATTCATTGACACCAGTTCTCGCACTGAAACCTTCACCAAAAACATCTCCGTCGTCGCCAAGGAGGGTATTGACAATGACAGTGCGACCCCCCCCAGAAGGTCTGTTCTCCAGGTGATAGACTACGTGTTGTATGGGATCAACGATCACATCAGCGATACCAGTCTACACAATGGGATACAGGTTAGCTGATGAATATGTTTTGAACGTAACAGCGTACAGTCTCGAGGAGTGATTCTTCCGTTATTGGAGAAGACCATGTTCCATATGGTGCGGTTACTGGTTTCGCCATTGCCGAACCCATAGCAATGGACAAAGCACTGAGTTATTGGGTTCTGCGAAGTTTGGGACTCTGGGTTGGGGCGTTGGGGATGATGTCCAGGGCTTTATAACCATGATGAATGATCTCAATTCGCTTCGCCTAAAATGCTTGGTATACTAACCAGACATGGGATGAGCTTGTGTTTTCATAATGAAACTACTAGCATCTGCAAAGTGGTCGAACTCGCTTGATAGTTTTATGGCTAAGCGCAATTCAAAGATCTGAGCTAATCCCATTTGGGTTTCCAAAACTTCCTCCAACATACTTTTGAAGACCAATTTCGGTCAGATGTAGTAGCAGGCGAACCATTTATGAGCATCAAGCTTAAGAGGCTGCTTAGTATTGCGAACCCGAGTTAAGTTGGAATTTTGAGGGCTGTATCACCATGACACCTCAGGGAAGCACATTCCATAGACATAATAATCGGATTCCTACCGAATGACCGTTGAGTCGACGTCGACACTGCCATGCGAGGTGGCAATCGTCAAGTATGATGATCCACCCTCGACTTTTACAATCCTCAACCGCTATGCAAGGTAGATGGACCTCTGACGCGACTTGTAGTGAGTGATGATGATGATAGCAAGAGAGCATCTGGACAAGGTCATGGTCCAAACATTTCGCCAATAAAACTGTCAGTATGTTGTTATTTACGTGCAAGGCAAATGATTAGCCAGTTGCGATAGCCGACCCCGCTACAAACCCGTGCAATCTTATCAACGTGACCCATCCCTTTCCTTTCGGAATCGCACCCCTTGTCTTAAGCTTCCTTGGTACAATTCGTCTCTCAGGCTCTGTCTGAACATGTCATAAATAGTCATGCTCGTCAGACTACGATGAAAGAAGTGTATTACTGGTGGATGGCGTGATCGCGCGCCATACGTTTCGTTCATGCCTCGATATCGGGTGCTCTCAGGCTCAGGCTGGCAGACGTGTGGCCATTAGAACTTAGCAGCCCATATATACTGAACCCAATTTCAATTTTACATACATCTTGTCTTATCTCCTTTTCCTCCTTCTTGACTCTTCGTAGTTTTGACCATCAGATATGTCCGACGCAGCCCCAAAGTGAGTACTTACTACAATCGCCATTATGATAATAGGAGATCAGATGTGATGCGATTGATGTACCGATTGGCCCCTTCCCAGGCCATTTGAGTTTGAGACTCTACAGCTTCATGCAGGGCAGCAGCCAGATCCCACCACTAACGCTCGTGCTGTCCCTATTTATTCGTCGACAAGTTTCGTCTTCAACGATTCAGCGGTCAGTCCATATTTTAAACATCCAGTACGTTCGACTTGATTGACTTGCGGCTTTAATAGCATGGAGCAGAGCTGTTTGGTCTTCGGTACGTCCTCCACGACATAACATCTTTTGTCTCAAGGAGATGCATTGAATTCCTTCTCTTCCAGTGCGCTTGGACATATATACTCTCGCATCGGTAACCCAACGGTCGTATGTACAACTTTTATAGGTGTGGTTCCGTACCTCTAACGTTCCACTTACACAGGACGTATTCGAAAACCGAATCGCAGCTCTTGAGGGTGGTGTCGCTGCCGTAGCTGCCTCCAGTGGACAGTCCGCCCAATTCCTTGCCATCTCAACGATCGCCAGTGCAGGAGATAACATTGTATCTACGTACGTTGTCATGGCCAACCGATTACCTTGCTATATTCTCATAACGTCGTTTGATCGAATGTAGGCCCTTCCTATACGGCGGTGTAAGTCCTTTATCTTCTGCGTATAGTTAGCGACAAGTTTTAATCAAGACTATTGGACGAGATAGACATACAATCAATTCAAAGGTGCTCATTCACTGCAAATATGACCTCTTGGTTCATGACTCACCTAAATATCCTTCAGTGACCTTCAAGAAATTCGGAATCACTGTGAAATTCACCGAGGGAGACGACCCAGCCGGGTTCGAAGCAGCAATCGACGAGAAGACCAAAGCTATCTACGTTGAAAGTATCGGTAATCCCAAGTATAACGTCGCCCCTATTGCTGAACTGGCCAAGGTACTTTTTTCGGGACATATCCATTCATCAAGATCGCTCATGATATATTCATAGATTGCTCACGCCCATGGAATTCCATTGATCGTCGATAACACCTTTGGGATGGGAGGTAATATCCATATTGCTGGTTTCGACAAGAAATCGACAAGAATAGAGCTGATATTCCCATTCTGATCCATAAGGTTACTTACTCCGTCCAATAGACCTTGGCGCCGACATTGTTGGTCAGTACTAGTGTCCTTGTGGATTGAGACTTTTGAGAGATAACGCTTTGTCCTGTAGTGCACAGTGCAACGAAATGGATTGGAGGTCACGGAACGACCATTGGTGGTGTTGTTGTCGATTCAGGTATGAGCATCAATTACCCTTCTGACCTTGTGTGATCAACGTCGTGTCTATTTGCAGGAAAATTCGACTGGACACGATCTGGCAAATTCCCCGGTTTTACCGAGCCTTCAGAGGGATATCACGGACTCGTATTCAGTGAAACCTTCGGCGCCGTTGCGTTCGCCACGAAAGTGCGCGTCGAGCTTCTCCGTGACATTGGCCCAGCGATGAACCCATTCGCGGCCTTCCTCCTTCTGCAAGGCTTGGAAACACTTAGCTTGAGGGCCCAGAGGCATTCGGAGAATGCACTTGAGCTAGCTAGGTGAGTACTTTTTCGCTGAAATACCACTTACCTTCAAGTGACCAATTCAACCTCGTCAGGTGGCTATTGAACCACCCCAAGGTCGCTTGGGTCTCGTACCTCGGGCTTGAAAACCACGCATACCATGAACGTGCCAAGCTCGTGTTGAGGCCGAATGCATTTGGAGGAGTGTTGAGCTTTGGAGTCAAGGCAGACGTGAGCGTGGCGAGTAAGGTCGTCGATAGTCTCAGATTAGCCAGTAACCTAGCCAATGTTGGTGAGTCATATGAATTTCGTCACGTCTTCGGTCTTTTCGCGCGATGCCAATACATTCGTGCTTCTCCACTGCGGTTCAGGGGCTGTGCTGACTGAACATTTCTATTGTCAGGTGATGCAAAGACGCTAGTGATTCATCCTGCGACCACAACACATCAGCAGCTTACTGAGGATGAACAGCTTTCGTCAGGTGTCACTCCCGACTTGATCCGGGTGAGTGGACTGTGCTCATGATTGGTCCTGGATTGAATGGTAGAACTGACACTGGCTTCGTCGTAGGTTTCTGTTGGTATTGAGCATATCAGTGACATCATCGCAGACTTTGAGCAGGCCTTGAAGGTGGTTCCATGAGCGAGAACTATCGGAGGAAATAAAAAATGTAACACTATCTAAAAAATGTACAGTATGCGAGGAAAACACACCTATCTGAACTGGGCTCTTAACTAACATCAATACTTGGATCTCAAGGATAGAGACTAGAAGTGCAAAACGCTGGCATTTGATACGCCATGCTTGAAACCTGATGAACTTGAAGTACATCCATGGACCATTCACCCAAACGGGTGTGTGAGAAGAGTACTTTGTCAGTAGTTACGATAGTTGGTGCGACGCGTGCGCTCGGCACCAAACTCCCATTGACAGACGTGATGTCAGCTTGAGTAATCGTGGGTGTGCGTGATCCAATGTCCGTGCGCGGCATATTGACGCATGCACTCACAGAGAGGGGGCAAGCCAGCCTTTATATACCGCCTCAACATGATGGTTCCAAACCAAGATATCCAGCCATGAACGGACACACTACAGCTCAACTCGATACTCTCTTCCCCGCACCTTCCCCCCCACCGAACACCCAATGTCCTCAGAGGTGGTATGGCGTCAACCATGAAACCACAGCAGCCTTGCAGAAGACCTTGAAAAAGAACCACACAAAGTGGCATATTTTCTTCAATGACAGGGGTTTCCACAAGTGAGTGATCTTATTCGAAAGAGGTTGTATGGTTTATGCCGATCGTCTCATTTCATTCATAGCCATATCGCTCATCATACTTTGGCATTGTACGCACTGGGAGCGAGCGCACCAGTCATTGAGGCTGCCTATGAACTCGACAGTCGTCACCAGCGCGCCCTCTTTGAATCTCCAGAGGCTATCACCGAAGAGAACTTCATCGACCATCTCGGAGACGAAAAGTCATTAAAACATTCCGTTCTCCTGTTGATTTATCAAAGCTCACCGACTTGACAGGTTCTACAAAGCTTACCTCACATTCTTCACCAATGCTCTGCTCGAGAAGGGGGCAGCCGCAACGTTGGAGAAGTTCGTATTCTCGGACGAGTACAATTACGAAGCTCCAAACCTTAAGGACGGCCAGTCGCAGCCCAAGATGCTCGTTCGCTTCTACGACGCGCTCATGCACACAATGATTCACGTTGGCTATGGCCTCGAGTTCGGTCTGATGGGCATGGTTGTGGAAGGTTTGTACCATCGTTTGAATGTAGTACTATCGGGTACTGAGAGTCTCTCAACATGACAATTAGGTCTTGCCCAAGGCGCAGTCCACAAAGGAGACGCAGGCATTCCTCTTGTAGAAGATACTTTCAAGTCTCTGAAATCGAGTGGAGCCGTTGAAGTTGCTGCGGCTGCTGGCAGGCTCGCGTCCCTGACTCTCGAGCAGAAGCCTTTTTATACGCAATGCGAAGGCCAACCCACTACTGGAACCCATGCGTTCTCTATATTACAGAGCATGCTGGCCGACGACCGTCTTACGAACATAAAGGCGCCTCAGACTTTGCTTTCAACTCACACAGAGGCAATGGATAAATACGGTGCAATCATTGCTGAGCACGCCGCGAGCTGGACTGTCGATCTCAGCAAGCCTGGTGAGCTCGAGAGGAAGGTGGAAGAGCTGAGCTGGGTAAACGCCATTTTCTACGCTATCGGTGGGTGGAACGAGGGCAGCGATTTTAACTCGGACTTCTTCTTGCAAGTCACTTTCACTGCTTACCTGACCCCCTAGATCGCTAACTTTTGATAATATTTACCTTTTGGTTACTTTCAGATTGCATCTCGTAACGTCGTCACTCTTCCTCCCTGCCGTTTTGGCGTATCTGACTCCACGTGCGCAAGTCATTTGCCTTCGCACGTACTTCTCGTCTTCCTTGACATGGTGGGTCGCCACCGGCCTCGCACGATTCGACATCCCTGCATTCTTCTCTTCCACCTCCACGCTCCCCACGCCCCCGAGAAGCTCGACCGCAGCCAACCCCAACCCCGATACCCTCCCTAGCGCCACCTCCCCCCACGCCATCACGCCGAACCCATGGCTGCCCATCATCCAAACCACCATCGTCCACCCCAACGACCACTTGTGCAAGCTCCAGCGTACGTTGGCTCACTTTGAGCGGGTGTACGGAGGGCGCGCGCCTGGCTATTTCAAAGATTCTGGACTGGAAGGTGCCGAATATCTGGACGGATCACTTTTTGTCAGAGCTGCTACGTTGACAGCAGACAGACTTGGCTGGATGAGAGAAGGACAGGAAAAGAAGTCTTTCAGTTTCGAAGGATTTTATGCAAAGTAAGCGCTAGCGCTATGGTGAGAATGACTTTTGAATAGTCCATGGTACGAGTATCTACCAACATAAATGTAAGAAATAACGAGCAGTATGTAAGTAGGTAATCCCTCACCCTGTATTAATAGTACACTCCCCTCAATCAACTATTGTATGTGTATCATGACATCTGATCAGCGCTGAAATGAGACAGTATGCCACGAACTGTTTATATCCAAGTGCAAGTGACATCTAGAGATTTACTCTCGGAGCAAGATCCACACCAGCGCTTGCAGGGCATGGCAGATTCTGAGATGTTGCATAACAAAAAAGTCCCTGTATTGATTTCTACCGTTCGTATCCTACTCGCCCACTTCTTGCAAGCGTCACTATACTTGCAATATACTGTCCAGTGTCCACTAATAATTTAGCTGCAGATGGTTCACAACAAGATCGGAGGATGCCTTTTTTTCGTTTTCCCCAAAAAAGAAAAGAAAAATCAAAAGAAAAGAAAAAAGAAATCATGACACATCACACTATGCACGCCTAATATTAACCACAAACTCACTCGGTGTCATTCCAAGAAGTCCACTTGCCTTCTCGCTGAAACCATACCATCCCCCTTGGAAGTATGATGGTCTTTAGGGTTGGACACGACTCGTGCCACTGGGCCGCGATCGATCGTTCTTCGTCTACGGATGCGGGGGCGCCTGGCGCCATGAAAGTCAGGTATCGCAGGGCCCTAAATCTAGAGAGAAGAGGGCTAGCTTCACGCAGTACATCCTGAACATGTTACAATAATCAGATATGGCTATCCATATCGTCGAATAAACCACTTGCCAGCGTGTATTGCGCCATTAATACGACTATATGGAGCGCCTCCAGCTCTGGGAGGCGTGCGGCGACTTCTGGTAATAGTATATTTGGTTTATCGGTGTCGAATGACATGATCGTCAATCTCCTGATGGTCGATGTGGAGAGAAGGAGTGTGTCAAGAGACTGAAAGGTGTCTCCACCGTATAGTGATAGAGACACACCCTCGATAGGTCTCCCACGAATAATTTCCGTGAGGAGGCACGGGCCAGAGTGTACGGCGCGAAAGCTTTTCAGCTTTGGCAGCGCCGACGTCGGCAGCGTGAATGGCTGGCCAGACTGAAATCCGCGCAGACATAGTTCAGTGATGTCGGGCTGCATCCCCAGGAAGTTCGCGAGGGAGAGGTCAGAGCGAATCGAGGTGGTGAACGATTTGAGAGAGAAGACGCATCCGTCAAAGATCCATGTTAGTTCGCGCGTGTTATCAAAGTGAGAGAACTCGATGGTGAGAGACGTGACGGCGTTCAGCCGCTGTAAGGCCCGGTGCAGCAGACGGAAGAAATTGCCAGTGACGCGGGTTTCCTCCAGCCCGATGATGAGTTCGCGGACGAGAGGCGGGTAGATGTCGCTTTTGGAAAGGGTCCTGACAAGGATGATGACTTGCTTTGCTGTGAGCTCTGCGATGCAGCGGTAGAGCACGCGGGAGGCGGCGTCGTGAAAGAAAGAGTTGAGCAGCAAGACGGGGCAGAGCTCTTCGCGGCTTAGATTGCGAAATATGTGGTCCAGCGTCTCGACAGGCAGAAATGAAGACAACGGGTGTAATTTCAACGTATTCATGTCGGTCTTGCGGTCGCAAGTCTTGTATCTGATGAAAGGGAATTCACACACATCAGTGCGGGGCCAAGGTGCATAAGCCGGTGGCATCCCAGTCTCCACTTCCTTTATAGTAACTCTAAAAGTACACTATCATTCCTCACAATTCACAACACAAAGGAAATTCAATCATTGCGTCTCTCAAGCCATCAAATGTATCGCAAAAAATGCATCCAATTGATTATTCATAACCAGGTATAATATGTGCGCAATCTATCAATATTAAATGGCATATCCCATGCGTTTACTGGACTTTCACTGTCTTTGGCGCACTGCCTTCTGCTATAGCCTCAGCCCGAATACCCTCGGCCTCGATCTCTGCAATCAGCTCACGCTCAGCCGCCTCCTGCTCATCCTTGCTCTTGTTCTTCATAGCAGCCTTACTGGCAGCAATACGTTTACGATATTCCCGGTACTTGTCATCAGTGCCGAAAATACGGTCACACCACCGGAACGAGGTCGAGAAGTTGTTCGTGAATGCCATATGGTGGAAATCGTGGTGTTCAGCACCAGACCAGAAGGGGAGGATGTGCTGGAGGGACCAGGGGAAGTCTACGCAAGGGTAAAATTCAATAAATATATAGATATCGAAAACGAACGCGCGAGGATAGATTACTCACCGTAACCGCTGTGAGCATCGATGGCCTGGAAGAGACGCAGAGTTATCCACAAGTAGACCGTGAAGATGTGCAAGTTCCGGGTGAAGTAGCAATACAACAGTGGTCCGGCGATAGTACCAGTACCGAGGATGAAAACTTCAGCGGGGTGAGCGTACTCTGCAGCAAGCCCGAAAGGAGCAGAGTATTTGTGATGAATCTTGTGAATATGCTTGTACAGGACACCGGTGTGAAGAGCTTGGTGAGCTGTGACAGGGCAAAAGTCAGTCTCATCACGTCAAACTTGGAAGTGTTTCCTAAAAAGACGCACCAAAGTAGTGGAACATGTCCTCGAAGACGAAGAAGATAGCTATCTGGGGGAGCATAGTTTGCCATGAAGGGAAGGGAACCTGGTAGGTAGACATGCCAAGGCTTTCAGCAAGTGGGTGGAACAACCAGATCTATACACACAAGTCGGTACAGTCAGCTTAAAAAGCACACATCAAGAATTTTTTTTTTTCAAAAATACCTACAGCAGGAAGCTCGATCGTGAAGTGAGAGAACAAAACCTGTTTAGTACACTGCCATTGCTCCTGAGGTGTCGGGATCTTGTTAGGCTGCAGCTTCCACTTCTGAAAGAATGGGATAGCGTCGATGATGATCCAAGGAATAGAACGACCAAAGTACACAATCTACGAGCCAAAGTGATGTCAGCATTAGGGACATACGAAGACAGTAAGAATACGAACCTCATGCAAGAGGAAACTGGCCAAACCAGTCGCGATGATGGGGTTGTCAATCCACAAATACCAACTAACCCATAGCTGCTCGAGCCAGTTCAATGAAGAGAAATCCAAGTTGGGATATAACTGCTGAGCCGCAGCAGAATGCATGGTTGCTGCCGTCGCGTTGAAAGACATGGCGGTCTAAAACTTTGAGTGAGTACGTCGAAGTACTTTCTCTAGCTTTTTGTGGGGCGCTGTCTTTTAAAAAGGGAGAGCAGTGGAACAACCTTGAGAACCGTACCACTTTTTTTTTGCCTTATAATTTGTGGCGTGAGCGGTTTCTCACCCAATCAGCGCTGATTATATCATCCGCGGACAACAGAAAATGGTCATATCCTCTGGAGCTTTTGGACATTTGGACGGGGGAAATGACATGATTGCGTTTCGAAAACATATCTCGCCACTGTTCTTCATATGTAGTCCGACGGAAGCAAGACGGAAGGATCCAAATTCAAATCCACCATAACTCTTTACAGTAATAACTCTCGTCCTAAAGGGACCCTGCCCAATTGGAATTCCCAGCCCAAGGCACGTGACTATCCAGAACGGCAGGGAAAAAAATAAAGAAAATCAAGAAAATCGACAACTCTAAATTTCGAAGCTCTGAGCTATGTTGCTTGGCAGCCACAGACGAGGCAAATAGTTTTTAGCAACCTTGCATTGATTGGCTCCTTTAGTATGTTGATTTTCATCATTTCAACCTCTCTTTTTGGGGGCCTGGTAGGAAAAGCGACAGTGCTTTTATCCGACGGCCCGGGGATGGAAAGTAAATCCACTCGTTACTGTACCACACTTTCTCCACAAAAACACCGCGAGACACTATCCAGGAAACCAGGAAGATTTTCTAGAAACTCTGGAGGAACCAGTGGAGACAGCACAATACAATGTCATGCATGTTGTCGGAAGAAACATAAAGTAAAACACATCTATTCCAAAAACAACAACAACAACAACATCGACAACAACCTCCACCCAACTTTTTCACAACTTGTCCAAGTAATACGATACCTTGTCCAAGCAATACGATACACTATATATAAAAAACCACGCTGGGGTGAAGCACCGTCCGCCGGCACCACACACACCCTCGAGTATGAGCTAGATAGGGTAGAAAACAGATAAACAGATAACAGATATTTTAAAAAAAAGTAACAGAATAGACAATAAAAACAAAGTCAGAGAAATCTCAGTTTACAAAACATTTTTATGAACACGTGAAGGACAGGACGGATGGGACTCCGAAGTTGCTGGGGAGGAGAGAGGGAGAGAGACAAGTCCGCATCCTTTGTAGACTCTGAACCATTTTCAAATTTTGAAGATGGGAGATGGGGAACGGGCATCGCAGAAGGACTTTGGATGGGGGCTGCAAGGTGTAGGGAAAGTGCAGGGTGGAGAGTGCAGGGTAGGGCTCGAGGATTATTTACTTTTCGGCGGTCTCTGCGTAGCTAGAGGCTTTCGCGCCCTCTCCGTTGTCTTGTGATGCGGTATCGACGGAGAGCGAACGTTGACGGTTTCGCACTTGGAATGGGTAGTCGCCACCACTACCCTCGTTCCTCCTTCGGTAACGTGCGAGAAGGACTTTCCTAGTAAAGGCAAGCCAGTCAGTCCATCAATCATCAATCAGTTTTCGCGACCTCGCCAACACAGCGACAGGGTGCAAAAAGCGTAAAAACTTACATGTAAGGGGGGATGATTCCACCTGGAGGGATCACCCAAGGCTCTGAGGCGTCGTAGCTGGGCGGCGAAATGCGGTTGTGGCTGGCTTTGCGCACGATCCAGACGGAGCCGTTGATGATAACGTAGGAGAAGATCCCAGTGATGACACCATAGGCGATGCTAGTGCAAGGTAAAAAGGTCAATTATAACCACAAACGATGTACAAGGAGACGCGACGTACTTGTATGACATTGGGATCATGAGGATGGTAAGGAACGCAGGGACTGCATCACCAATGTAGTCCCAGTTGATGTCTCGCACACTAACAGATGATCATTGGTGAGTTCACGTTAAACTCTCTTGATTGCTGATCGAAAAGTGATACTCACGTTCGGATCATCAACGAGCCCACGATAACAAGTGCACCACCCGTAGCCCATGAAGGGATCGATGCAAATATGGGAGCGAAGAAGACGGAAACGAAGAATAAGAGTCCGGTGACGACAGCTGTAATACCAGTCTTTCCACCCTCTACGCTACCGTGTCAGCAAGCTTCGAACTGCGAGCGTCGAAAAACAAAGGTTCCGCACCAGAGATACCAGTGGCACTTTCAATAAATGCAGTTACGGGACTGGTGCCCATCAGAGCGCCCATGCTGATGGAGAAGGCGTCGACGCAATATGCGATGGTAGAGTTTTCAAAGTCGAGTGTAACAGGGTCACGCAGGCCCGCGAATTTAGCCATGGAGTAAAGAGTACCGGTTGTGTCTGAAGGGTAGCGATGAGCGTGTAAGTGCTGTTGGCTGAAATCAATAATGAAGCCCAGCTTACCTAAAATATCGACGTAGAGGAACGTGACAAGGGCATACCACACATTACCATTCTTGTAACTAGTGTACTGAAGACAAACAAAATCAGCATCGAGAAAGGATGGGAGCGACGGAGCCTTACATCAAGGGCGTTCCCGATTTTGGTCAAAGGATGGAACGTAACGACTTGTTTGAAGAAATTGAAGAGGTCATCACCAGCAGCGGTGTGAGGAAAGTATGTCACAGAGGTTGGGCGCGGCCATGAAATGATCGAAGTGAGGAAGATACCGATGATGATGGCGCCCTTGACGCGGTAAAGCATCAGGATGACAGTGAGGATACTAAAGGATACGATAAGTCTTTGCTGCGAATGTTGAAAACGACAAACACTCACCCTCCGACGAAGATACCGAGCCAGACTGTGGGGCTCCGCATAACTTTGGACCCACAGTAATAATCCAGGCCGTCAACCCAGTCTGAGAAGAATATGTCAATACATGACAAGTCTCCGTCGTGTATGATGAGACTCACCGTTTGAGTTACATCCACCCAAACCAACGAAATTAGTGGTACTACCCCCGATTACATTAAGACCGCCAGATGCTTTAGAATAGATCGATGTCAAAGATAGATCCGCTGAATCGTCCATGAGCACTCACTTAAACCAATAAAACTGATCAGGGACATTAACTTATCAGTACCTTGAGTTTCTAAGAACGTTGACCGACTTACGCGATGTACAAGCCAATACCAGCACCGACCGCAAGCACAAGAGATTGCGGCATAATACGTGCCAGCCATTGCCGAAGGCCGAGAAGGGAAAGGAAAAAGAATACCCACCTGGGGACATGGTGAGAAAACGGGAAGCTTCATTGATAACGGAAAGCACGCGTACCCTTCTAAAAATACAGCTGCGAGTGCCTCACGGTATGAAATGAAGCCACTTCCGTGATAACCTACAACGGAGTATGCAAACTGGGAGTCGATAAGCCACTGCGAAGTATGGAGAGCGTGAGTGCAGAAGAGAACGCACATATGCATTGAGACCCATTCCTGGTGCCATGCCGACAGGTAAATTTGCGAGAGCACCCATGAGAACAGAAGCCAGAGCAGAGACAGCAGCAGAAGTTGTGATGAGGTCGCGTTTGACCTCTGCCACGCAACTCAGGTAAACGTCATCGGTTGCACAGAAGTTTGGGGAGGTGCAGACACAGGTTCCTCCAGTATCGGAGATAATAGACGCGTTAACGGATATCTTGCAAGACACATAAGGTCAAAACGTATGAACGTGATTGAGATATGAGGACATACAATGTAAGCCATAGCTGCCTGTGGTTACGCTTCAGTTAGCCTGGACTAAGATTAGTGAACAACTTGCTTACCCATGTAGTAACGCCAGCTCTGATTTCGGTCTGACAGAGTGAATGAGCGAAACGAAAGGTAGTAAAGGACATATTGGCATACCAGGAATCTGGAACCTTCACGTTCACGAACATGACCTGAGCCTTCGAGACGAAACCATGTCCCGACCGATGAAGCGGCGACCTGTTAAGAGAGTGCCAGCGCAAGTGAGCAACGCACTGCGCAGAGAAAGAGGGGAGAGTATACCTGAGCGTTGAGCCTATCGAAGAAAGTGATCATCTCGACAGATGAGGGGGGTAAAAAAGAGGAAGGAGAGAAATATATAAAGGAAAGTAGGACCTCGTTAAGTTGAGGGTTGGGAGTACGAAGAGGACTGAAGGCCTGGGTAAACCTGGAGAGGCATGCTAGCAATATTCTAGTACCCAAAACACAGATCTCAGATTGAGCAGGACGGCCCTATAGCGGCTCATGCCGATCAATCAAATGTCGACTTTTAAAGTTGTTGCCCAGCGTGATCATCTTACGTTTATTGCCACGCCACATAAAGAACCCATATGCTGCATACTTCCCATATCTGGAACTGCCACCGGCCTCTTCCTGCCATAGACGTCATCTCACCCGGCAAACTAATCCATCCGGAGACAGATAGGGAAATAGAACCAAGCCCGGTCTACCCGCATCGCCGTATCGAGGGTCTGCACTCTCTTTATCTTGGCTCGCAGTACGACCTAGTATACCGGGTCTCTATCAGTTGCCACCAGTTCACCTCAGTACGCCAATGCGACACTCGCACCAACGTTTTGGCTTCTCTGCCACGTCACACAATAGCACCATATCCTTTCATTTTGCTAGCTGCAAAGAACACTACTACGACATTCGAAAAATACAGTTTCACCACCGTAACTTCCACCATAGAATTCTCTCGACTAACAACCTCGTGCCCTCTTAATATCGGGCCTTTCAGTAACCACCGAACTGCTGACTGTCCTTCAATTTTAAATCGGACCACCATTCACTATTGTACTATTAGTGTCCCTCAGAAGAGTAATCTAGAGGTAAGTGTACGCAAATGAAGTGCCTCGTGTTGATGCCATTACTATGTCTATATCGGAAGCATCCTATAGAATCACACTTTCCAACGTACTCAACACAGCCAACCCATTGGATCCACCCACTATCGATGATCATTTCCTCACGATCATTTCCACTATTCTTGGACCCCGAGTCTCGATTCGAACCTTTCTCCATTGCCGCCCCACGTCCGTCCTCGGGCTCGAGATGGCAAAAGCATCACATAATCTGGGTCAAGTTCTCACTTTGAGTGCTCCAACGACGATCATCATCTCATCATCATCTGCAACTTATTGAACAGTCAAATGAAACAACTTCCCAACGCTCTGGGAACCCTGCAAGAAGTTTCATTCATCCCCCTCGCCGACGGTACAGCGTGTCACTCCTTGATAAGATGAAAGACCATGCAGTAACTCGGTCCGACCTTGGTTTCCATTTCCTAGTCCTCGATCGGGCGCCTTATGTTGCTGGTATCAACGGAGAGCTTATCATCATGATGTTTCAGGACTAACCATTCGTTCTGTCAAACTTCTAGCGCTTTGCAAACCTTCTCTCAACGACGTACAAAACGCTGATAGAAGGCACATAAAAGCTGCTAAAAGGCACCACGTGATGCTCTATCAATACGAAGAAGTCAGCAACAAAAGTGGAAATTAAGTACATACGGGGTAATGTAGGTGCTCCCAAGATCCCAAAAATTAGAATCGTTCCCTTTCCTGGTAACCGCGACGCCCAGCAACTTTCATCTCGCTCAAAGGGATCCAACCCCGTCTTATCAACGCAGGATCATTAATCGACTCCGTTAACAGGATTTCTAAAGACATCCGTTCATTTAGGATATATAGTCAGGCTATTCGTGGCCCGAAAGATGCTCTGTAAATAGGTATGTCCTTGTCCACAGCAAGAGAGAAAAAATGGCTGCAGTGCATGAAACCGCAACAACTCGAAGGCGCCACAGCAAGTGAAAAGATATCTCTGCTTCAACGTTAACAGCTTGACTTACCGATGCCAGCATCCGAGTCCTTTGATACAGCTTTGCAGGATTTACGGCAAGAAGAGGATCCAGGGCATTGGCTGTAAAGAAAGGACCAGGAACTTCCAAGAGAATTGATGCCAACTCTAAATGCCATAATCCCATTCTCGAAATAACTTACTCAAATATATCGATGAGAACGTGTGACCAGAAGTATATCTACAGTTTCGCTTGCATAGCCTTCGTCCGCGACCATTGAACAGCAATGGGAAAGTATCGTTACAGAAGCACATATAACCACGGATAAACGTTTTCGCAGCATCGTGAGATGCAGTTGTGTTCGCAATGTTGAACAGAGGTGAGACAGGAAGAGGCAACGGAGATTTCTGAGTACGCCGCGGAAAGCTATTGATATGTCCTTCGGCGTTCGAATGAGATATACGGGCATCATGCATCATGAGGGTATTGGTGCCCCCACTCGCAGAAATGAATGTGCCTAGCAGATGTAGATGAAAAGGGTGATTGGGCGAAAGCGGATGATAGCGGTCCTAAAATAAGCTTCTGATACTCCACTTGAGATATTAGGAGAACCGAATATGAGGTTCGGAGGTATGCTTTCTCCTGGCTGGAAAGTTGTCAGTCACACGTCGGCGTAGGAGACAGGCCGGTCTGTCTGTCTGAAAAGTGACAAGAAGTCTCGATGAGGCAAGTAACCATGTAGACGGAAGCAGTACTGTACTCCTCATATGGAGCGGAAGGACCGTATCTTAGAGATACATTATCAACAATGTCACCAATGTCAATGTCAATGTCAATGTACGGAATGTTATACAGCTTTCTACATTGATGAAGGGGCGGTTCGGTCAATGTAAGTAAGGGATTGAAAAGCACTAATATGCTGAACTGCTTACTTTGCTCCTGCCAAGGTCAGCTTGACCAGAGAATAGATAATTTAACTCATCCATAAAACCATCCGCCAGATCTCCTTTATGTAGTGGTCGTTTGGTATAAAGGGGGGGAGCATATAGTACTCATGGAGGTGAAAAATAAACACGCTCTGTCACGGTTTACTGTACCGCCGGCACGGGGCCCACAATCAACTCGATGCGCCCCGTGTAGGTCGATAATCCACCTATGTGTCTTGGCAAGTGCGGTGTGTGTGCACACTGGCAGGGTCCCAGATGAAAAAACGAAGTGTTGGGGTTGGTTGATTTTTCCTTTCGTGTGTTTGATATGAAGTCGTCCGCTGTTTGGCAGGTCGACTCGGACCTGATGTGCGGAAGACAAGTTATAGGACAGTAGCCAAGTCATAATGCGAGCAGGATATCGGTGTACAGCCCAAGCGAGGTGGTTAGCCAATGAGCTCAGCGCTCAACAGTTCTGAATCAGTTGCCATCTTTCAGTGTCAGTGACAGCAAGACTTTCCTATGCAAAGGCTTGTTATTTTTTTCTGGCAAGCCTCCAACGAGGGGTTAGGGTTAAGCCTTACAGTATAGAGTCGATCCACGTGGCTCGCCACGCGAACTCGTGGAAGGGACCGAAGGGTGCCAGTGAGGGCGTAGAGCTTGCTCATTGCCTCCATCGCTCCTTCACGCCTGCCTCGTCCGCTTTCACCTCTATCATGCGACAAACGTTCCATTTAAGCTTTCCCAACCTTCTTTCTGGCATATCTCCATTCTTGGGCTATTTTTATTAGACCTTATGACGATCCGGTCTTTGCTTGATATTAGCAAGGTGACGTCTCAGGCACTTTCTTCTGTGCGGGATGGAGAAACTGATGAGGGTTTTTGCTGGGTTTTATTTTGATTGTAGGTGTTCACTGATCCTGGTGAGGATTGAGATCTCCTTTTTTCGTCGGGGGGTTAGTACGAAATGCGACATATATCGGGGTGATTCCCTGATGCCCGCACCGGCATTTCCATTCGGATCCTTCACACTTAAGCCATACTAATGCTTCAACAAAGATTCAATGTCTATATGCACTGTACTGAGCAAGGTGTAGTGTCGACATGAAGGGTAGTCACGACGTGGTAGGTTTCATTATGCGTTATCTCAGCTCGTACTACGCCTTGCTCGCTTTGAGATTCTTGCTCACATCTTTCCAGGATTATGTCCCACTTATCGCCGTGGTTGTGCAATATATCGCAGGACAGTTGCGGGATAAAATTTTAGTCGCACTGAACCAACGTGGCTTTTCGAAATTCAAATTGACACGATCTCACAAGTTGATCAGAGTCTTGCCACAGTGAGGATTTTATTGGATCGTTATCATATCGATTACTGAGGTTATGGCGATGTCTTTTAGGTCGTGAATGTTGTTTGATTGTCCGTGAGTTTTGTCTGTAGTAAACTCCAACATAGCAGGTTTTAGGCCGGTGTCGGCGTTTCATATGCCGTAGCCTTGTTTGGGTGCGTTTCATCTACGAGGGGTCATTTTCATCGCTCTGACCATCTCGTTTTGCGAAGTCTGCAGCAACGATGGCCACTCCAGCCTCCTTTCACGACAAGGAAATCGACCTCTTGCGGATCTGAGAAGTGTAGTTGGGCACGTGTTGTTGAAAGATTGCGTTTCTTGGGGCTGACTTAGTGGCTGGACTGGCCCAACCGGCCACAGGAATAATGGTGAGCTCAATGATTGATGTTTCCATGGGTATGGTATGCTAACGCTAGATTATCATTAGGTATTCATAGGTATGTGTTGTTATCTCGCTTTCATTGACACTTTCAGTAACCTTCAACATTTACAGGGCTACGCTTTGTGCATTCCTCAATACCACGAGTTGCTGCCACGGAAACAAAGACATATATTGCACACTGCACTTGAGCTCTCCGACATGAAAATCCAGATATATATAACGGCTTCCGTGGCAGTTATTCTCTGTCAAGCCTCTGCTATAGTGTACATCTCTGACGTAGCGCCTATACGTACTATTTGTTTACAGCCCCCGCCGAAACCAGGTAAAAACTCAGCCACCAGGCATTTTGTTTACAGCCAAATAGCGGAGAAACGCCTGATTTGTCAGTCTCCTGCGGTTTTATTGTCTCGGCCCGAAGACTTTTCGGCCAATTCTCCGACCCCAGCGCCGCCGCCGTCGACGACGACCCATAGAACTTTTGCTCGTCCAGCATAGCTTATTCCATATTGCCTCGTAGCATTCTCCATGATATGCCCCGTAATCACAATCTGGGCACCTCGACTCTCAGGAATCGCAATCGTGTCACCAACAAGACTCGCCTCAAAGTATATCATGGCAACATCGATGCAGACCCCCTCGTGCTGGATGAGGACGAGGAGAAGGCCAGGATTGTCAGCACTGCCGGTGTTGATGCTGAGGACGCCAATGTGAGTCTTCTTTTTCCTCGTCTTTCGTCGTCGTGTCCTCCTTGTTGAACTTCGTTACGTGGCACTCTCTGATTGGCTGGCGCCGTGGGAATCTTGTTATCGGATTGCTGACTCATACTTTTTCCCAACCCCCCCAGGAGCACCACTTGCAGGCGGTGTTGTCGGCGGCGTCGCAGAGACACCAGTCGGTTGTACGTTCAACCCGAGGAGCCGCCGAAAAAGTCAGTACAGCACCTGCTGCCTTTATCCCCACCCCAGATTCAACAGGCGTCGTCGATAATTATGAAGAATTCTATCCCTCTGGTCGATGGAAGGATCCTGTGTCGTACATCAAATCCTCTGAAACTGTAGACGAGGCGTGTGCTCATGCTCTTGTCGATGGCTTTGCCTATTTTATGGATGAGCGCGACAAGGAGTGGTTTGATCGTAATAATGAGGAGGCACGGGGTGAAGGCACCAGTGCGCAAGGTGCATTCTCGGTGCCCGGAACTACAACCAGGTCAGGTTCTACTCAACGGAGTGCAAAAGCGAAAGGAAAGGAGCCAGATGTGGCGCAGCCTATGGTGATGTCTGAGGATGAGTTCGAGCTTATTATGGGGCTCTTCGAGAAGGTCACGCACGAGAAGACGGAGTTCCTTCATCATGTAGGTTATTCGTTGTTATTGGCCTTGTCTATGTCCTGACGTTTTGTAAAAGGGCCTCGAGCAGGGCATGACGTTTCCGCCCTTTTCAGAGTATCAGGACACTTTTACCTCACCGTTCACACCGGCCATCTTTACTTCGTTCACTGTCCCGTCATGGATCCCGTCGTCTGCACAGCTCCTTCGTTTAGCTAGGATGATTTATCCTTACTGGCGAGAAAGACGGATCGAGCGGGGTGGCCACAGGATTATTCCAGCTCTGAATGTAAGTCCACTACCCTCTCAAAGATGTGCCCGTGTCTAATTAATTAAACCTTCCTTCAGTTTGACGAGGCAGATGTCATTAACGAATCGTATATATGTTTCCGGAGGCGTGAAATCAAGGCAGTCCGCAAAACGCGCGCTTCACAAGCCACGTCTTCGGACAAGTTGTTGCGTCTGCAATCCGAGCTGTCTATTTCTTTGGAGCTCGCCAAGAGTGTTTTGACCCGGGAGAATATCAAGAAGGATGCAGCCCAGCAAGCTATTCAAGTATGGGAAAAACGAATGGAGTTTGTCAATATGAAGAGGAAGTTTTCCTCGTTGGGCAGCAAAGAAGACGAGGATTTGTTGCACGACAAGGAGAGAGTACCAAAGAAACCCAAGGTGGAGAACATGAAGTATGTTTACATTTCGTACTATTCATATTTTTATGCTGATCATTGTCTAGCCGTGCAACCGGACTAAAATTGCGCCCAAGGGACAGCAACGACCTGAACTCGCCTGCTATGCAATTGGAGGCCCTCATTCGTCCCAAAGAGCGGTACACCATGATCACCGGTGCTGTGGATCGAGACATGGCCCGGCAAAAGGAGAGGGATCACCAGTGGGAGGATTTACTCACAGTGAGATCCATATTTTTTGATGCCCATACACTCTGTTAATTTCTCCTCATTTACAGAATCCATATCAACCATCTCCCGTTCCTTATACTCAACGCCATTGGAAACCTTTCTTTGCTTCTCGTTCAACGTCACCATCATTACTTGGCCGGGATGAAGAGGACGACGACGATACATCCAGTCATGTTCGATACCTCAGAATTCGTTTCGCTCGCGCTCGTCGTCTTTGTCTCGACCGTCACGACTCACTTGTCAAACTGCCTGCTCTACATCAGAGTTCAAGCAGTGGTGTCAGTGACCGCAAAGCGGAGTTCATGCGTCGGATGAGACAATTTGATGACGACGGCGATGAAGAACGGGTGTCCAAGTTACACGAGAGGTGGCGATTTGATGACGACGATTCTCCTGTCGTCGGCCCTGAAGGGCCTGATGAGCAAGACAGGGTCCTCATTGATGATTACGAACCAAGGTAAATAAACGATCATCTGGAATCAGTCACATGAACTGACCTTGTCCACAGATATCTTCGACACGCGATGACACTTATTCAAGACCGGGACCAGCAAGACCTGCTGAACGATCCCACTATTGTACTTTCTACTGCTGAAGGCCGTCATCAGGCCGTCGCACCATTCCGAATGGGTATGCAACCGCCAATGCGAAGAGAGATGCAAGCCATTGCCAGGCCTTATCCTTCCGGGTCAGGCATACAGACATCTCGACCCTTGGGTTCACTTCCACTTTCATCGCCACTTCCCAACGGTGTCCCGATATCGATGCAAGCCCACGTTAAAGCCATGCAGCCCCCTTCGTCTGTATCCCATCTCCGCATATCCTCCAATGGAGGTATGCGTCCTCCCATGTCTTCTCCTACCGCTGCAAATATGGCGGCCAATAATCTTCCTTCGCATTCCTCACCACCGCATCCCCCTACAGGAGTCGCTACTAACGGTGTGAACGGCGTCAATCACAACTCTCATATTCCTGCCGATGGCGATTCGATAAAGTTGACTGCTGCCGCAAACGGTGCGCCTCCTAACGGTGTGTCTCAGGCACAGAACGAGGTGAACATGGCCGCGAATGTAGATGTCGCCCAACCTACACAGTCTCCCGTCCGCCCAAAGTCGGATAACCAACATCCTGCCGCTATCACCATTCCTAATGGGTATCATGTCACACCGATGAATGGCTATCCGCCCATGGCAAATGGCTCACCATATATGCACCACGCAAACAGACAGCATAATGGCCTTAGTGCGCAACAAATGCAAAGTTTGAAAGTAGCATTTGCTGGTCAAGATCCTAATGCACTGCACGCATCTGGTCGCACCTTGCCAGGTTCCTACGTGGGACACGTTGTACCTAATGCGCAGCATTTTAACGTGCAGCTTGGGAACAATCTCAACCTCAAATTGCCGCCTACACGGCAATGGGCACAACTCGCTTCTCCCTCCCAGCAGCAAATGGCCCTAAGCAATGATCCTGTCGCTGGGGGCATGCCCAGTCCCAATGTCCATCAAATGGCTCTACCCGCTCGAACCCCATCTGCAAATGGATCGCGAGCATCGGGTCGTGGGACGAGTATCAGCAGTATGCCTTCATCGGTTGGTCATATGATGGGAGGTGGTCAGCTCACTTCACATTCCGTTTCACCACATCTTCAGCATAGCCCTCCATCTCTCTCTACGGCCTTGACACAACTCCCACAGCAGTCTTCACCGCACCTGCAAACGCCAACTTTGAAGATGGCTTCGCCGGCTCTGCAGCACCAGCAGCCGGTGGGGAACTCGCAAGGAGGTTATTAGGGAGAGTGAGAGGCTTTTCCTTCTACTATGAGTTTGTTCCCATACGATATTTGCGGGGTTCTCCCTTACTGTCCATTCACCATTCAAGTCATTTTGTCTTTATTGCTCTTCTCTACTCTACAATCTGTTTCATGTGCTTTCCGGTCATGTATGTTAGTTAGGTATTCTGAAGTGTTTCATACTTCTCATACCCTCCTTTTTTTGTGAATAGTATCCTCTGCTCACACTCGAACATCTCAATCGTGACTCGGATAGATAAATTGGTCCTTCAAAATTGACACTGACGTACAGTTATGGGTCGTGCATGTTAGGTTCTTGTGTATTGTCACTCACTGTTCAAACCACGTCTCCACTCACGTCGAAATATCATGACTCAGGGGAAATAGTACCACTTATGTTTTCCGCTCAATTGTGCTACTTTTTCTCATGTTCTGCTTTGCAAAGAACGAATGCAATCTCACATCGACTCATCACTCAGAAATCATAGTAAGTAAGTTGTGGGTTTATATTGAGGGCTCCAAATTCCAATCTAAGGTATAGTGCACAAAGTGCTTGTAAGTGTGATGAAAGAAATAGAAAATGAGACGGAATGCTTCAAGTATACGGAATATAAGTACAGTAAAAGATGGAAGAAAAAAGAAAAAAAATCTAATAACAAGTACGATTCACGAATCATGTGAAATAGTACCAGATGTGTTGGCAGCTCAGATTTCGGCTGTGCTGCTTTTTGTGGTGTTCTTTTTTTGCGCAAAAGAACGAATGCGATCTCGTCGTACTGAAACGTTGTGACTGAGAAAGACTGGTAAGTAAGTTGTGGGATATATCGAGGGGTTCCGGTCTAAAGTATAGTGCACGAAGTGCTTGGTGCTTGTAAATGTGATGAGAGGAATAGAATATGCCAGTGGACGGATGCTTCAAGTATGGCATATAAGTACAGTAGCGGTCACCAAGAAAGAAAAGGGATTCAGAAAAAAACCTAAAGGTAACGAGAACGGTTCAAAATTCATTGTGAAATAGTATCAGATATGTTGACAGCTCTAATTTGAGCCGTGCTGCTTTTTGCGTGTTCTGTTCTGCGAAGAACGAATGCGATCTTGTCGTGATTCGTAGTCGCTCGGGAAGAGTGGTAAGTAAGCTGAAGAATATATTGAGGGCTCCAAAATTCCAGTCTAAGGTATAGTGCACGAATTGCTTGCTCGTAAGCTTGTAAGTGTGACGAGAGAAAGAGAAGATGAGACGAATGCTTCAAATATACAGAATCCAAGTACAGTAATTTTCACCGAGAAAGAGAAAGAAAAAAAAAATCAAAAAATAACAAAACTGATTCACAATTCAAAAGTCAGAATCGACATGATGGAGCTCTATTTCACCATCCTTCTCCCGAATGCGCCATGGATCACGCCTGAGTGGGGCACCTCTCCTTCGGTCAATCTGAAGGAGCTTCTTTCCAGCGTCTGCCTTTACTTCAGGCCGAGGGCGGAGCGAGCGAACTCGGGCTTCGCGGCTGGATAGAACGACGACGTCGGAGGCGGAACTGGGGCCAGTGTATGGGACGACATCGGAAGGCACGGCCAGGGAAAGTGCACCGACAGGCTGAACTTCCAAGGAGAGGGACGACTGAGGCAATGAAGGAACCATTGACAAGTTGTCGTGCAAATCGCTATACGGGACCTTGCTTGCAGCAGACAGACGTTCAAGTGCCAACTCCTCCGATGAGAATGGATACTGAAGTTCAGGTTCGGATTCGGCGTGAGAGCCGATAGACTCTACTTCTTCTGAAGGCTCGTCACCTGCGTCAGGAATGGGGGTCAATGCTCTCTGGGAAGCGCTAACGCTGGATTTCAACCACTTGAACCAACCAGCCGACTGGGCTAATACTGAAGAGCTGGATTCGTCGTGACCCTCTTCATCTTCTAGACGAAGGCGCTTGTTCTGCCGTCCATTATCTACGGCCTTTCCTTTGCCTTTCCAACCTCTTTGGCTAGCAGACTCCGAAGGGGCAAGCGATTCGTTGTCATCGTCAATCTCGAGGGGACGTTTTCGGGATCCGGACGGGGGAGCGAGAGGGGCGTCGACAGCTTTTTGTTTTTGTAAACGCTTGCTTGCCCTGGGGTGGGCAGCGGTGGACGGACCCGGTGTGGCATACATGTCCTCGAGATCATCACGAGAGCGTTTGCGATTTACGCTGTAATTGTGAGGGATAGCAGAGGGCGGGCTAGAGTGATGCGACGCTTTCGTCAATGAGGGCAAGACACGATGAGAAGGGGATACTGACAATTGAGTTTCAGCAGCGGGCCCGTCTTCCTCATTGACACTCTCTGGTGATGGCAGACGTTCGAATTTGTGAGGACTTTGCGAGACGTATGCATGGAGGTCGTGCGAGGAAGGCACCTTGCCGTTGTAGCCGCTAGACATGCGGAGAAGGGGATTATTCAGTGAAGTGGTCAAGGGGAGAGACGAATGAACTGACCTTGAAACTGAATTGCTACGACTCCTGCTACGGCCATCGCTATTTGCGCTGTCGTGGCTCCGATCCAACGCACCATCAGACACTTGCGCTCCCTCATCGCCGCCAGCATCGCCGTCGTTCTCATGACCGTTGCCTTCAGACTGACTATCACTTTCACTGTCATCATCACCACTCCCATTGCGCGTGTGATTCACCGCATACTCTGCGCTTCTAATCAAACGTCCTACATAACTATTACCGGCGACTCTCGCAATGAGGTTGAGGAACGCTTGCATCTTTCTCGCCTCCTCGTCGAGCTCGCTTTGAGCGAGGGTGGCTTCGAGAAGCGCTGCGGTAGCTTCGGCGCGTGCATCCTCGAGGCGATGCGTGAGGTGCTTTCGCTGGCGCTGGACGTCGTAGAGCATGGTGGCGAGCCATGTGGGGTCTTTGATATCGAGGGGGGCTTTTGGGGGATAAACTATCTCTAGGAGAGGGGGGTAGAAGACGTCGCTGCCAATAGCTTGTTCTCTACCCTCGCCGGCTTCGTCGTCGTCGTCGTCGTCTACGTAGTGGACATAGCCATCGGAGGGAGGCGAGGGGAATCTTTCGATAGGGAACTTGCCCTTGTATCTCGGAGAGTCAGGATGTATAGGTTCCTGAGGAGGAGGACTGCGATTTTCTTCGGACATCGAGATAAAACAGCTGTATCGAGAATGGAGGACAGTAGATGTAAAGCGGTTGTGATGGGGGATACGAAGCTTTGATGCTTTGAGTTAGCAGGGGAGAGTCTCGAGTCTCTAGTGGTAGATGGTGGTAGTTCAGGAAGAAGGAGTCCAGGAGGAAGCGGTGGTCCTACCAAGGGCTACTTATAGGTGCCCGGACCCTAGTATTCGCTTTTGCGGTGTTGTACATCGGCTGTGGACGAGGGTCCACACCGGGCATCCCGCGTGGCCACATTCTATTGTCCTATGTTTTTAGAAGCTCAAAATGTGGAACATGAGCAGGATATGGGTCCCTGTAGTAGTTCGCGGAGTCACAAATTTCCATATCGAGTGGCCAGATATCCACGTGGCCACATTGATATTAGGGAAACCGTCCACCAGTCAACCTGAACGCTTGAACGCTTCTATTGTTTTTTAGGCTTTTGTTCTCGGAAAGCGTCATGTCTAAGCTCCACGTCGTTCGGACGCGCTTCGTTACGATAAAAGATCAAAGCTCAGTTACTAAGCAAAACCTTCAGTACCGCTTTGAAGAATACAAGCACAACAGGAACCTTACATTTTGGTTTCTTGTTCTGGGCCTCTCGTAACCACTCGCCTCACAAGATTATGATTTTCATGAAATGGTAAGCATGATATTATAGTGCCTCACCAACAAATAATTATACTCTACAATGAATCTAGCGGCAATAGCTCTATCCCTCTCTTGGTGCAACCGGCTGACGAATATGGTTTGTAGGATACATTGGAGGCAACGGGGCCAACAGTGGCTCGGCTTGTGGTCTATCACTCCCAACTCAATTATCATTGCCAAAAAAAGCAAGCAGACGCCACTCACCCAAAAGTAACGCGCAAGACATCGTCAAATAGAGCCTCCTTCGCCTCTTTTTCACGCTTTAGCTCAGCTCTCCAAACGCGTAGTTCTTCGATTAGATAGGCATGTTGCTCCAATGCATATCTGTGTTTTGCTTTCATAACTAGGTATCTGATCATGTCAGGAGAACGCCCATAGATCAGCCCTGTGGCTGGGTCCGTAGCTCGAGCCAGATGAGGGGGTAGTCCATCATCCCCGTCATCCAACAGATCTAGCGAAGTGCTCCCCGGACTAGATGGGCCAGGCCCACCTTGGTAGCCAAAGTAGTCTCCTCTCTGGTCAACGGGTGAAAGGATGCCTCCATCATCGTGAAGCTCGGAGGGCGTCTGGGGTTCGATCTTGAAAGTGTTGAAACCGCTAGTGGGGTGAACGACTGCTGGGGGCTCTGGCTCAGGTTCGTCTCTTTTTCGCTTTCGATTTCCCCCTCTGCCTGATGGTGGGGGTGGCATATTGTGCTGAAGACGCATGTGCTTCGCGAGGGCATCCGAACGAGTGAAGGACTTGTCGCATTCTACACATCCCATATAAACGAGGGTCTTTATATAATAGAAGCTCAAGAACCTACCTGGTCGAGAACAGGTGAACGGCTTCTCTCCCGTATGGGAACGGATATGTGAGATAAGAGCGAATCGCGAAGTCTGAGCGAGACCCCTTCGTGAACAAGTAGACCATTCGCAGGTGTAGTTTGATTTGTGTACGCCAATATGCTCTGTGCACAATACCGTGAGCTGAGATAAGGATTATAAGCTGGTGGCTTACCGTGGTGAATATGGTCGATGAGGGTTGGAAGATGGGTGAATATGATGCCACAGTCGTCCCAAAGACAGGTAACTGTGTCAGCTTCCTGGTCTTCCTGGGCGTTGGCGGCGGGTGCTGGAGAACCTGGGCGAGAAACCGACGGACCAGGGTCACCTCCCTCGCTAAATGAAGTATCGTCGTCGTCGATGATAGATACGCTTGAGAACGAGGGCGACGGCGAGCGGGGAGGAGGGGAGGGGCTGTATATGCTGCGAGCCATGTTGATGCTTTTGTGCTCTGAGCCTCGGTTGAGCAAAGTTCACCACCATCGTTGGATGTCCATGGGCGTCTATTAGTCATCATTTACGACACTCCGCCACTCCATCCTTACTGGTGTTTCTTACCTTTTGTACCATACTCTTCCTATCCATCCTTTCCAATGACCACACCATATCCCGGTTATCCTCCTCCAGGCTCATACGCCCATATCCCCACCGCTGCACCCCCCGCAACCCCGACCCCTCGCGGACGTGGCAGAGGCGCAGTTGCTGTAGGAGCCAAACGAGGACGAAAACCACGAGGAGCGCTTCCAAACACAACTGAATCACAGCGTCAACCCACACAAGGCTCGCCTCCCGCACCTTCCAGCCCATTCACACCCGTACAATGGTCGCAAGCCTCTCAAAGCCCAGTTCCCCAGAACACCAACAACGTGATAGAGTTGACGATCCCTCCGCAGGATAATGCACCTGCTGCAGGTGGGGCGAGTCAGCAACAACAGCCCCAGGGTATGGCGGACGGAGGCGGAGAACAGAATCTTGATACGGGGACGACGGATATGCCTGTGGTCGCTGTGGCCGTTCCTGGCACTCAACCGCAAAGGCCGAGTGGCCAAGGAGGAGACGAAGATCAAGAAGGGGAGGACGAACTTTTACCTGCTATGGCAGACGACGATTACTCTGCTCAATTATCTTGGCAAAGCCAGTCGAAGGATAATCTCAAGTAAGACTCACTACGGACTCGTATCGGTATCGTAGCTGACTAGCATCTTACAGAGTTCTCATGGACAACTTCAGTCCGGCGCAGTATGATCGCTTTGAAGCTTATCGTCGCCATGCCCTACCTAAGCAGGCCGTCCGCAGGGTGATTATCTTTCATATGACTGTCTACCACGCCGTAGCTTACATCTTTCTGTGATAGGTGATTCAACAAACGATCGGCCAGCAGGTATCCCAGCCCGTAGCTCAAATAGTGGCTGGTTTCGCAAAAGTATTTGTTGGAGAAATCGTAGAGAAAGGTAAGCCGCTTCTCACCCCAAAGCCATCGTTCGCCATCTAACTCGGCTCAAACAGCACGAGCCGTACAAGCTCGAAGGGGCGAAACTGGGCCCCTTTCCCCAGATCATCTGCGAGAAGCCTACCGAATGTATCAGCAAGAAACTGGCAGGGTCGGAAGCGCTAGGCCTATGCGGTCAAAGCGAATTTTCGTCCGCTAACCTTTCGCGGGCACTTGGCTTGGAAATGCAATATACCACGCTTGAAGATCCACAGCTCAGAAAAGGTGGTGGCTCTCGGCGTTACCCTGAATGAAGATCCGCTATGAAATTATGGGGCTTTGCATGATCAGCACAGCGCCTTGACTCTGGAGCGCATGGTCCTGGACTGGATTAGTATCTACATTTTATTTCTCGCGGTCAGAACGGGGCCGAGTAAAACGTTGTTTGGGGATTTCATTATGACTTCAAGCTTACTTCACGCTACAGCGCAGGGTACTTCGGACTTCATTACTACAAGTTATCATTCTCGGACCTCCACGTATTGGTAACAGCTTACGCTAGGGGAATGAGAGTGTGGACCTCTTATTTGTTATCAAATGAGATACGATATTATCTGATTTAAATAGACCTGGTGCCTGCTGGGGTTGCTGTGCTACAAAGTGAGCTTGTGCCCATGACAAAAAGTAACAGCGAGACATCCACAAGATTGGTACGGTGAATACTATGGTACTGATGGATTCTCTTTAGAATTTCTCCATAGCGATGATAGCCAGAGTGTTAATCGTCCGACTTCTCAGTGATAAGGCGAGGGCAAGCAGCGACAAGGTCAGGTTGCTCGGCGCAACCCCAGCGATCGTCGGCGTCGGTGAAGCCCCTGTCTTGCAAGGATCGGTGTATCAAATATAAATACATATCACCAGGGGGGGAAGTTCCACTAAAAAGCCCATCCTTCTCGAAAATCTGATTAGAAAAAAGGCCCAACTCAAACCCCGAAATTTCATGATCCCATTCCCCGGTACCTTCAATGAGTTTTGGCAGTACTACGCAGTTTTGCAAATTTGCCACCTAAGTGTGAAGGAGACGCCCGGCGGGTCACGATGCGGCGGGCACGTTGCCGTTTGTGTTATTAAACTGGCTTTGGTTGATAATATGAGTGACTATTCCCCACCCTTGATGAGCCTGTTCGATCGCTTCTGATCATCAGAACCGGGAGGAGGCTAGTATCGGATTTGGGTGTTTGTTTTGTTTTTTTTTGCGAATTTGGGATTTGACTTGCCAACGGCACGAGTCGATCGTGAGCGCACGAGGTGTCCACGAGATACGGGGTTTACGTCTGGTAAAAAACCAATAGCATCTTGCAATTGCCGTTTGGAACTCAGGCTTGGACTGAATGATCAGTTATACCTAAACCGCGCCCCTGCCGTGTCGATCGTTCGCTTTTCTCGACCACGCCAGCGGAGGAGGGGGGTACGACATTTCGGCATGGTTAGGCCACGTGTATTGATTTAGATCCGGGCGAGCTTAGGATGCGGTATCGTTTTATTTTATTTTGCAATTGGACTGATTTTGAAGTGAGCTGCAATTGCAATGAAGTTCCCAGAGTCTCAGAGCTGTATATCAGCTGTAGAATCACGAATGAATGAATGAATTCGGCAACATTGTTATACAAAACAAAATAGGAAATGAACTCTCCGGATCATCGTTCGACCTCAGGTTCTAAACCATTTGGATAAGTATACCACTTGCGTTGCCCCAGAAAGATGCCGAAAGAGCTTAATAGCCATATCCTTCCAGCCCTTCTCTGCAACAACAACGCCTTCACATCACATCTTGCCAACTTCTTCACCCTCATCTTTGACCTTTTTTTTTAAATCTAATTTCAAAATCGAACGCGAGTCTCACTGTCTCAGCTCATCATCTCCACGCTTCGAATGTCTGATTTATCCCCGAGTCACCTGGGATGCAATGGCGATTTCAACGGAATTTCCAAAGGAGCAGTATGATATAGGAATACCGATACCATACCGAATGCTCTTGAATACGGCCTCAGTCAGACTGTGACATATTCAAGATAGTATATGCGCCGGTGGCAGATAAGGATGTTATAGTGGTATGCGAGAAGCAAAACGCCTGCAGGCAATCGAAGCCCGAGCACATGCCGGCATAAAGACGACACCTGCCACACCAGCGCTGATAGCCAGGACTAATGGTCGTAAGAATGAGGGCTGCAGGGGTGGTAGATCAGCGTTAATGAGAGACATTCATAATATAATATAATATCAGCACATTGGCACCCACACCTGACATGTACAGATAACTTCCATTATCCAGTTGTGCTTAGCGAAGACTCTGGCAATGTCCGAAAGCCTGAAGTGTCTATGTGCAGCTTGCACCCCGTTCGATCCGTTCGAAGCCCTCTCGAAGGTCGATGACAGCAGCGAAAGGATTTTTTTTTCGAGTGTGGCTCGACCACGACGTATATGATAATGAACTTCCGTTAACACGACTTCACATGACATGAACTTCGAGCGTAATCAAAAAAAAGCCTGCACCCGGACAACGAATCACCAGCCTGAGCATAATCGCGGGAGACACTGAGAGGCCCAGTTAGCCCCTTATCAGCTGCAGGGTACCGACCGTTGGCTGGGGGAGCAGCCTAATCAATATCGACGCCTGTCATGAAAAGAAAAGGTCAAAGAAGAAAGAAGAAGGAAAGAAAAAGTCCTCGGGGACTTGATCATTCCATCATTATTGACATGGCATCATGGCATTCAAGCCGTAACGTTAGCCGCAACACCCACGTCTTGTTCACCGTATGACCATGATGATCGCAATACGTCGAATGATAATGTCGTTAGTCGAGCCTGAGTCCCGAAGATAATCACTTCGCAGTGAGATGGTTGATGGCGGCAAGTTCAAGTTCACCGTGCGGGGATGCTATATTCCGAGTCTGTTCAGTTAGTTTCAAGTTCAAGTTATGGCATTTGCGTAACAAGACCCAGCATTACCCTGGTGTGCCCTTCAGGACTGAGTGATAAGACCCTACACCACGTAACAAAACCAACTGATAAGTTATATTGGAGCACTGGATACAAGAGATATGTCTCATCTCGACGACCATACGATCACAATCAATTTGCGAAGGGAACGTCTATTCAGCATTCGAGTTGAGTACGAGTTGGCCGCGGCAACGAGGCTTGGCGTCGAGGTACGATAGAGTAAACTGACGTGTTGTGTGGTATGGCATGCAAGCTATATGGCATAAATCCGTATGATGGCGATATCGACGCGGGTAACAAACTCAACTTGAAGTGAGAGCTAGTACTAGCATGCCAATCTCGTACTTGCCAAGTTAGAAAGTCCCCGTCGAGTTTTATCAACAACATGCAGCTACGCGAGTTATCAGTATCACAGAGTTGAGTGCTGCCACAACTCCATAAAGTATAAGTATCCACCCTGCTTACACATGAGTACCTGTTCAATACAGTATAATGAATAGCACCGCGGAGTGCCGCGAGGGCCTTGAGAGAAACGAGAGTGATCGTAGATAGACAAAGGGTCTGTTTTGGTAAGTGGCCAGTGGGCGCTCCGGGATGTTCTTGGATCTTTGACACGGTCATCACGACGGGTATCAATGCGTTATGAAGGTGACCCAAGTATGGAGATACAATAGTATAGATGCCAATGGAAGTATCCGGGGGAAACGCCAGCACCTTCAAGTCGCTGAGGATTCAGAACATCCGAGCAAGCCGACGTTTCGTACTACATAGTACTAGTACATACTTACACACTCTATACGATACTTATGAGCTTATGAGGGCATACTCTGCTGTAAAAGCGCTATCTGAGAAGCACCTCAGATGAGGCTTATCACGATCAAAACGGCGGTGAGATATACTATACCTTGGTCGACGGAACATCGTGATCTTATCATCGCATGATATCGGGAGTTGGGTCTGTATTGTCAAGATCATGGTGTTCCTCATATCAGCTATTGAATAGTGGCCGAGTCGTCAAGGGGTCCGTTCACTGGGGTAAACCATCCTTCCTCTTCAAGCTCTAACCAGGCTTAGAATCTGATGCGCAGCATGGGGGGTGTAGTAGCGGATAGCACGAAAATAGAAGCTAGAGGGCGGTGTGGAGTGGAGTGGAATACAGATACAGAAACAGAAAACGGCCGTGAAGGCTTCTTCGAAAGTTTCAGAACGTAACCGAGTGATTCCATAGACGTGTAATGGAAGTTCATTTGAGAGAGAAAAAACTTCGGAGTGCGCGATCAGACAACGCCGTAGTACGTTGATATGCATATGGCTCGGAACATACTGGGAAAGCCCATTTTTGACGTTTCCGTTGTCTTCGCCATGGTCCCTCGTGGAAGTGGAACCGACAAAAGGTTTATGGAATGGGTTGACCACAGCATGTTGGCATCCGGATCGTCATGTCGTTAGAGTACCCCTTTGGTAGAACATATCTGCCACGGACCAAGTTTGACGGATGGCCGTTTCGCAAGTGCTCTTGCTCCGAGCCCATAGATAGCCTACAGATTCGTCGACACCGGAATCGATTCGTCACTTGTAAGGGGGGAAAGTAGAGCTGCGCAGTGTGTGTCGTGTCATTGTGGTGCATATCTCTTCAGGTCATGCCAAAATAATTAACAGTGTTCAGAACCATACTGGAAATGCCCCCCATTGACAAAGTTCGTCGTTTCCGTTGTCTTCGTCGCGGTCCCTCATGGAAGTGGAACCGACAAAAGAGTGATGAAATGGGCGGACCACAGCATGTTGGCATCCGGATCGTCACGTCGTTGGAGTACCCGCCGTGGTAGAACATATCTGGCACGGACCAAGTTTGACGGATGGACGGTTCTTCGCAAGTGCTCTTTCCCCGAGCCCACAGATAGAATTCAGCCTACAGATTCGTCGTGTCGTGTCATTGTGGTGCCGGTCTCTCCAGGTCATGCCAAAATAGCCATGTCCGGAACCACACTGGCTGGAAAAAGCGCCCCCATTGACAAATTTCGTCGTCTCCGTTCTCTTCGCCATGGCCTCTTCGTGGAAGCGGAACCGACGAAGGACGGAATGGGTCCAGGTGGACCGCAGCATGTAGTGTCACAACCCGTCGACAGCCCGGATTGCCAGCCTCGCATGGAGTGCGTACGCATGGCAGAACCTATCTGCCTCGGGGACCAGGTCGATTGGTCAGTGGGGGGACGCGGAGAAAAGAGGCACTGTCGGTGTGCAGCCTGGGGTCGTCATATCGTATCGCGTGCTTTGGTGGTGCTGGTGGGGAAGGTTCTGGCTCTCACCGGCGTATTGTCACGATGTTATTGTAAAGCAGGCAGTGTCGAGTGAACAAGGCCGATGAAATTGGGAAGATGGCGTTGACTTCAAGATCAGATCGGATGAGTGGAGGGCGTATTTCGAATTTTGGGTTCCAAGCAGTGCCAGGCCCATGGACAGCCTTGCTTTTTGTCGGCGTAGGTGATGGCCATCATCGCAGCATGGTCTTTGCAGTGGGACGGTAAAGGTCGTAGGCAGTACTATCAGTATCACAGTACAAAGAACAAAGACTCGGTGTGGGGCAGTGGTGGTCAAGTAAAGTTCATGTTCGTGTGTGCAGCGGGAAAGAGGTTCGGCAAATCGGCAGTCGGCACGGGTTGTTTCGTTATACTGGCCGGAACCACCTCGGGAAAGCTATGACCCACTCATCCCGTCCGGACTATAGACACTTAGTAAACCACCTGCCTCGTCCCACACGAGCCCACAAGTAGCCCCACCGCCCCCTTCTTACGATCCAAAGACGGCTGTTGGGTGTCCTTAATCATTCACGTACGACACGCGCATCTCAAAAGAGCATTGGGATCATGCATCACCTTTGAGCTCAATTCAAAGAAAGCAGTCGGAAGGCGTTTTACGGTAATCACAGTAACACGATACACGATACCCGCAATCGCTGCGAACCTCGCTTCGCCCCCCAAGGCCGTGCTGAATAGGAATAAGGAATAAGGGACAGAGAGATTGTAGCGGAGATGGGGAGGATCTGGCGTGCGGCGAACCTTCACCAGCCTTCCCCCCCGGTTCTGGATACCGTATGCACAAACGCAAACACCCATACGCCGAGCACCGCGCACCAACAACTCAGATTCCCAGAACAAAACAATTACAAAAGGCATTGATACGAACCAAGCGCCGCCGTCCGTGCTATCTTAGAACAGAACAGACCAACCATACCCAATTCCTATTCATAGACCCAGGCCCTCCCGCTCCGAGGTCCAGCCCGTACGCCTTTGTGTACTACATCATGGGCAGTGTACAGTACAGTATGCGTTCGGGCGAGGGCAATGCATACCGAGACAATGATAACGATGCGAATGATCACGAACGGATCTCATATCTACGAGTATACATAGTATCGGGACGGTCTTGCCAGCCGCACAGATCAGTGCTTTTAACGTGTGATGACTAGTAGTGTTAATTTTAATGTGACGAGTGGCGGGTGCAGTTGCGGGAGGGGTCGGTGCCGGTGCAGGAGTACGTTGAAGGTTGAGGCAGGGGCTGAGATTGTCAATGTTGTTCTGGGTTGGATCTAGACGTTGACGTTGGCATTGACCCGTTGACCCGCCAACATGAACCCACTAACGTACAAAGCCAAGAGAAGGGAAGGGAAGGGAAGGCTCTACTTACACCTTGAATGATGATCCATGATCCATGATCCACGCTGACCGTTCCAGGCTCCACCACCACCCGACTCCCCCACCGTGGCTGTTCGTTCTCTCGTAATCCCCAAGCCCAGGCCCAGTAAAGTACCCAAACTCACACTCACATCCACAGCAAGCTGTCAAGACGTCGAGTGCTCAAACGTGTTCGTGTTCGCGTTTTAGGCTGATCTGATCAGCCAAACTAGCAGGCGGGAATCAGGGTGTATTGCTGGCAGGACGCGCAGGGAGTCCAGGACCAGGACGGGGCAGGTTATGAAATTGGGAGGGAGCGAGATGATGAGATCCAGGCAAGTGGAATACGTGAGTTGGAATGTAGGACGTAAAATAGAGTAATGCGTTACACTTGTATCCCCGGCCCTCCCATCCGAACTCCCCAAACCATGAAAGGTTGGCAATGTTAACATTCGCATGATGCAATCATACGATCATGACACCGTGCAGGGCTGATGACGCAGGGTGACCGCAGTTCCGTGAAGCTCGTGAAGGGCTTTGAAGGGTATCATGGTCTGAATGTGCGAATGCCTTCATTGCACCCATGGCATCAGAACGTCGGAAGGCGAAAGGCGTCTATAGGCATGGACGTTCCTTTATTTGGTCCCCGAGTGATGGGAGGTTGCGGTTCAGATCTGAGAACGTTGGGAAGTCGCAATCCTGAGAAGCCGGGAAGTTGGGAAGTTGGGAAGCCCGAGTGCGTCTCAGGGGCGAGACAGAAATAGGAAAAATGTGGGCATCGTGGCAAATAGAAGGCGTAGTGGTGGGTGATAAGTGATAACCCAGATAACCGTTCGATAAACGCGACGCCGCAGTCAACGTTCGACGAGCTTCAACGCCAACTTTAGGGCCATCGCCAGCCCATAGCCGGACGCTGACATCGACGCGCGTTCCACCCGAGTACGGCGGATCGCAACGCTCGTCTCCACGTTTTGGACGTTTGGACAGACAGGCAGGCATGGATGATGGAATCACCGGCAGGGATTCTAGAGTCGTTGGTCGCAGTGATGTCAACATCAACGTCGACATCGACATCAAAACCAACGTCGCACCATCGTACGGCATAGAGTAGCTCGAGGGTTCGCAGGTACACACGCGAGGGGGGGGGGTTGATGTCGGTCGAGGCAAGGGTGCTGCATGTGGTGTGTGGTATGCGGTATGGGGATGGTGGGGGACCGGCCATCGACCGTGGAGATTCGGAGCGACGGCTTGAAATGAGTGAAGGAGGTGGTGGTACATCCCTTGTTTGCATTTCGCTAGCCAAGACCGACCTTCAAACTCCCTTGTGAGGTACAGTTGCGAGTGTACACTTGAGATTTGGGTCCATGGTATGCTATCATGGCCCGTCAAACTTGAAAAGCGATTGTGATAGGGGAGCCTGAGCCTGCAGATCTCCGGAGCTCGTGTGCTGATTCTTGATTCCTGATCCTTGTCACCAACTCCCGCACATCGGCTCTTTGCACCTTTGCACCACATCCATAGTATCCACTCTCAGCCCCATATAGCTTTTAGCTTTTCGGAACATATCACTGTCAGCGAAACAGCGAACGTACTAGTATCCATCCATTCATACAGTATGTATGAAAACAGTCATGCGATTCGGACGGAGACTCGCCAGATCCGCACATGTCCAGACCAAGGGCGAGATCACGATGGGATGCTAAGAGCCTGACGATGCGTCGCGGACTTGCGCGCATTGCAACGTTTGGATTCAGAGAGTTTTTTTGCCACCGCAATATCGCGATTTGGCATGGTCCCGGACCAGGTCTGTGTCCTTTGAAGCTTCTGTGTCTTGACAGTCCAAGTGTGCTGTCGAAGAAAGTCAACTCGGTCTCAGATCCTAATTATCCCAATTTTGATTTTTTGACATGGACGCTGCCAATTCAGAGCCATGGGGGCAGTGGCCATATTCCGCCATAGTGGAAAGTTCAGCTGCTAATACTGTATTAGACATTTGTCACCAAAGGCCCGCCTGTTGACACTAAGCCGCGGCGAGTCTGGTTCGGGAGGGGTGCATAGCAAGGGTAAGGGTGGCAGCTTGATGGTGATAGGAAAACCCGCAAGTCATAGCGTCCGTCGACTTGCACCCTCAGGCCTCAGACCTCACATGCCTCAGACCTCAGATCCTCACACCCCAGCGAGGATTCGGATTCAGAACAAGCTCTTGGCTGATTTTGGACGAGCTGACGCGGTCAAGTAAAGGCCAAAAAGGAACGAGATTCAAGCTTCAGCCAGTGTCCCGGGTCTTTGAGCGGGGTTCTCTGTCAAATGTAAGATGAAAGAGCTGAGATCCGATGTTCATACTTCATTTTCGTTGCTCATAAATGGTAAAAAGACGACGATGATTGAGTGTGGAGGAGAAGGGCTTCTTCGTGCTTCAAGAAGACGCGGTATGTTGCAAGTGACGTGAGGCTGAGCATCTCACGTTTAACCAACTTGGTCAAGTGTGGACAAATTCAAGAATGGGTTGAGACATTATACACCACACATTGTATCCACATGCAGGACACTGTCACGGTTCGAACGCATTACCTCAAGACCCAGAAGAGAGGTTGGGAGAGATGTTTGGATTCAGAAGAAATGGCCTCGTGGCAACAGGGTTGAAGGTTCTTCTGAGTAGTGCCGATTAGACAATCAATGGCAAGTGTCTTGTGACCGGGCAAATAGCTCCTATAGGTCACGCGTAGTACTATCGTAGGTTAACTGCTCACAAAACCGAGGAGAGGCTGAGGGTGGAGATGATTGAATATGATGATTATATTTCAAATGACAGTGTCTGTTCTCGGAAGAGATCTGAGGGGATGGCGGCATCAGAGTTTTGGAATTGATGAGCACGCGAGTGGGGGGTGGTAAGCGAAAATGGGAGATCAGTTGGACCCAAGGTGAAGCCGAGAGTTGGAAATGGGATGTAGTATAGAATTTGAAAAAGAGGTCACACATAAGAGATCAGTAAGTACGGTGGGATCTTCCATTCTGGCGGTTAGTGGTACATGGTGGTAAAAGTTTTTATCAGGAGACCGAACGGAGTAGGTGTATATACGTGATGGACGGTTTGGGTGGAGAGGGAGGAGAGGGATGAGGAGGGTTAGCGCGTGTTGTTGGCATGAGAGCCATATCGTTATACCGCACCCGAGGGTCGCTAGACGCAGTGTCATGGGGGACGAAGGTGTTTCAATGTGTTTCAATTTGGGATGGGGTGATTGACGACGCTCGCGGGAGGCCAAAAGGAGGGAGTGTCCCTTGAGGAGAGGGGTAGCGAGGTACGAGGCGAGGGTGTGTCAAATGTGAGCTGTGGGCACAGCTCGTCGACTACTCACAAACACACCACAACACAGGCAACCCATGCCGGTCTCTCCCGGACAAGAAGCCGAGTGACGGCACCGTGTTTGGCATTGTTGACTGATGGTCGGACCGCAAATAGGAAAGGTTATGTACGCGTGGGAAGGGGAGGGCAGCCAATGGGGAGGGGTGCTGACCACTGGAGCCACCGTGTCGCTAAATAGCGAGCGTAGACAGATACCAGTCCGACATCCTCCCCTCCAACCAACCACGACATCAACATCTCTCTCCCCTCCTCCTCCCCTCCACGACTTCAACATCTCTCCCCTCCTCCTCCCTCCATCCCCATGGCTGCCACCTCGCAACCCATCGCATTCCCCTCCTCATCACACTCAAATGACTACACCATGGCCTCTGGCTCCTACACTGGCGCAAATGGCTCATTTAATGCTGCTTCATACACCCGCCACTACCTCGGTTCGCCCCTCTCGTGGCGTGCTGGCTCATTCGGCAGTCGCATCTACCCCAGCTGCTCCCCTGGCCAGCTCATCGCCCCTCTAGAGTACGTTCCCCCCTCCCCCCCGCTCAATATCACCTCACCTTGCCCCCTCTAGTACAACTGACTTCAAGTGTGGAAAGCTATCGTCCTCCCTCGAGAGCGATCGCGGTTCCATCATAAATGCTCTTTCCGCCTTTGAACGTGAAGACGAACTCGTGAGCTTCCTGCTTTCTTATGGCATCTTCTCTATTAACGTTCCTCTAGTGTCGTAATTACACCTGCTGCGGCCATACCCTAAACGACCTACACGCCCTCTTGGAACACTTTGAGGAAGTACACGTCGTCGTCGTAGACCCTTATGCTCCCCACCAGTCCTTCCCTGTCGTCCCAAACCCACCGCACCAGCTATCCGGTCCCCCCCCTTCCTACTTCCCTGATCCCCACCAGCTCCCCCCTTCAAATTACCACCAGGAAGGTCCCTTTGACCCAGATGATATGGAGCTTGATGTCGATCAGTCTCCTCCCTCGTCAGGCGGTCCCTCACCTCCAGACACTCCCCTCTCCACCCCCCTCTCCTCCCACCCCATCGAGTCCTTCAACACCTACTCCGTCAAATCCACCTCCGCCTGCCCCTCCCCCCACCTCCCCGTCTCCGCTTTCGACACCACCACCGTCCTTCCCTCCCGCTCCCGCTCCTTCCATGGCCAATCCATCCCCCTCACCGCCTTTCCCCCCTCCCGTACCGCAGGAATGCCCAGCGCCGCTAATACTCCCGAGGCCTTCAACGCTTACGCGGGATACTCGGACTATTCGTCATCCATGCCCGGCACCGTCCCGTCTCCACCCGCGAGCGACGAACAGATGGGAGCATATCCAGGGAGCGAGCCTGGGAGTCCCTATCCGGGGTGTGTCCCGCCTGCGCTGCTCTTTTCGAGCACGACGACGGCCACACCGGCGAATACGCCGGCCATCTCCCGTGTGCCTTCGCCGTCGAGTGGCGCTTCGAGTCATGGGGGTGCCATGTCGACGGGCGCCTCGTCGTCGACCGTGTCGAGTCCTCATATGGCCGTGGGTGCGGGGCTAAAGTCGCCGTGTTCGACGGTGACGCCACGCGCGAGTACGACGCTGTCTAGGCCTGCGTCCTCTTTGCTCCTCTCCAAACCCTTCCGATGCCCCAAAACGAACTGCAACAAGAGCTACAAGCAAGCCAACGGGTTGAAATACCACATGACGCACGGCAGTTGCAATTTCGCGCCTCCCAAAGACCTTGAGCAAGTCCAAGCCCTGTTGGCGAGCAAGCGTTCGGCAAGAGAGGCTGCTGGGGAGGACGATGCGGGGATTAGCGAGGGGGAGCTGAGGGAGGTGGAGAGGGAGGCGGAGAGGCGGCTGAGGCCGTTTGCGTGTGGAGTGGGGGAATGTCAGAGACGGTATAAGAATATGAATGGGTTGAGGTATCATTATCAACATTCGGGCGATCATGGCGCGGTGGGCTTGGCGTTACTTGCGAGTGGGCAACATGAGTGTTTGCAGCATGCGCATGGGAAGATGAGTGCGATGGGGGCGAGTGCGAGTGTGAGTGCGGCGAGTTCGAGGCAGAGTACGCCGTTGGCGAGTGGGCAGACGACGCCGATGAGCGGGGGGACGACGACGGGGGGGCCGGTGACGGTGACGTCTGGGTATGTGCAGCAGCAACAGCAGTATCAGATGCAGCAGATGGCGTTTGCGTCTCAGCAGCAGTATATGCGGGGACACCACCAACAGGCGATGCACATGCAACAGCAACAGCAGCAGATGGGGTATGCGGCGGGAGGGGACGGGGTGCAGCTATGAGCGGTGCACGACGATGAAGATGGACGATGGATGCGACGATGAAGAACGCACCCAAAAAAAATTATATTTACGACATTGAAGGAATGGGAACAACCGATCCTATGGATCTCCTTTTCTTGAATATATCTTAATCGGTTTTTCGACACTCCCCCCCCCTCCTGTTGGTCGCGACGAGGCCCTGGTTGGTTTTCATGTTTGGGATTTTATGGGACCGGCACCTTTTGGGATTTTTCAAAGTCATTCAAAGCTATACAAAAAACGCTCTCGTCCCCCAACTCCCCATCGTTTGACGTGACTACACTGGATCTGGAGGGTGTTTCTCTGCTCCTCGGGGAGTTCAAAAGTAAAAATTATACATATTGATTTTTGTGGTGTTTCTTGATCCTTTTTCTTCTTTTTTTATCATCTATCATCTCTATTATTCCCTCTTTGTTATATTTGTCGGTCGCCTCTTGCATGCTTTGTCTCTGCCTCTCTGCCTCCCTTGCGTCTTCGTCTCTGTTTCTGCCTTTTCTCTCTCTCTTTTTCTCTTCTCTTGATCTACGATTTGATTTGATTGGTTGATTGCTCTTTTTTTCCTTTTTCCCGTTTTTCCTCCTTTTTTTACTGTTCGCGGCCTTGCAACATATCTCAAGCCGCTCCTCCCCTATCCCTCTTTCCCAAAAACTAGAACCAGTGGTGTTTTTTTCCTCTCGGTGTTCACACACGGTGACGGTTGCTTGCTATTTTTTAGATGATGATGATGATGATGTTCTTTTTTCTTGCGTGTTCTCTTCTACTTTCCCTCGTTCCCCTTGTTAGTGTTTATATCGTTTTATTTCCCTGCTCATTCTCATTCTCTCCCCGTTCCCAGTCGCAGGGGAGCCCTTTGCTACGCCCACTGCGCTTCTACGCTTCGACACTGCTTACTATGATATATGATACATACTTGCCGTATTTACTTACCCCTCCACCTCCCTACACCACCACCGCCACCACATACATACATACGAGACCGACGCGTTGTGTATGTCACTAGCCGAGTACGAGTATATTACAATCTATATGTTTGTTTTGTATGTGCAACGTGTGCGATGTGTGTAAAGAAGAAGAAGAAGAAGATAAAGAGGGGTTGTATATGTTCTTGAGGAGAGGCTGAGCATTCTAGGGTTTTCAAAGAGAAGTGCGCCATTGTTGCTGCAAGGCCCAACGTCATCATTATCATTATCAATATTCGCTATCATTATCATTATCATTGCGATGACGTTACGGCTACGATACGACGACGACGACGACGTCAAGCAAGGGTTCAAAAGTTGATGATTGGGCCTGTTTCAAGTCTACTTTTCTGGTCCTGATTCTGGTTCTGATTCTGATTCTGATTGATTCTGTTGATTCGGACTGTTGACTGTTGATGTCAATATCGATGTTAACGTCGGTGTCAATGTTAACGTTAACGCCCCCCGCCGGTGTCTTTTCAGCGTACAGTGATGGTGACAGACTTGTGCGTATGTGCGTATGCTTGTATTTATATGGGGGTGAGGGTCCGTGTGTATGCATGTCTGTGTTGTCGTTGTGGCTCCCAAGGGACGATGGGGCGATGGGGAAGACGAAGACGGAGTGGGGAAGAACTAGACCTTGCTTGGGGGAGAGGAGAACTCGAAAGAGCGCGGCGCCTCTTTATCGTCGTCGGTTCGCGATCGTGTCCAACTTTTGAGATCTGTTCTGTTCTGTTCCGTTCTTTTTGTGTTCGTCTTTCGTCTTTCGTTTTTCGTTGATAGCTTACCGTGATGGTTTACAGTTTGCGGAGGAGCGTGACACTGGCACTGGCACTGGCACTGGCACTGGCACTGGCACTGGCACTGGCACCGACACCGACACCGACACCGACACTAGGCAGTCATGGATTCGAGAGCTCGAGGGGTATGCGAAAAACGTGGTTGGGTCCTCGGGTTCTCGCAGGTCTCAGGCTGGGTTGCGCCACGTTTGGAAGGAGGGAGGGGATCGTTGCTGGCCTGTGTGAACTTCCAATGGAGAGTTACGATTTAATGAGGGGGGGGACGAGGTGCGGAAATGATAAGATGGTTTGATGGTACTCATACTATCATTGACGATCTACAGCCACCCTCCCTCCGTGGACTCCGTCCTTCTCGAGCGTCTCTTTTTTAAACTCACATGGTATCGACCAGTTCGAGAACAAGGAATGGAAATGGGGTGAGAATGTGAGGTGTTTGGATTGTGAGGTAAGCACTGAAGTGATAGGTGATCATCTGATCGTCTTGTCGTCTTGCGCCTCCTTGCGATTCAATGATGTGGGGTCGTTGTCGTGAAAAGTGAAGTGCACGTTTAGCCCACAATTGAATGTTCATGATAATCTAATCAACTTTCTCGATCCCTTTCAAAGTGCTTCGGACGATCGCCGCCGACCCCGAATGAAGAAAAACGCTCACGGTATGTTCAGATGACCCTCTTTCAGGACCCAGTCGACCGAGACGTCTACAATTATAGGTATCGGCGAAAGGCTCACCTACCCATCGTCATCATATCTTAGCCGTATGATTGGCCAAATGTCGTCCTCCAATAACAGAGCGGCGAAATAGCGCATGACTGTAGTGGGTGAGAGCGTTTTGTTTTTGTGCTTTATTTCTTGTGTTTTTGTTTGTAAACTTCCTTCTCGTACCTTGTATCGATATCACTTTCGTGTACGGTCGTGCTCCTTTGTGCGTCGGGATATCTACGGTTCAGGACAATCCTTTGCGAGATGACTTTGAAGAATGCATATGTCGCCCTGGCACAAGACGTCGATCACAGTCGCGCGCCAGACACCCCTTCAGAGGGAGTGACGTTCATATCAGCACCCACGTCTCTATCACCAACGCCGTCAGACGACGGATTTGGTATCAAAGAGCGATGGCGGACTATGAGATCTCGTCTCGCAGACTTTGTCGACATCAATGCGGGGATGTTATTAATTATATTCGCCCAGCTCTTCTTCTCTTTCATGAATGTTGCTGTGAAGGGACTCAATAGCTTAGACCCACCGGTTCCTGCGTTAGAGGTACGTCTGCTGGATGGCTGTTGTGAATTGCATCATGATGAGCTTATCGTCGAATAGTTGATAGTGGTGCGGATGGTAAGCTTTGGGTTGTGTGAAGGGTGGACTTGTGGAAAGTAAATCATGTTCGTCTATAGGTGATCACATTCACTTGCTGTGTACTCTACATGTAAGCCTGGATCAATGCTTGCAAACGGCCCATCATTTACAATATATACAAGGGTAATAATGAAAATCCCGGACCCTTTTCTTGGTCCAAAGGGTGTTCGATTGCTTTTGGCCTGCAGAGGCTTTTGCGGGTGAGTCGCGTCCACTTTCATTGCAGGCGGGGACCAACGCTGTATCTCCAGCTTCTTCGGGTTGTTTGGGATGTATTTCTCCCTCCAATACTTGTCGCTCGCCGATGCCACGGTCTTGACATTCCTGGGACCACTTGCCACCGCCGTAGCAGGATATTTTATACTCAAAGAAAATTACTCCAAAAAGGAAGCCCTTGCCGGAAGTAAGCCGCTCCATATTGCTGTCTTGTCGGATTTGTCGTAATAGTTCGCCCATTGATAGTTTGCAGTCTGATGGGCGTCATCTTGATCGCTCGCCCGCCGTTCCTGTTTGGGAATATCCAGAGTATAAACCCTGACAGCGAAGATGCAGCGGTGAAGGCAACGCCAGCGGAGAGATTTAAGGCAGTAGGGTGATTAAGTCTTCTCGTTTCATCATAGACGGCTACTTATTAGAGATCTGTAGCGTGGCCCTTTTGGGTGTCACCTTTGGAACTGGTGCTTGTGCGTATGCTTCTTTGGCATCTGACGTGCTGCATCTGAATCTACAGTCTTCTGCCCTGATCAGTAATTTCAATTCGTGCGATTGGAAAACGTGCGCATCCATTGCATTCAATGACCTTCTTTTCGCTCTGGTGCGTTATCGTAGCGACCGGCGGGTACGTGTCTTTTTTTGCTGCGGGTCGTGATAGATAAAAGCTTACTCATCCATCATTTCATCTAGAATGATTGTCGGCGAAGTACCCGTGGTGTATCCAACTAGATGGGAGTGGGTGGTGTTGTTGATTCTGATAGGGCTTTGTGGCTTTTTTGCGCAGGTCAGTATGATGCTTTAGGCGACGTACGGTTCAAATTTGATGCCAAGGGCTTTTGGTTTATGTAGACCCTTGTAACAATGGGACTCCAGCGCGAAACGGCTGCACGGGGTGCTATGGGAGTTTATATCCAGGTACGTATACACTGAGCCTCACTGCAAATATGAGTATTGAATGAAACTCACCTCAGGTGATCTTCGCCGGTGTGCTGGAACGAATCGTCTTTCATACAGTCCCGACAATGCTATCTATGATTGGCGCTGGAATAATCATGACTTCCGCTGTATTCGTCGTCGTGAGTGATCGCCCCAATATTATGATCCGAGCGTGGATTTTTAATGTCCTACTCGAGATGACAAAAAAGAACACACCTGACAATAAGAGCAGAGGGGTCGTTCTTGAGGACGTCGAAGGCTCAGCTTTGGAAGAGGGATTGCTGAATGGGAGACACTCGGAATCACACGACGAACCGATGAAGCTCGAGGATGTGGACGTAAATAAGGCTTCTGTTGGTGACTCTGACGGCATAAACGGTACATGGCCCGATTCACCTGCCCCTTTTGAAAACAAGGTCCCTCAAGCTTAGACACTTGGACGAGCTGGCCCACTCGTCCAGTTCGTCGAACCTGGTTCCTTCGATGTATTGGCAGCTTTCCTCCATTTTTTCTACTAGAGGACTTCAGGGTTGATTGAAGATACGAAGATGTATACCTGTGATGAAATTGCTCGGTTAACACCAATAAAGGTTTGTTCTATGCTTACTTTGTGAGCTTGAAAAACGGATGAGAATATCGGTGGCATAGTAAGTTTTCTTTGTGAGTTTAGTAGGGATACAAGACACGCTGGCTCAGCGTGGACGTCGCGTTTTGCTTGTTTTCTATGTTTTTCGAGAAGTTAGTCACGAGCTGGGTCACGTGCGCTCATAAAGAATTCGCGTGCACGCGCGCCTGTTTGAGCTTGGGCATGCGATCAGGGAAGTTATAATAAGCCTCAATGCACTTTTACAGTCCTCGCCCCTTCTTACCCTCTTACCACCCCGTCTTCCCCCTTCACCACCTACACAATCTATATTTGCTCAGAACGTGTCTCAATTAACCCTCAGATTACTTGGATTCACAGGTCATCCAAGTCAACATACCACTGGCAGCAGTAAGCGTATAGGTGCATGCATCCAGAAACAGAATACTATCAAATTGGCGGCTTCAGAGCTCACTCTAACTCATGGTGAGTGATTGTTGTCTTTTACACACTCGTTGTGACAAGTCGAAATAGGTTCAGATTCGATGAGAAGGCTCTGATACGCGCTATCACGTCAAGCAGGTCTCCAGCCTTGAGGCCCTCCAACGATGGAATCGAGCTTGTATTGGGTACGATACCATGTCTATACGATTTGGAATACGTATCACTTATCATATGCGCTACATAGGGGTTTTGCGGTCTGGGGCAACATACGTTCTAATGAGCAGAGAACAAATGCTGTCTTTCACACGACTGGCTGGCCTCCGGCCTTCCAATTCATCATGGCATTCAAGTGCTTTTATATCATTATCGCCGATTTCCTTTAGCACAGCCGAGGAGTTTACGAAAAAAATTCAGAGTTATAGACAAAAGTCGAATAAGCACAGGGAAGGCGAAATACAAGACAATAGTCCTGCAAATAAAGGATATATCAAGGCTGTCAATCTAGATGGTGGCATACCACGTAGTGCTTTCGAACATCAGCGGTATGCACCCTTGTACTTGCTTTCTCCCGAAGTACTACGGCTAACGTTCATTGTTTCTTGTGCTTTCTATTGCCTTGAAATAGTGTTTTATACAGGATACTGAAGGGAAAGCTTGAAATCCATAAATTTGGTCTCAAGGAAACTCCCTGGGCAACGGCCATAAGGGTTGTCTCATTCGCATTTACACCTTGGACGCGGGATACACGTCCTTATCCCATTCGTCTCAAGAAACCTCAACTTCTCGATGTTGGATGGACAGAACTCGACCTTCCTATTTATTTGAGCACAGGAAGAGTGAATGATACCGCTCACATACGCGTTAAAGAAAACCGTATCCTTGGAAACCCAGGGTCTTCCAAAGGGGTAAATATCTTGTTATCTTATTTGTTTCACTCAGTTGCTGAAGTGCACGTACCAGAATTTCCAATATGGAGACTCCGAGATGTTGGACGACTCGTCAATCCCATCCCGCATACAGAAATTGATGTCACATGATGAACAATCAAGAGATGTACCCCTTGTCATACTCGTCTATAACGAAAAAATGGCAAGGGGCGTATTTGCGCACTATGGTATCGATACTGCATATTGGGAGTCAGGTATCTCAGAGCTACTCGAGCTGGACTCCTCGAAGGCAAGTGACATTGCGCCTGCTGGCATTAATGCTACCAGACTGACATGGAACCTAGTATGATTCCCAGCGTCGTCGGGACCGTTCTCGCTCACGCTCGCCACGACGAGCAAGAGATAGTTCCTCAATGTCACACCGAGACTATGACTATAAACCTGTCAAACGTGAGGATAATGATGCGCGAGAATATCTATACCATTCTCCTTCGCGCTCACCACAACGCGAAAAAGATAGTTCTTCATTATCACGTCGAGATTATGACAACAGGCGTGTCAAGAATGAGGATCAAGATGAGCGAGAATACCTACACCGTCCACTTTCGCGCTCACCTCAGCGAGAAAGAAATAGTTCCTCAGCGTCACGTGTCAAACAAGAGGATGATAGACAAGAGTCGCCACGCCATCGAGCCAAGCGGTATGCTCCTGCGTATGTCGTCGATGTTGAGGCATTATGCAAAACCATGATGCAAAGTGCAAGCGTTGGTGTGGACATAACAAGCACAGCACGACGCCTAGGTTTACAAACCGCGAGATATGATAAGCAGTGGTGTGCCGGAAATGAGTGCCAGTAAGTTATTCCTTGAGTATTGAAATATTACTTATAGAGACGTGTGATAGCCTACTTGTCGACATGTGGTCCTCGATGGCAGAAGGGGTTGCAATAGACGAGCAGCGAGCTTTACGGAGTTTAAACACAACGCCCGACGTTCAGGATCAACCCACCGTGACAGCACCTGCACAAACACAAAGTGGGAATTCTGATAATGAGCAAGACCCAAATGCCCGCCCGCCACAACAGCAACAGCAACAGCAATTTGACCCAACGGATGACTGGGAAGATGATTATTGACATGGTGTTAAATATAGGCGAATAAATAGTGTCCAAGTAGTGTCTCATGTAAATGTAATTGCTAGAACGATATCATGAAACGTTGTATATGGTTCCTTTAAGGTTCTGCAGCTGTCATCTTGAAGGGAGGAGAGTCCAGCGTCAGGTTACTGTAGCTGATGTCGTGCTTTCCAAATAACGTCGTGGCTACATCGTCTGAATGATATTTGAAGCCTCCCCCATCGTCTTCAGAGACAATCGCGCCTGTTCGCCCGTCTAGTCGAAAAGTCAAACCAGTCAACTTCTGAGAAATGCTCTTCTCATCGTCATAGGGAAGTAGCAGTTCGCCAAACCCAGATCGAGAAGTGAGCGATACTATGGCAGCGATTGAACCGGGGGGACTGGTGAGTCTCAAGTGCCTCCGTAAGCGCCTGTGGATTGTGTGAAGCGCAAGCCCGATGATGCCAATCACTATAAGCAGGACTGCGAGAGCATGGGCAGGGAGAGGTCTAGTATCACACTAAGCAAAGCAAGAATGGAGCCAATAAGAGAAGATCCACTCACTCGACAAGCAATCTTGGCACTTGAGATGTCAATTTCGCCGGAGCGAATCCGGTAGTTGGTATAAAGTAAATAGACTTTGCAGCAAGGGCGAGATGTTGTGTCTGTGATAGTAACAATATCAGGCACCGAGAATATGATGAGAATGCAAGAAGACACACGTAGACACTATAGGTGATATCAAGGAAACCATTTGGTGCATCGAATGTCGGCTGAGGTCCGTTAGGAAGTTGTGTGGCAAAACGGAAGATTGCTCCAGGAACTCCAGAGTTTATGGCAGTGGCTCGAGCCTGTATGGTGGTATCACTACTGGGATCAAACACCACGCTGTTTTTGTAGATGTAATCAGCTCAGATACTTGTATTTAAAGGATCTACTAACCCGTTATAAGCTCGACCATTCAGGGGACTGCCTGTGACATTATTTGCTGACGTATAGTTGCTTACTATGGTTACATTCGTGAGAGAGCCGTCATTGAGATTTGTTGTGGTCGTAACGTTGAAAACACCAATGCTGGGGCGACAAAAGACCCCCGCCGCCTGGGGATTGACTCCCGTGTGAAAGAACCAGAACATCACTGGTTGGAAAGCTGGATCTGTGTTTGAACTAGGACAGTTATCTACATTCACTACTCCATATTGCTGTTCGGAATCCGTGGAGTTCAGTGTAAGATTCTTTGTGCAGCCATCAGAAGATGTTGCAGATACGCTCACGTTCCCTCCACTGAGCACGGAGAGCGATAGCGAAGCGGGATTAGCACAATTGACTTCAGCCTGTATCGCAGTTGTATTCACAGCAACCGATCCGTTAGCTAGGTCTTGCGAAGGCAGCTAAGGTAGAGTCAGGACAATGGTTCTCAAGTATCCTGCCGCTTTTACTTACAAGGAACTCTGCAGAAGCCCATTCCCCATAGACGAATGGTGGATCAGGGAGGTGATTGTACACTGGATGTCAATATATGGTCAGCATCACATCAAGAGGTCGATCAATTACATACCAGCGGCATCGGCAAACTGTATACATAGCGTTCATTTGTAAGAGAGGAGCTGAACGTAAGTGTTGACGACTTACCCCTGCTGATGCCAAGAAGGCGTTCAATTGGACAACAGTGGGCAAAAGACCAACTACGGTAGTGGTGGTGGCGATCGTGTCTACGAAGTGTGTATGTGAGTATCAAGGCAGTGACTTACGAAATTCTATTTACTGCTGTTTGAGCGACCTGTTTTACTTGGAAGATAGATCCAGCGAGTGGTTGCAATAATATCACAGCAATCGCAGTGAGCGCCGATATGAAGATAAGCCAATGCCTATGCTTGAACGAAAAGAACAGGGCTGTAAATCGACTAAAAGTAGAATATTAACTTCTATTAGAGATTTCAGCGAAATTCCCCACTTCAGAGCGATCTGTGTACATGAATTTCAGTTGCCAGAATGTGTGAGAAGGTGAATAGATGCTAACATAGTCAAGAAGTATACTCTCTTCTGCGGGCGCTTCCCCTTTCGACAGCGTCACATAAGGCTGGTAGCCTGAGTGAGAGTTTGCAACTTTAAAGTTTGCACTTAGAGTGGCTCACCTGATACCACCTTAGCATCCAGTCCGTGACAGACCAAAGATATCCCAATGGAGCCACAAAAAGGGTAGGAATAAAAGACTATGTCTCTCAGCTTCAGCAGGATAGTCATCACGATTGATCTTACAGTCAAGAATTGTGTGCATGCAAATTTAAAAACATTTTCAGGGGGTACGTAATAGCCTGGATGGCGACCAGAATCACTATGAACATCAGCTACTAGTTTCCACATACCTCACACCATGACGCACCATCGTTTTTCGTAGACACCGACAGAGCCGCCTCTAGTGCCACCCCAAGACCTATCATGACCACCGCTATAGCACTGACAACCCACCCTTTCAGGATGAGCGGTTCCTACGCAGTGCGTCAGAGGTGATTTGATGAATCAAAATAGAACTTATTACATATCGTTCAGGACGATCTTCTTGGATGCCTGGTGTAGGGATAAGGTGGGTAGACTCTCGAAAGCGCGGTGAATCGGAGAGCATAGCAGTCCTCGGTCTTAATTTCGTCGTACTCATGAAGAGCGTTTGAGTAAAGCGTTGATCTTAGGGATAGTGTATCATATAGCACACAAAAATGAGCAAAAGGAAAGGCTGAGGCTTGAAACGAAGACACACCTGGAAAACTTCGGTCGCATAAGTGGGTTCATAATATTTTAGCACATGGAGAACTGTCAGTAAAGACGCTCGCGCCTCAGGTTAACCGACATGATGTACTGGAGGTGACCCTTCATGTCTGTGCATTGTTCCGTTTACTTTTGAAGCCAGCCAACTGTAGCTCTGTGTGCCGTATAAAATGTTATAGATAACATTCGAAATTGGATGGCTGAAGCACTTGTGCATCAAGTTACCATTGTGAAATTACGAACTCCGGGAGTCCAAGTCGCGTCCAACTTGAAGTCGCGTCCACACGCGGTGTTGTGCGCGGCGAGCTAAGCCCAAAGGGGCATAGCTTTCGCAAAGAGCTCAGCTGCATATTACTGTACTAGTGCAATGATTTACTGATATCGATCATCAGTAATTTGGTCGGTAGGGAGACTATGCAATGCTGGGTACAGTGACTGGGTGAGGTCATAAGCATAACTTGAACTGTGGATGGAGTCGCATAAAGGACTGAGAGCCTCATGCACCACCGCTGCCAGCCACATTTGTGTAGGTGGCTGGGAAACACCTTCCATTTCGGATCTCGGACTTTCCCGTAGCATAGAAAGTATCACTCGACGGCTTCATTGACACCTCAGTCCCAGTGAAAATCGGATCGAGTCGGATCGAGTCAAATCTAGCAAAATCGAATATGAGCAATGGTAACGGTCCGCCTCGATTAGACTAGAAAAATGAGACTATTTTCTAGAATAATTCTAGACAGAATGAGAGAGACCTGTAAATATACATTTTATCGATGAGAATATATTTTGCTAGATTGATGTCATCGGTCTCAGACATGGCCAAATCCAGGGACATTGAGGGAGATAAATTGTCAAAACTCATACATAAAAATGTTACTACATCGTGATCTATAGGGATATTGAGGCAAAATGAGACAGTTCTAGATAATGCTCGGTGCATATGATAGTATTGTCCCTTTGGGTTTGCTTGTAGACCCCTCCTTTTGAGACAAACTTACAGCGGCTTCTTTCTGTCAAGTAGAGTGTTGTTGGTTAATGTGCTGCAACAACCGCGAGTAGTAAATAGACATGCACCTGTGCTTTAGCAGCCTGAGACGCATGATCTTGATAGACCTACAAACATTTTCTGTGGCTTGTCCTTCCAGGTAAAACAGTGTACATACCTTTTTCACCTGTGGATCAAGATTGTCGTAATATATCCTATATTCCTCTGTGGTTCCATGAGGGTGATCTTTGATCCAATTGCAAGCACAGAGATTTCTAAAAATAAGTAATATTCTTTTTAAAAAAAGCACAGAGATAGTCAGTATTATTCTTACCTGGGAGTAGTCAAGTTGCCCAGCCGCATCTTTGAAGTCTTCTTCATAGCAAGTGAGTTCTCCTTCATGGCGCCGAATGCAGGCCCAGCTTGATTGTCTTTGATGTTTTCCACTGTCTGAGTTGTTGTGGCCATTGCGGTATCACTCTCAATGTTGCTGGCAGGTATGGTAGCCATCTGAGGATTGACACCACCTGTGTCATCGTCCACAGAGACAGAGTCCAGCCTCGGAGACCCATCTATCTGTATGACATGGTCTGGGCTGCTAGGTACAACATGAAGTCTAGAAAACACACACTGTCAGTATAGGGCTATAAACAAGCTAGAGTGGAAGTCAATAATTACAAAGGGTCCTTCAGATGGGTATTAGCCAGTTGTATATCCACTGGGGGCTCAGTGTCAGTGGTGCTGGCCACTGGGGTCTGACGGCTCACATCCGGGTCTTGGGCGTTGACAGTGGGGGTACATTTCCTTGACTTATCATGGTGATGTCGGGACTGATTTGCTTTTGTTTCTTGACTGGGCGGGTAACAGGTATGGGAGTGCCTTGATGGGATCGTTTACAGCCAATGGGCTCACTTGTGTCTTGCATATCTGGCACAATGCATTCCTTTTTTACCTTGGGCTCTCTGAAGTGGTTGGAATACCAGGATGGATAGTTGTCAATAGCAATTTGGTTGGCCTTCCAGTCGAGCTCACAGTATCGTAGCTGAGGTACCTTCTGGTAGAGTTTTGACCTATAGTAATCTAGTACCTCTCGGCCTGCTCCCATCCATGTCTTTGGTGCCTTCCCCATATTTGCTAGTTCAACCCAAATTGAGTGTGCAATTTTTTGTATTTCGGTTGCCTTGTGACCGTTGATGATGGTCCCATCTGAGTCTTCAACATAGCGCATTTTGATGTTAATGCCATTTGCGGCACGTACACCTCCACGCTGTCGATGATGAGAACTGGTGTTAGAAAACCACACACAAAAACAAACTAACACACAATCCTCCCAGATTCCACGGAACTTGTTTATGGGCTTTGCCTCCTAGAACAGTGGGTGCTCTGGTTGTTCGTGGGGTGGTATGTATAAGGGTTCTTCAAAGTAAAACCCTGAGATGTATGGGTGTGGGTTTTGAGGAGGAGGGATAGTTGAATTTATAGAAGATAGGTGCTTAGTGACGAGTATAGATGAGCACTACCTTGCTAATCGTAGCACAAGGTAGGTTTGAGAACGACAATATGACGAAGTTCCCAGTGATAGCAGGCTCCTGACGCACAAACTGTAGTGCTCAGAAGGACTCTAATCGAAAGGGATGACAATGACTTCAAAAGTGGGAAGTGACGATGACAGCAGTTGACAGTGGTAGCAGTGGGAAGTGTTGTGACCACACTGGATCACAAGTAGCAGAGTAGTGAACTTGAGAGTAGAGAAGAAGTCTGGATTGGAGTTCTTGTTTTTTTTTTTACAAGGTAAAATACAGGGGTTTATATAGTAAAAGAAAAGTAGGCTATGCACAGTATAGCTGTGCAAAAAAAATGAGAAAGAATATGAAGGAAGGAATGTACGCTGACGAATCCTGCGTAGGTAGTACAGGATAAGATTGTCAAAAAAAAGGAAAAGAAAGGGATAGAACAATGAATGTTGTGAGTAATGTCACAGGTTTGTATAGCCATAAAGTAAAGTCCAATAGCAAAAAGAGAGCAGAAAAATCATGATGTCATGGGAAGATGCAGTAAAAAAAAGGCAAGGCAAAACACTATCAGTTCCTTTATTGTCAGTCAGGCATTCTAAAAAAATATGTGTCCATAAAAATGATTCAAAAATCAAAAATAATCGCACTGTAAATGAATGTTCTGCTGAAGAAAAAGAAACTGGAGCCACTGGTCCACCACCTAGTCCAAATCCGACAGTTCCATGGCCTTACCAATGGACTGGTTGTGTTGGACCACCTGATCAAACGAGGGAGGGAGAGGAGTAGTTCCAATTTGGAACAAGTGAGTCCCAGACAGCGTGTGGTAGGTGTAGCTGTAGCGAAGACAATGGACAAAAGATAAGTGTACCCAAGTGAATGGGACAGCAATGAACATGGGCGACGCAAGGGGATGAACCTTCTCCAGCTCAAAAACTACCCACCCACGCTCCAACCAGGCAAGACGAGCGACCAATGTTTTGACAGTATATGATGGCAGATCGACATCATGAAGATGGACCTGTTGCCCTATTTGGACCGGCCGCCGGGGCTTTGCTGATATCAGCAGTGGCACGTGGCAGTCAACAGATCGGCGACGGAAGCGGATAGGAAGTGGTGACATCAGAAATGGCGGGGGTGCAAATAAGATGAGGAGGAGGAGGGTGGAGGTGACGGAAAAGTGGATTAAAATGGGGATCCAGAAACGACCGTCAGGTGAGAATAAAAAGGAGAGGAAGGGGCCCATGGTGGGGCTAGGCAAAGGAAGGGGAGTAAGGGAAACGACAAAAGCGAGGGCGCAATGCAATGTGTAGCCAGTGGCGACGCAAAAATTTGCCGAAATGCCGAAATGCCGAAAGTACTGAATGGAAAAGCAAAGGTGAGCGTGACTGGATTGCCTAATAGAGGTGGTGCTGATCAGCCACAAGTTCGAAAAAGGCAATATTAATTACTATTCCACGTGGCACTGTGCCTGTGTGGCGCAAAGGCGAGTCTTTTGAATATTCGCTTCGTTATTGACACCTGTCCATGCTACCAATCAACTTTGGTGCATGACACCGGTATTGAGGCCAATTAAGCTGATGGGGCTACAGGCTAGACCTATGAGACCAGCAACATCACCAAGGACAATTCCCAACAAAACCAAGAAGCTAGTAACAGCACCAGCACTGGAACTGGACTATACAATTGTATAATTCTGTGTATTGTTTATGCAGGTCTAGAAATAGGGCTACACCTACTTTGAACACTGTTGCAGCATTGCACATCACCGGCATTACACTGACTGACAGGTGTGGTCACGATAGAAGCGTGGGCAGTCTAGAAAACATTGTCAGCAGGACATTGGGCACATAGCAAACTGCATATGGCTGTATACGTAACAGTTACTGTGAAGTGTCATGGGAAAAACCTCCTGGCACATCAGCAACTGTTACAATAACACATTTTTGGACCTTTAACTTTCATTCTCCTCTTTAATCTTTTACTGTAGTTTTCACACTCCGTGCCACGTGGCACTTTCCCTTCTGTTCAAACTCCACCTTCTCACGCCACATTGCCTTTCTTTCTATTTTAGATACAAGTCTCTCATGCAGTGGAGCTGACCACACAGGCTGCGCCCTCTGACATAATCAGCCACTGTTTTATCAGCTGTATAGTCCAACATGTACAAACAACCTGTAGTAGTATATATACCGCAATAAATCCAGGAGACTCCTCAGCAAGTCCTCCTGTTGCATCCTCACAACTAACTTGTTGAAGTCTCAAGGGTAACCACTCCCATATCATTTTCCTTATAGTGTGTTCTAGTTGTGTGCCAGAGTAACAAACTCTTGGTTGTTACAGCAACAGCCTTTATGCATTTTGCGTGGTCACGGTGTCATGCACCAAAGTTGATTGGTAGCATGGACAGGTGTCAATAACGAAGCGAATATTCAAAAGACTCGCCTTTGCGCCACACAGGCACAGTGCCACGTGGAATAGTAATTAATATTGCCTTTTTCGAACTTGTGGCTGATCAGCACCACCTCTATTAGGCAATCCAGTCACGCTCACCTTTGCTTTTCCATTCAGTACTTTCGGCATTTCGGCATTTCGGCAAATTTTTGCGTCGCCACTGGCTACACATTGCATTGCGCCCTCGCTTTTGTCGTTTCCCTTACTCCCCTTCCTTTGCCTAGCCCCACCATGGGCCCCTTCCTCTCCTTTTTATTCTCACCTGACGGTCGTTTCTGGATCCCCATTTTAATCCACTTTTCCGTCACCTCCACCCTCCTCCTCCTCATCTTATTTGCACCCCCGCCATTTCTGATGTCACCACTTCCTATCCGCTTCCGTCGCCGATCTGTTGACTGCCACGTGCCACTGCTGATATCAGCAAAGCCCCGGCGGCCGGTCCAAATAGGGCAACAGGTCCATCTTCATGATGTCGATCTGCCATCATATACTGTCAAAACATTGGTCGCTCGTCTTGCCTGGTTGGAGCGTGGGTGGGTAGTTTTTGAGCTGGAGAAGGTTCATCCCCTTGCGTCGCCCATGTTCATTGCTGTCCCATTCACTTGGGTACACTTATCTTTTGTCCATTGTCTTCGCTACAGCTACACCTACCACACGCTGTCTGGGACTCACTTGTTCCAAATTGGAACTACTCCTCTCCCTCCCTCGTTTGATCAGGTGGTCCAACACAACCAGTCCATTGGTAAGGCCATGGAACTGTCGGATTTGGACTAGGTGGTGGACCAGTGGCTCCAGTTTCTTTTTCTTCAGCAGAACATTCATTTACAGTGCGATTATTTTTGATTTTTGAATCATTTTTATGGACACATATTTTTTTAGAATGCCTGACTGACATAAAGGAACTGATAGTGTTTTGCCTTGCCTTTTTTTTACTGCATCTTCCCATGACATCATGATTTTTCTGCTCTCTTTTTGCTATTGGACTTTACTTTATGGCTATACAAACCTGTGACATTACTCACAACATTCATTGTTCTATCCCTTTCTTTTCCTTTTTTTTGACAATCTTATCCTGTACTACCTACGCAGGATTCGTCAGCGTACATTCCTTCCTTCATATTCTTTCTCATTTTTTTTGCACAGCTATACTGTGCATAGCCTACTTTTCTTTTACTATATAAACCCCTGTATTTTACCTTGTAAAAAAAAAAACAAGAACTCCAATCCAGACTTCTTCTCTACTCTCAAGTTCACTACTCTGCTACTTGTGATCCAGTGTGGTCACAACACTTCCCACTGCTACCACTGTCAACTGCTGTCATCGTCACTTCCCACTTTTGAAGTCATTGTCATCCCTTTCGATTAGAGTCCTTCTGAGCACTACAGTTTGTGCGTCAGGAGCCTGCTATCACTGGGAACTTCGTCATATTGTCGTTCTCAAACCTACCTTGTGCTACGATTAGCAAGGTAGTGCTCATCTATACTCGTCACTAAGCACCTATCTTCTATAAATTCAACTATCCCTCCTCCTCAAAACCCACACCCATACATCTCAGGGTTTTACTTGTGAGGAATCGATTTTTCTTATTGCATTCCCGTCATGTCGTGGTTAGCAGATTCGATCCCCATCACTCCTCTTGCCCTTGGACTAGAGATTACAGCCGGTGTCTTATTACTTTTATCATTTTTCTTCTTATTCTCTCTTCACACTCACGTTCTATCGTACCTACAACGAGGTAGACTCGTTGTCGACCCTCAAGAAGATATCCAGATGACATAGCCACAATCCAGTGCTATGTCTGGGAATACTTCGGAGGAATATTGATAAGCGAAGAAGGTAGTGAATCAGCGCCTTCTCATGGGCTTACTGATACAGCCAATCGCATATCCCTTACCAATACGTTTTCTCATACAATTAGTAAACACGATAGATCGGACCACTTCCTCCCTTTTTTCTTATTGGTTAGTTAGCTGGTCAGACCACTTTCTCAGTAATTCCCTTTCTCGGTCTGACCATCGCCGTTCACTATATAGAGAAGTATATACTCAATGTATTGTTCTCTAGTTCAATATTAGTTTGGATTTGCGCTCTTACCGATACTCTTCATTCTCATACTCTGATTCACCGCCTTCAAGGAAGGACTTGACCAGACATTGAGCTTTGTTATATAGCTTCGTATTTGTTGCCTGACATTACTTTGAAGAACCCTTATACATACCACCCCACAAACAACCAGAGCACCCACTGTTCTAGGAGGCAAAGCCCATAAACAAGTTCCGTGGAATCTGGGAGGATTGTGTGTTAGTTTGTTTTTGTGTGTGGTTTTCTAACACCAGTTCTCATCATCGACAACGGCCCGGGCAACACAAGTACACCTCTCTCTACCCTATGCCTCTGAAAAAGGGATACCAGACATGACAGAAAGGTGACATCGACGAGAAGCGCCTAGTGTAGCTGGCTGAGTGTGAATGACTGGTTTGTAGGCATCCAAGACTATCGGATTACTAGAATGCTGAATGGAAAATGGAATATGAGAGATATTGAAGTGTTATGGCAGACCTAGGCACTGTCACTGTCAGTCACCACCAGGACAAAAAGAAATCATTGGCTTACACATAATATGTGTCCATCTATGGAAGCATAGCAATAATCAATGTACAGCTTCATGATGTTGAATAGCGCATAAAAACCTGTAGGTCAACAAGGATTACCTTTTCTGGGCACCCTCGCGGCCTTCGCACTGTCCAACAACTGACATTTCAGCATGGAAGAGTTATAAAGAGGAGCGTGAGGACATAATTTGTTATTCAATAGCGAGAAGTCGGACTGGAAGCTGAAACTGCCGGGACCGTACTTCATACCAAGCTCATGCTCGGCGACAACGGAAACTACCAGAAATCAAATGGACAGGTGGTCGAATTGCAAAACGATGAACATGGACACCTCATCGGCAAACTCGAAGAGTCCTTCTCGAGGCAAGTTGCCATTTTCTGCATTAGCTAACACGTCGAAATTATGTATCGGATTGAACATTACGAATAATGATACGAATCAATCGTGTTCCATCAAAGAAATAAAAGTCAGAGCTCCTTCAAGAAAATGCAAAAACATAAATTTCCGAATAACAGGATCCCACATTCGTATATACCACATCGACGAAGTGGACTGTTGCTTAGATTTCGGGGGCACCGGTATAATTACCAGGACGCCGCATAGCTTGGAAGTCGAGTGGAGATCTTGGAGAGGACACCAACAAACCAGAAGGACTAGTAGTGTAGGTCATCGAAGGACCAGGCGAATGAGGAAACGTGCTGGGGTCGTCGGGATCCTGAATATAGAAATTTAACGACATTGCTCTTTGCGGCAGCTGAGAGCACTCACGTAAACTTTTGGAAGGGCCTGAGTAGACCCTTGTACTGGCTCGTTGAAATTGTAGGGAGATATGGTTTGTCCAATGGGAGAAGAATCAAACGATGGTTTTTCACGGAGATAACGATCGGCGCTCCGGGCACGACGGCGCATGAACCACACGGCACCTGCAACTATTATGGCCAAGCCAACTACACCTCCGACCACTCCACCTGCGATAGCGCCTGTATTGGAGCTTGAGGACTTGGAAGAACTTAACGGTATGTTCGTGGGATTGGAGATTGGACCAAGCGTCGACTGCGACGAAGTCGCTGAGGATGCAGGAGCAGCTGAAACAAACAGGGATGATGAGAGGCTGACACAAACGAAAAGATGACGCTCGATGACTGACATGAATCCTGCATTGAGGCGTTGATACTGAATGTACCAGCCCCCTTTGGTGTACAATTGAATGCAAGTTTACATCCGGAAACCCGAAGACACTTACAACAGCAGTGACATTCAGATATGCCCATGCAGGGACGACAGTTTCCTGGGGAATATTATTCGGATACCTATAATGGTTGTCAAACAACTTATTTAACAATCAACTATTGGCCTCACGTCATGAAGTAAACATAGCCGCTGCAGTTGGTACTCCAGGTGTCCCAGCTGGCATATTCTTTTAGTGTATATCATGGACGTTTACAAGCACAACTTACGAGACCCATAGCTGGTTCTGACAGGCTGCGCAGGCGCTGATCAGTGAGTAAACCACAGAGTTGCATTGACAATTATTGGCATCGCTCAAGGATGGGGCGAGATAGTGCTCATTGGGTGGTAAAGCAGGAATATCCCATTCTGAAGCGCTCACTTATCAGAGATTGACCGCCAGCAGATTACTTGACACGAACCTCCACCGTTGCAGACTCCTTCCAAATAAGAAGCGACAGTACAAGGAGTCTGATTGAGCGAGTTATTCGCCTGTGATGGAGCATAGAATGTAAGATCACGAAATCAAGGTCGATTTCAAGTCAAACAAAGATAGACGAACCCAACCGAAAGAACTCGCGCAAGTGACATTCGAAGTTTGAGTAGCAACACCCCGAATGCTCATCAGGGTCACCACAACGGCGACCAACATCTCCAAGGCCTTGTAGTACATGGTGGAAAACTTCTGAACGTTTCAAGCGGGGCGCAGGATTACAGCTAACTTTAACCCAGCACGGAAGCCTTCCCTTTCAAACAACCGCCCAGGAACTCATGCAGTACTCATGACCAAGAACTGGCGCTGAGAGAAGATGATGAAGCTCCAGTCCAGGTTTGTGCGGGCTTCTCTGTACCGCGTGGAAAAATGCTGAATCACAACGTTCTGATGGAGATGCTTTCATACCTTGGTAATGAAGCGCAGAGATAAATTATAACATTCCTAATATAAGAGCTCGCAGGTAAAGTTGGCTGGTTATGACGACACACCCAAGAAAATGAAAACGAATGAAAGTTCGGCAAATTCCGAGAACCTGTCAATGCGCTATAAACACACGTACACAGCTTTCCTTGGTTCAGAACTACTTATCTCGAACCATAAGTACATGTTGTATGGCATCTCTTCACTTTCATTTTTATTCTTCAGGCAGAGCACTTTCCCTGAGAGCCATGTGTTGCTGTATTTTCAAATCGCAAGTGGCCTCCTGAAAGTCCTGCAGATTTGAATTTCTCGGCAGCCATTAACGCGATGTGTTCCTCACGATCACACGAAATAGAGGATGACTAGCAGAGGTTCAACGACTCTTCAGTCGATGTACAAGATCAGTGGGTAAGCACGGGTGAAACGGTTTGTAGCTTTCAGGATTTATGTTCTGGTTCAGACAGCAGGATATTCATATCCGAAATAACAAAAGTGTACGTTTTACTTCGAATTTCACGAGGCAAGAGTGGAACAACCAGAGTGCGGTGCAGTAATAGGTTGGGAGGACTAAGTGAGCCAAGAACGTGTTAGAGTAATCAGTATTATACCATTCAATCATGCTGTTGAACTGCATGAATTGATAATGCTCACGTTCGGTTTTTCATGTGGTTCTTGAAAATTCTTGCGCTGAGCGATAGGGCCCGGATGGCAAATTGGGGGATATGAGGGAAGCTGTCGGGATACAGGTCAGAGATATGTCGGTTTTATCCTTCCAGAATTGATGGGACATTAGGGGAAGCTAACAGGGATAAAATGAGAATACGGCACAAGATATGTCGGAACGTTCACTTACTGACATATACCCTACTAAGTAGGAACCTTTGAAGCATAACAGATTGGAGGTCATACGGGTAGCTGAAGAATTGTAACAGAATTGACATCGAGGTATGTCATGCAGGAACATCGTTCCTCAGGGATATGGGACTCAGATATCCATGGGGACTGTCAACAAATTTCTTATAGCCCCACTGTCCAGGGTGTGAAATATCGTGCAGCTGGCTGAAATCTTGTACCTTATTCGTTAACCCGTTGTACTTGGGAGTACAAAACCTCCGCATCATACATTACCACACAATGAACAGCGTCTCAGCCTAGTACGGTCATTTAATCACTAGCCAGTGCCCGTCTGAGTTACGTTCTCGATGTCCATGGTATTCCTCGAAGATTTTCACTGTTGCGTGCTGTTTTCGAATCAGTTGCAACGGGACAGGGACCCCGACAGATATTGTGATCAACCTATAATGAAGTCCCTTATCAGTTTAGCTGTCGTAGTGAAGTCAAACAGTGTTGAACGTACCCAAAGTAGACTATATGTATGGTTTCGGCGGCGATGAAGGTGAGCTTGCGGTAAACTTTACCTTACAATCACCTTTTCAATTCATACGACGGCGAACTCATGAACGGACATTGCGCCAAGAACCATGATCGAAGATGATGAATTTCAACAGTCCATCAAGCACATGAAGTTGCACGGGTTGCTCCGCAGTGTGCTTCACAGACACGCCTTCTACTGTAAGTACCAAAGAAGAAGCATATAGTGTTTGCCAACGTACTGCACAAGTGTTGGACTAGGCTTCCTTGGCAAAGCATATCGAGCCACTATTTGTATGGGAACGTGCTTCCACGCATGGTTTGTGGTCATATATCTCTGTTCTTCCTGATGGAGATTCTAATGGTTTCAGCAATGGATATAAATCTGATCTAATTCATTTGTTGAATTTAGTGTCTTATGTGCTGTTCAAACAGTACGAACGTATTGAGCTATATAATATGCGATGCTACATTAAATAATGTTAGCCTCATTTTATGTGGAGCTTGAATTGACAATACCTCAGATCAGTCATCCCTCGCTCTGGTGTCAGAAGCCTGAGCTAGTGGTATAAATACCCGCATGTAAGAAGAAGAATAAAGGAAACGAGCGCACACCCCACAGTCGTGTGTTCCCGGAGAAGTGACCATTGTGATGGGCGGGCCGAGCACGTTTTTACCCAGTGAGTGAGTGATCTCACCGTGTCGAACAGCGTAATACTCCATCACCTGCTTCAAAACGAATACAATTAGGTGATGAACTTTGCACAAGAAAAAGAAAACCTACTTCCTTGATGATGACAGTAAGTGAACTCGATACGTTCCGTACAGTTTTGTGACAATGGTGCAACTAGACAGTCGAATGATCGAACAAACATACATGTCACTACATCCCCCGTTATAGAAGCGAACCTATGACCAACATCGTCATGTCGGTTGGGCTGGTTGTAATCCAATAGCTGAGATAGTCGAATCCGCACGTTGAGTTGCTAGAGGCGAGTGTAGCATTGAATATTGAATGACCAGGTCCACTCGACTTCAGAGTGCGTTGTACGTTACCCCACGCTCGACAAAGAATTACCCTCAGTTCTCCTGAGAGTGCGGAAATCAAACGAAAGTTCAGGTAGTATACGTAGCAGGGGTTTAACCATAGTTACCGAGGAGGGAAACATCGAGGGTTTCCTTATATGCATCTCTGGACTTTGCTCACCGCCGAAGTGGCTCTTCCTACGCATTATTAACCTTGCATTCACGAGAGAAATGACCTTGCGCGAAAGTATATTCCTTCTTACGGATTGGAACCTTCACGATTTCAGGGATTTCGACCTTTCACAAAATCATATATGTGCATGAACTTCAACATGAACACGGAGGGGATAGATATATGCTTATAACGTGTGCGAAAGATGCGCTGATAACAACCCCGAAGTACCGCGAGCTACTAGTAACTGATCGTCTGTAAGCATGTTGAACAATTGAGCTGTAGTGGCCAGACCTTTATCAACCAGGTTCGCTACAATAGGCGACAGCTTTAAAGTACCCGTCTGACCCTCCTCCCAGTCCCAGAGAGAACTGCCTTTTATCCAACCCGCAACAGTTTGAGAAACACGATTTAGCCTGGTTGTCGATCTAGACGTAATGGCGAACACGCTTCTGCTAGAGGCGACACCAGTATGTCGGACAACCGAGACATATTTACGTTTAGTCACCTTCAGGAAGACATCGTAAGTCTAGCATGTTGGGTATGTAACCGTGCACGCATAGGGGACACGACAAAGGTGCAGTGGTGCCACAAAGCAGCCACTGGATATTGTCGCCGCTTGAAAAATAAGCGTACACCCTTGACCCGAACTCAAGTCCTCGTTTTTGACCTCGCCAACCCATCCTTTACTTTGTTGCCCCGACCGTCACCCTTTCTAGTACTCTTTTCCTTGATACCTAATGTACGTGTCACTGGTCTTGTGCGCTGCTTTTCGCGCTGTTTCGCGCGTTGTTCATCAACACAGAACATGGCAGTTTCTTGCATGCACTCTCCTTGTTCTATTTCATTTTGATGCGAGCAGATAGCTGATATTGGTCTTTAGCATGCGTGAAATCGTCCACCTCCAGACCGGCCAGGTAAGCCGTCTCGTGTCTTCGTGCGTCTACTGGTTTTAATCGCGTTTCTTTCTAGTGTGGTAACCAAATCGGTACGAATCACAATATGCCACTGTGATGCGACAATATTCTCATCGATGCCTTGATTACTTTACATAGGTGCCAAGTTTTGGGAGGTTGTGTCTGATGAGCATGGTATCGAGCGGGATGGTCTTTACAAAGGAACCAACGACATGCAACTCGAACGTATCTCGGTTTACTACAATGAAATCGGGTCCAACAAATACGTTCCCCGTGCTGTCTTGGTCGACCTGGAGCCAGGAACCATGGACTCTGTCCGCTCCGGCCCCCTGGGTGGTTTGTTCCGTCCTGATAACTTCGTGTTCGGGCAGAGTGGTGCTGGTAACAACTGGGCAAAAGGACGTGAGTGCACCTTTCCATTGGCGAGGTGTCCGTATGGCGCAATGGTGGATACTTTATGTATTCCATCACTGAAGATAGCAAAGCCTGACCTAGACGGCCCTTCCGGCACACAATTTGTCCACAACGTGATATTGACTATTTAAACAGATTACACCGAAGGAGCAGAGCTCGTCGACTCTGTACTCGATGTCGTTCGTAAGGAGGCTGAAGGCACTGACTGTTTGCAAGGTTGGTTTGCATACATTTAGTGCGATAAAATATTTATCGTGTCATTTTTAGGTTTCCAGATTACTCACTCCCTTGGTGGTGGTACTGGAGCTGGTATGGGCACTCTCCTGATCTCGAAGATTAGAGAAGAATACCCAGACAGAATGATGTGCACGTACTCTGTCGTTCCCAGTCCCAAGGTATCGGACACCGTTGTTGAAGTACGTTCACAGTTAATTCTGATACCCGAATCTGTACTGACTTCGAGTTTAGCCTTATAACGCCACGCTCTCTGTTCACCAACTTGTTGAAAACTCTGATGAGACTTTCTGCATTGATAACGAGGCCCTTTACGACATATGTTTCCGAACTCTCAAGCTATCAACACCAACATACGGTGATCTCAACCACCTTGTTTCTTTTGTTATGTCTGGTATCACGACCTGTCTGCGCTTCCCTGGTCAGCTTAACTCTGACCTAAGAAAACTCGCTGTCAACATGGGTGAGTTAATTCAACATGAGGTATCGTTGTAATGAGTCGCTTGCTGACTTTGTGGTTCCATAGTTCCTTTCCCTCGTCTTCACTTTTTCATGACTGGTTTCGCACCTTTGACTGCTCGTGGTAGCCAACAATACCGAGCTGTCACTGTTCCTGAGTTGACGCAGCAGATGTTCGACGCCAAAAACATGATGGCTGCCTCCGACCCCAGGCACGGTCGTTACTTGACTGTATGCTCTTTTTATACCTACTGATTGGCGCATCAAATAACATATATCCACTTAGGTCGCTGCTGTTTTCCGTGGCAAAGTCTCGATGAAGGAGGTCGAAGAGCAAATGCAGAACGTCCAGAACAAGAACTCTGCTTATTTCGTGGAGTGGATTCCCAACAACGTACTCTCAGCACAGTGTGACATCCCTCCCAGAGGTTTGAAGATGGCTGTTACTTTCTTGGGTAACTCCACTGCCATCCAAGAGCTCTTCAAGCGTGTCAGCGACCAGTTCACTGCCATGTTCAAGCGAAAAGCTTTCTTGCATTGGTACACGCAAGAGGGTATGGACGAGATGGAGGTATGCACAGTCATCACACATTACGACTTCAGCTAACACCATTGTTGCAGTTCACGGAAGCAGAGTCGAACATGCAAGATTTGGTCGCCGAATACCAACAATACCAGGATGCAACGTGTGTATTTCCTTCTTTCGTTGTGTAAATGTGCATTGATTTGTCGCTTAGGATCGAGGAGGAAGGTGAATACGAGGAGGAGGTTCCTGCAGACGAAGAGTAGACTTAAAAATTATCACGCGCTACTTGGCTTTGTTTGTATCTTCTCATACTTTTACGAAAACTTAGGTATTCCTCTATTGGTGTCTTCCTGTCCGTTGTTTCATTTGTTCTGTTAATTCCTGTCACGTCAGTTACTCTAGTCCGCATGCGTTGTGTCACATTCATACACTTCTTCTGGCACATTCGCCAGAAACAATACATTTTATTGGAAAACGCGAGTTTATACCCTTTTTTCCGTGTCCTCGATGTTACGTTACGCCGACACCAACCTATTATAAGCAATTCTAGGCGTCTGATATTCACAGTTTGAGGCGTAGGACGATGAGTGCTGTAAAGTTATCAGTATAGCCTGAATCAGATTTACTATTGGCGCTCAAATTAAAATCATTACTCACTGTAGGGCCACACTACCTCATCGTCGTATCTAACATCTGACAATGTTGTGGGGTGGTCATGGGTACAAATATCCAGGTTTCCGCAGACGTCATTCGTATAAAACAGCATAGCACTAATACTCCTACTTCCACCCACATTTATGAACTAGACATGGGGTGAGTTTTGTTTTGTCAACTATTGGTCTTCAAATAGTCTCATCATTAAATAGGATTATAATCTCGTGTATAACAGGTAATGTTTGATTTCAGCCAGTGAACATAGCCTAACGATCTCCATTTCCAATCACCGTCTCATTTGCAGGTATTTTTGCCTGCATCGGAGGGGCTATAATGAGTCTGGTAAGCCTGATTGCAGGCTGCCTTGAGTGTATCGTCGGAGGCGAGTGTGACATCTACCTTCGTTACGAATTCCATCGTGCTGATTGAACGAATCGAAACTCCAGCAATAACCGGATTCTTCGCTGCTGTAGTAGATTGTGTAACCGGCTGTCTCTGTTGTGGGTAAGTGGTGACATGATTGGTACCATTGACATTGAATACGAAATCACTCGACAGTAGAGTATGAGTGGGGGTTCCGGGATAAAGAATCCTGGAGCCCTTAGTATTCACATTCGCCAGTGGAGTGTAAAGACGGATTTCTCTCATATATAGACATTCTTCGGAAAAGTCCGAGTCATGCTATTGTATTGTACATTACTATCGAAAGTCCTTTTACAGTACTGAATAGGCTACAACCTGAATAGTGAACATACTTAGTATGTGCACGGAACCGGTAATCTTGTTTAGATTTCTCAGAGATGTTATCTAATCGATGTATAGTCAGGGTCAGGCATCGATATCTCTTGCCTGTCTGGTTCAGCGCGCTTGATCGCTGGGTGTGGATTTGACAGATATGAACTTCGAGGGAAAGCCGTGGAATGGGAAATTGAAAGTAACCCGCACTATTCTGTACTGAGACATTTACATTAGACGTGCCAGCGTCTAGATATACAATTTTTTCTGCCGGAGAGATGTTGGCGGTTTCCTGCACGGGATGCATATGGGTGCTGTTATATGATCGATCTACAAAATTGACTGGGAGCCAAACAAGGACAATCAAACAAGATGCGTACATCTTAGATGGAGCGCATACTTTTCTTCTCTTCTTTCCTCTTCACCAAAATACCCTCTGGGCTCTTTGTTGGAGAGGAAAGAACCCATTGATATCTATCCAATAAATCATTCTTTCGACGACTATGGCATTGTCAAATCAAAATGGTCCTGTCAGACCTACCTTTTCACGTTCTTCTAGCAATTTTGCCCAGCCCAACGGGTTCCCTGCCCCCCCAGTCACGTTCATCCCCATCAAAGACGATGTCGCAGCACCAGATCCAGTCGATGCTGTTTTGGAGCTGAGTGACGGTTCTGCTTTTCGTGGCATTAGTTTCGGTGCGCAGGATAAAAGCATCGCTGGCGAGTGTGTTTTCCAGACCGGTAAGTTTTACCCATACTTTATTATTATAGAATATCAACTAAAAAAACTTCTGTGATCGTAGGTATGGTTGGATATACCGAGTCTTTGACTGATCCATCATATCGAGGTCAGATTCTTGTTTTAACCTACCCTCTCATCGGAAATTACGGTGTGCCAGCCCGTAATGTACAAAATGCAGTCGATGGTCTCCCTTTGGATTTCGAGTCTTCTCTCATACATATTGCCGCTCTTGTGGTCGGTTCATATTCTGAAGATTACAGCCATTTCTTGGCAAATTCATCTCTTGGGACTTGGCTCAAAGAAAATAATATCCCAGCTATTTACGGAGTGGACACACGCGCCCTCACCAAAAAAATTCGCGAGAAGGGTTCCATTCTAGGAAAAGTCCTCGCCAGAAGGTCGGATGCGCCCCGAGGCCGTCTACGCTCTCTCATTCCGGAATCACAACCAACCTCACGCGCATCTTCCCCTCCTGCACCCTTGTCTTGGAGAGAAGACTATCTTGATGTTCCCTTTCATGACCCCAACCAAGATAATCTCGTTGCAGCCGTGTCGCTCAGTACTCCACGCCTGTTCAAACCCATCGTCAAAGCGCACTTACACCCCTCCGGACGTCCTCTTCGTGTGCTAGCCATAGATGTCGGCATGAAGTATAACCAGATCCGTTGTTTTATAAATCGAGGTGTCGAGCTGAAAGTTGTGCCTTGGGACTATGACTTTGTAAACGAATCTGAACCGTACGATGGACTATTTCTGTCCAACGGCCCCGGCGATCCCACTACAATCAAAATTACTATTGATAGGCTTGCTCAAGCCATGAAAAAGGGCGATCGGCCTATATTTGGTATCTGTCTTGGCCACCAACTGATGGCCCTCGCTGTTGGCGCGTCAACATCTAAAATGAAATACGGTAACCGGGGCCATAACATTCCCTGCACCGACGCCCTGTCCGGAAGGTGTTACATCACCAGCCAAAACCACGGGTTCGAAGTAGACGCTGCTACTCTACCTCAGGGGTGGAAAGAGCTCTTCAAGAATGCCAACGATGGTAGCAATGAAGGAATTTATTGCGAGGATAAACCCTTTTTCTCTGTTCAGTTTCACCCAGAGTCGACGCCTGGCCCTCGTGACACAGAATTTTTGTTTGACGTTTTCATTCAAAACATTCTGGATTGCATTTCGGCGAATTCTCTCGTTCCTATTTCTCTTCCCGGAGGTAAAAAGGAGGACAATGATAAACGTGCTCCTCATGCCAATGTACAAAAGGTACTTATTTTGGGTTCGGGAGGTCTGTCTATTGGACAGGCAGGCGAGTTCGACTACTCGGGTTCGCAGGCTATCAAAGCCCTCAAAGAAGAGGGCATATTCACCATCCTCGTCAATCCAAACATTGCTACTATCGCAACCTCGAAAGGCCTTGCCGATAAAGTATACTTTTTGCCTGTTACCCCGGAATTTGTTCGCAAAATCATCAAATATGAACAACCGGATGGCATTTACGTGACATTTGGTGGACAAACGGCGCTGAATGTGGGAATCAAGCTCAAGGATGAGTTTGCTGCCTTGGGAGTCAAAGTGCTTGGAACTCCAATCGAAACTATCATCACCACAGAGGACAGACAGCTGTTTGCACAAGCCATGGAGGATATTGGGGAGCGTTGTGCGCAATCGAGTACAGCGACTACCCAGGATGAAGCGGTTTGTGCAGCACGGGAGATTGGATACCCTGTTATCGTTCGCGCGGCGTATGCTCTAGGTGGTTTAGGATCCGGTTTCGCTCAAGATGAAGCGCAACTTCGCGCATTATGTAGCAAGGCATTTGCGACTAGCCCTCAAGTTCTCGTAGAGAAGAGTATGAAAGGTTGGAAGGAAATAGAATACGAAGTTGTTCGGGATTGCCGTGATAACTGTATCACCGTCTGCAATATGGAAGTGCGTATTCTGTTTGTCATGTCGTCGCTTGTGTGCTTATAGCGAGTTATCCTCAGAACTTCGATCCCCTTGGCATCCACACTGGGGACTCCATCGTTGTGGCTCCTTCTCAAACATTATCTGACGCAGACTACAACATGCTTCGGACTACTGCGATCAATGTCATCAGACATCTGGGCGTAGTCGGCGAGTGCAATATCCAATATGCGCTGAATCCAACTTCTCGCGAGTATTGTATCATCGAAGTTTGTTTCTTCTGTAAATTTTTCAGATCGTAACTCATGGTTGTATGCAGGTCAATGCACGTCTTTCTCGCTCTTCTGCCCTAGCTTCAAAAGCAACGGGATATCCTCTCGCATTCATCGCTGCCAAACTTGGTCTCAACATTCCGCTCAACGAAATCAAGAATTCAGTGACCAAGGTCACAAGCGCTTGCTTCGAACCTAGTCTTGATTATGTCGTAGTCAAAATCCCTCGCTGGGACTTGAAGAAGTTCAATCGCGTCAGCCGACTTCTCAGCAGCAGCATGAAGAGTGTGGGTGAGGTAATGAGCATCGGTAGGACTTTCGAAGAGACGATACAGAAGGCTATTCGCGCAATCGACGACCAATTTGCTGGATTTGCCAAGGTTCGTTTGTAGCTATATGCGCCGCTTTTGATGACTCATCTTTAAGCATGCAGAATGACTTTGTAGAAGATATCGACGAAGAGCTTGTTAATCCTACCGACAAGCGCATATTTGCGATATCTACTGCTTTCCACCGTGGTTATAGTGTGGACAAAATCTGGCAAATGACTAATATCGATAAGTGGTTTTTGACTAAGCTCCAGCATATCTTCAAGATGGAGAAAAGCCTCTCGTGCGTTTTTGAAAAAAAAAAATTTGATGATAATTTTTTTAACATGGTATCTTAAAAAGGGAGTCCAATGTTTCGAACATAACGCCAGACATTCTTTTGCAAGCAAAACAACTCGGATTCTCTGATCGGCAGCTTGCTACCTGCTTAGGGTCTACAGAGCTTGCATTGCGTAGGCTCCGCCAAGAAAGTGGAATTGCTCCATTTGTCAAACAAATCGATACCGTTGCTGCAGAATTCCCCGCATTCACGAACTACCTTTATACCACATATAATGCTGTGGAACACGATATCACATTCGATGATCGTGGTATCATGGTACTAGGGTCTGGTGTATATCGAATTGGCTCTTCTGTCGAGTTTGACTGGTGTGCCGTTCGAGCCATCAGGACCTTACGCGAACAAGGATTCCCCACCATCATGGTCAATTACAATCCGGAAACTGTCAGTACGGATTATGACGAAGCTGACAAACTTTACTTCGAGAACATCAGCTTGGAAACGATACTCGATATTTACGATACAGAACGCTCACGAGGAGTCATCTTATCCATGGGTGGGCAAACACCGAATAATATCGCCCTTCCACTCCACCGACAGAATGTTAAGATATATGGAACTTCTCCTGAAATGATAGACACTGCGGAAAATAGGTACAAATTCTCGCGTCTCTTGGATGAGATAGGAGTGGACCAGCCTCTGTGGAAAGAACTTACCAGCTTTGAAGAAGCTCATTCCTTCTGCGACACTGTTGGTTACCCAGTCCTTGTACGACCATCATACGTATTGTCAGGAGCCGCAATGAACGTCGTCTCTACTGGAGATGATCTTTCTAATTATCTCACACAAGCAACTGCCGTCTCGCGCGAACATCCTGTGGTGATTACCAAATATATCGAGCAAGCCAAGGAGATTGAGATGGATGCTGTTGCAAAGGATGGGAAGATGGTTATGCACTTCATTTCAGAACACGTGGAGAATGCTGGAGTCCACTCTGGAGATGCCACGTTAATACACCCTCCTCAGGACCTGGATCCTGCGACTGTCCGCCAGATTGAAGAAGCCACAGCAAAGATCGGAAACGCTCTTAACGTGACTGGGCCATTTAACATTCAATTTATAGCCAAGAACAACGAAATCAAGGTCATTGAATGCAACCTTCGTGCAGCGAGATCTTTCCCCTTTGTCTCTAAGGTCACTGGCATCGACGCCATCGAAATGGCAACAAAGGTCATGATCGGCCTGCCTGTGGAGTCGTACCCCGACCCTGGGCTTCCACACGATTACGTCGGTGTGAAGGTGCCACAATTCAGTTTCAGTCGTCTTTCTGGTGCCGATCCAGTCCTTGGTGTAGAAATGGCCTCTACTGGCGAAGTTGCTTGTTTCGGTCGTGATAAGTATGAAGCTTATCTCAAGGCTCTGATATCCACAGGAATTGTTCCTCCAAAGAAGAATATTCTCTTCTCCATTGGTAGCTACAGGGAGAAACTCGAAATTCTTCCTTCGGTGCAGAAACTACATGCTGCCGGATATAACATCTTCGCTACCTCAGGTACAGCTGATTTCTTGACAGAGCATAATGTTCCCTGCAAGGTGAACTCCTCAGTATTCGTGTAATATCGTATTTACTTACATGTTTTACAGTACCTTGAAACCCTTGGCGAGGATAGCAGTGACAAGCAGAAATCGGAGTATTCGCTTACTCAGCATCTAGCGAACAATCTCATCGATATGTATATCAATCTTCCCTCGAAGAACCACTATCGTCGTCCTGCTAGCTATACTAGCAAAGGTTACCGCACCCGTCGTATGGCTGTTGACTTTGCTGTACCTTTGATCACGAACGTGAAAAATGCGAAGCTACTTGCTGAGGCACTGGTTCGCAAGCTCCCTTTGGATGTATCGACTGTCGATTCCAAGAGTTCTCACATGACCCACATATTCCCTGGACTGATCAACATTGCTGCCTTTGTGCCACAGCTGATAACCCAAAGCAGCGACTTCACCCAGATGACGAAGGCCTCCGTATGTGGAGGTTTCACTACGTCCTTGGTCATTCCAATAGGCAGTGACGGGGAGATCACAGACGGGAAATCGCTCGAATCTGTTCACAAGAGCGCAGCAAACTCTGCCCACTGCAATTATGCGCTTAGTATAACAGCGAATGTGGACAATTCCCAGGCATTGGACGAGGAAATCCGCGCCGACCTCAAGTCTCTTTTCATTCCATTCCATGTGGGTAAAGTTCCCACTCAGGTCTCAACCGTTGCGGCCCATTTCGCTTCTTGGCCGGCCGAAAAGCCTATCATGACTGATGCAAGGGGATCAGACCTTGCTTCAGTGCTCCTGCTTGCAAGTCTTCACAATCGCAGTGTTCATATCACAGATGTCAGGAGCAAAGAAGATCTTTTGTTGATTTCTCTCAGCAAGGCCAAACAACTCAAGGTTACCTGCGATGTTTCAGTCTTTGGATTGTTTTTTGCCCGTGAACAATATCCTCAGTCCACTTCTTTGCCGACATCGGATGATCAGAAAACGTTGTGGGAGAACTTGGATGTCATAGATGCTTTCTCAGTTGGTGGCGTACCCTATCGCCTGACCTCCGACTTGAATGAGCAATCATCTCCCTGGTCTGGGGTAGAAGAAACACTGCCGCTCTTGCTAACAGCCGTCATGGACGGTCGACTAACATTTGATGATATACGCCAACGTCTTCATGACAACCCCATTCGCATATTTGGATTGCCGGAACAAAACAACACTCATGTGGAAGTCGTCATTGGTCGACGAACACTGTTTGGTAAGCGTACGACATGTTGGTCACCCCTGGAACAAGGCCCGGTATCAGGATCACTGCACAGAGTTGTAGTACATGGTCAAACTCTATACCTTGATGGTGCACTTTCATCTTCGCCTTCTGGCAGAGATATATCGAGTGCCACCATTACCCATACAGCTACGGACAGGTCTTCTACTAACCTTCCAGCACCAAAACCGGAACTTGGAATTGCCGGCTCAGCGGTCGTTAAAGCTTCAGACGCTCTTGCTCAGCCTCACCTCGCGCCGCTGGTTTCAACCTCGCATCCACAGACAAATGCCTCGTCTATTTCTAGCATTATGTCTCATGGACCCCATCCTGCTTTCCACCGCAGGCATATTTTGTCTGTGAAGCAGTTCACACACAGGGATATATATGATCTCTTTTCTCTTGCCCACGAAATGCGCCTGCAAGTGGAGCGAAATGGCACATTAGATATTCTGAAGGGCAAAGTTCTTTGCACTTTGTTCTATGAGCCATCCACTCGCACCAGTGCATCGTTCGATGCAGCTATGAAGCGCTGTGGAGGGGAGGTGATACAAGTCAATGTTGATGCCTCTTCTGTGCTGAAGGGCGAGAGCTTGGCCGATACCATACGGACGCTCGGTTGCTACGCCGACGCCATCGTGATCAGGCATCCTGATGTTGGAAGCTCACAGGCGGCAGCGAAATTGTCTCCGGTGCCTATCCTGAATGCTGGAGATGGAGTTGGCGAACATCCAACACAGGTATGTTTATTTATACTCCCCTAGTCCCTCCCCACTCAGTATGCCACTAGGCGTTGTTGGATATATATACGATCCGTTCCGAGTTAGGAACGGTGAATGGGCGTACCATCACGATTCTGGGAGATTTAAAGAATGGGCGGACTGTCCACAGTTTGGTGACTTTGCTTTGCCTTTACTCTGTTCGCCTCAACTTTGTTTCGCCTACGTCGTTGGCGATGCCTCAGAGTGTCGTGGCCGCTGCCCGTAAAGCAGGGGTTCCTGTTCAACAGTTCGATTCGCTCGAAGAGGTGCTTTCCGATACTGACGTCTTGTATGTCACCCGAGTTCAAAAGGAGAGATTCGAGAGCGAACTGGAATGGCAAAGGGTCAAAGACTCTTATCGCGTTGATCACGCGCTGCTGTCGAGAGCGAAGGAAGATATGATTGTGATGCATCCTTTGCCTCGCGTAAACGGTAAGTATTCACCGAGCTATATCTCAGCAGGATGATAACCATACCTTTGTGATGGTAGAAATTGATCCTGAGGTTGACTTCGACTCTCGACGAGCTGTCTATTTCCGGCAGATGCGCTACGGACTTTATGTGCGTTTACCATTTTTATTATTTATTTTTCGAAAAAAGTGCTTACTTGTGGTTTGGACAGATCCGTATGGCTCTCCTTGCCAGTGTCATGGCCTGAAAGCCCACACAAAAAAAGACGATCCTCTAGTCCACAGGACTAAGTAGGCGCAAAATAATCTCATCTTTGTACTTTTAGGGGGGGTGTTGGACAAAAAGCCTGAGGATGTATGTATCAGTTAAGTTGCTCTGGGACAAGGGTAGACACGGACGATCATGATAACTCATAGAATCGCAGCGTTAAAATTACTGACTTGGATTTCATGCTGTATGTAGATGCACTGATGTTAACGCGAACTAAGTTTGGGTTATTTGTAAGAAAGTAACTTGAATGGCGTATGTACGGTTACGTATATTTACACACGTTGTCTTTCACCTTCACGTCAACTTGAATGGCGCTATGATGTCCTGTCAGTATAAACGCCAGTTTCGAGTTCGCCGCTTTGATTTGATTGCCCAAACCAATTTCTATTGCTGATCAGGATCTCCCATTACAACAATATGGTGCCAATTTCGAATTCGAAGGAAGTTCAAGTTGAAACGCGGAGTTGTTATGGATGGTGGGCGGCGTATCGCGGCCGACGAGCGCTGAATACTGAGTACTAAAGAAAGAAAGAAAGAAATAGGCAAGTACCACCACCATGAAGCTATGCTATCAATAATTATCCATCGTGATCATCTTCATCCGGCGATACCAGCGAAGCGCTGCTGAACGTTCGTCATGCATGTGTTTATCTTCACATTGCAAAATCTTGATGGGCTGCTGCCACGAAACACAAATACTTGAGCGCTTGAGCGAGTAACTCGGGTTATCTTGCTGCGGTTTTCCCTGGATCCTAAATTGACCAGATTGCTTCTGTAATAGTTTTTATAGGATAAGGAAAGCATGACTTGGACGCTCAGCGCTCAGCGTTCACGTGTATATACACGTCACATCCCACTCTGAATTACGTGGTTCTCTTGTATCACAATTCAATCATATAATCTGACATTCTTTGTAAAGCCATTCTAGAAGTTGAGAAGTGAGACCTTCGCCGTTTCCAGTGGGCAGTGTCGATATCGGGGTTATCGTGATGGTGCTCGCGATTGAACACAGTGCTGGCACTGTTACGCCCTATAAGTATTTCTTGGCTAATCTTACACAATATCTAGACGCGGTGGCTGCTTTGAATAGCAGAAAAGAGCGAGCTTTTATCGGCCAATCCTATACTCGAATTACCAGTCGGAAAAACATAGGATGCCCTTTTCCCAGGAACCGAGGGTACCGCCGGTGTCAAACCTCGATGACTACGGTACAATACTCTTTGACATGGGCGGACCTTCAAGCTCCAGATGCTTACTTGTTCTACTCGGCTTAGAGACATTTATAACGCTCACAGCACCCTTTTTGTGTTCCTGATTGGGATCACTTGATAATTATCTGGACAGCCGTGAGGAGAACTGCCAAAAATTGTTCGCGGAAGATGATATTGCTTCCGGCATTCTTCTTGAATTTACTTCCGCGAGGACATGGAGTGCATGGGAGCACCTGTAACCAGCTGTAGCCTCCCATGGCGCGTTGTTTTCTGTCAAGGCATGCTTGATATATCGTGTTGTCTCTTGTTATTCTCGGCTCTTTGTCGACAGCGATGCATCTTTGGATGGACCTCGCTGCTATCTAAGGATAAATTCTGATGTGTGTTCGATGAAACATACCGCTACTCCGTTTCATCTCTTCCTTTATCTCTCCCACTGCCTGCCATTTGAGATCCATATCCATTAGGCAGACTACCCAATCATGAACAACGAGATCTTCATAAATACTCTATTATGATGGTTATCATGTGGTTTCCATAATGAATACCGTGACGAGATCATGCGATGTAGCAACCGCTCGAAGCCGTCGCATCCACAGAGAATTGATATTCTCCGAGTGGTCTCGGCCGTATGATATGAATCTCCCCGACCGGGACTAACGAACATAAAAGCCGCAGGATCATCTCGCGCTTTGTCCTTTTGGCTCTTTTCAGATACACCAGCGACGTTGCAGGCTTATTGCATTTTTAACTGGTACAGATTTTAGCATAATGGAACATGAATCAAACCTTCCCGCCCTGCCCACCGGCGTTCAAAATAGTCAGTCCAACCGTCATGGTCAGGAGGATGTGTCTCGACACGGAGAACCTACCTTGACGATAACTCAGCCTTTGGACACAGGCGCTGTGTATAGCACGCCAGATGCCCAAGCACGCCCACAATCATCCTCGACAGGAAAATATCTATCTGACTCGGCCGAAGACCACTCACCAGCATCGGCTCTTCACCCTTCAAATAACGTCTTTAGCGATGATCACAATGTGAATCGCCATCTATCTGGTGTAGCTTCGCTTCCACCACCTGCAAGAAGTAGAGATGGACATAATGGTATACGTGGGCCAGGACGACGAGCAACGATGGGAGCAGCACCTGGCCTAGATTGGATAGTGCCAGTAGAGGAAACCACGAAAACGCATGTCACGGTGAGAAGCAACATTTCGCCGGTTATCTGGCTCTTCATCTCATGATATTCCGTATATCAGCCCCGACGTACTTTGCATGAGCGCATACAGCCGACTCTTGAAGTCGCAGTGACAGAGCGAGACAAGTATGCCAAGAAAGGTAAGGCACATCATACCTGATGGATTCTCTCTGCCAATGCTAATGCTAATACGCATTACTTCACCCCTTCCATCTTTTCATGGTGCTTCGTATGACGTTATCAGCGATGTGGACAGGTTATGCTCTCAACGCGGCAATTGGCTTGCAGGTTCTTCTCGGAGCGCTCACCACCGCCATTTCAGCGGCCACCACTGGCAGGCAGGCAAGTATTCCGATAGCGCCATCACACATGATCTGTTGCTTATTAGAGTATCGGGTAGACTTCGATCGCTACCTCGATTCTCGGTCAGCTGGCTTCTATTTTATCCCATTTTCATTTTACTGACATATAGACGCTTTTTTGCCCTGTTATCAAACTTTTTTTTGTGACTTGTAGGCGGCCTCTCTACTCTTGTCGCCTCGTATCTTGCACGCGCGCGGGGCTCCAATGAACCAGAACTGTCTATAACGCGTGTAAAAGACCTAGAACAATTCATTCGAGATTGTAAGGCGTTCCAGATGGATCATGGGCATATGTATGGCGATGAAAAAAATGGACTCGATCGACGCTTGGAAGACTTACGACGAAGGTTTGAAGAATTATTAGGGAATGCTAACGGGTGAGCTATGTTATCTCTTTTGTCTTCAAAGTACCTCTCGCTCAACGCAATAATGTTCAGAGAGAGACGATTATCGCCTCCCGTATAGTATACCCGATTATGATCATTTAAGCCGAGCGTTCCACTCAAACGCTTCATAAAAATTACCGCAGAACGAACTCTTAGACATAACCTCCCTCGCATGATATATTATAGCACGCAGTTTTTTCTTTTTACATCTTGGTCGCATTAGCTCTTTCACGGCTTTACGGTTTCCACTTTGCAGTTATTTTACTCTAGTATGAACTTGATGATGACCCCATCTCTGGGGAATGTTTTGCAGTAATGACATCTGTTTTTTTTTTGTTATGATATTTGCCTCACCAGCGCTCAGCACTGAGTACATGGGCACATGCAGGTATATAGTTACATTCAATGGGCGTGTAGGCATCACATGCCGTTTACATGCAATCACGTGATTCTCGCTTTTAAACGTTCCCACGTTCGTTTAGTTTGATCTCTACCACCGAGGGCTCATATAAAGATTGAGTGACAGTTGAGGTGAAACTGTCTTTGAACGGCCCCAAGTCCCTGATCCACAATGAAGACCAAGAATAAGCAAACAAAGTTCCCAGTGGTGAGCTCTTTCTGCATTGCAGTTATGCAGAACATACATCGTGACTCTTGCGCTTTATCTCATGAAATTGCTGTGAAACTCTGAAACACTACTCAAGGCGCGGATAAAAAAGATCATGCAGAAAGACGAGGAAGTGGGGAAAGTTGCGCAGGCGACTCCTGTAGTTATCTGTATGTGAACGTGCAGCTTCTTATATCCCCACGGTGGTGTTGATTTTTCACTCCTGGGCTAACACCGGTTTCTGCAGCAAAGGCACTGGAACTCTTTCTGGCCCTCATAATTGACGAAGCAAGCAAAGTGACGCTGGAAAGAGGGGCAAAGAAGGTTGAAGCATATCATCTGTTGCGTATCTATCTTGTTTTCTGGCCTTGGGCGACACAACTCAATCAGCTAGTTCAGTAAACATGCGGTCGACACTACGGAAATGCTGGATTTCTTAAAGGAAATCGTGGAGTCTGTCCCAGATCCATCTGCAGGTGGAACTATCGATTTAGAAGCAGAGAGCTTGGAGAATGCAAAAAGAAAGAGGGGAAAGGGGAAGAAGAATGGAGCTCCAGCAGCGCCTGCTGGAGAAGGTACTACTAAGAAGCGTCGTAGAAAGAAAGCTGAAGTGGAAGCAGAGGCTGCTGCAGAGCCAGGGGCAGGGTCGGACCAAGAAGGAGATGGCGGTATGGATGAAGACGAGGAGGGTGATGGGTATGCAGGGGGTTCAGACTATCGACACGGAGATGATAGATGGCGAGAGGTGGACGACGACGCGCCATACGTACCACGGTGACCACTTGAAGATGAAGTATCTCAGAAAGGACCGTCAGCGACTAGATGTTGTAGATATTGTAAAGTACATTCGATGGACTTGGGTTATTTATCCCCCTCTGATCCGCCCAACTCGGGATCGTTTAACTTATTGGTTTCACTAGTGTACGATACTGCAGTTGAATGTTGTACGGATTACAGGCCAATCGATGTGTAGTTTACACCAATTCTGCTTCTCCTCTAGCGATTAGCTGTTCGACTATTGAGAAAGGTGTTAGCGAGATGTGACCTTTGGTCATTTCGAGCGCTGTTCCGCTGAAGTGGAGCAAATACGGTAAATCGATAGTGTCGGAAGCTAATTGGCTCACTTACTCTGGCAATCGTACGGGAGGACAGTTTTGTATTGCATGCACAAAAACGGGACGAGATTTATCAGGTTCAGTGACTGAAAAATATCAAAGCTGAGCAACAATTCCCGGATATGAGGGGGGAAGGAACAGACCAATAGGAGGAACAAAGGGTGGATTATCGTCCAAAGTCTGCTGAGTATCTGGAAGACTTTGCAGAACGGAGGAGAAAAAGTGCTGGTCGGTCAGTCTAGCGAATCTGAGTGGAATTGGCTATGATCAGTGAACCGAGCACTATTCCACATTACAATGATCGAGCCACCTTCGAGCATGAGCTGTTTCGCTTTCAGATATTCGACTTGATACTCCAGGATTAGTCAGGATGTAACGAGCATATTTCTCGATCTGGAGTGCTTAAGGTGTCAATGACGGGGGTACAGCTGGGGTACTGGATTCTGGGCGATTGACCTTGTAAAGTCTTGTTCGGAGGTATGATCTGACGATGAATTTGACGCGCTCAACTTCAGTCTGTGCGAGCATGATTCGAAAATGCTCTTCTTCCGAGGACGACGGGTCAGCGCGCAGGGTAAGCACCGTATCAGACTGTCGAAGGAGTGGTAAACCCATCCATTGCGTTAAGCTGATGCCCCTCTACCAGCAGTTCAAAAGAAGAACTCACCCACCTGACTCCTGATATGGTCCAATAATCGCGAAAGCAACTCTTCTTGAGCAGGCAATATGTCGGGTGCGTGACGCTCGTTCATCCAATGTCGAATGAGCTGCTGCAGAGGGGTCGCATCGTCTTCTGGAAGTAGGGGAAGCGCATCTGCTATAGGGACATCTCTCGGTTCGTCGTCGTCGTCGTCTGGCGCATTGCGAAGGCGATCCTGGAAAGACTCGTCACCGAGTGAACTGAAGAAATTATAATCGGCCATTTATGACTTGCGTTTAACATCAAAAGGCGCGTCGCGTCAGGTTCCACACATAATCGCGCGTCGACCGGCCCTACACGAGCACATTCGAATGTCAAGTCTCATTACGAATTTTGTTATAGACCTCACAGGCTCAAAGCCAGAAATACAAGGTATATGAGAAGCGACGATATTCTCGTTCAGCAAATGTACAGATGGTTGGCGGTCATGAATAGTAACAAGCCCGCCGTGATCACACAATGTTATTCTGATCCCTCGCCTCGATGGCGGATTTCGAGCAGATACAAGCATCATTGTGACTATATCATGTACATACAAAAAGTATGACAAGGTCATTCATTTAATACATGGCGAGGCAGCACGCTAACCTGGAAGCAAACCTTAAGTAGCTGTATTACATTTCCCAAGTCCCTGACAGCACTTACTTGGACACATACGCTCAAACGGCATCATTCTCAACAAGCTTTCCACAGATAATATACTTGTTGGAGAAGTGATCTATCCAACCTATAAGACTGCTATTAGATGGCGAGTCAGAGAAAAACAATGAATCAAAGCCGACCTTTCATGTTTTCGCTGCATTACAGATACCTGTTTAATCAGCGGAACAGAGGTGAGAGGTAGACTACATACACTTCATCTGACCTGAGGTCTTCAAGCTTGTCCAGGGGCTGGTCAACTGGAGTCAACATTTCTGTAGATAGACAAAGTTGTGGTATGGAAGTAGCAAAGAAGAACAAAACAACGCACCAAGGTCGAAAGATTGCTTTGCCATTCCTCTAGATGCATCTCTTCCGGCGAAGTTACCGTACATACCGTCTGAGAATACTATCTTAGAATTGTCAAATTGAGAGAATAAGCTGAAAAGCGCACTCGGTCCGTAGAAGCTCTTTCCTGACGTCACGTCGAAAACAATGCCATTGATAGCGAGCAAGATCCTTCCTCCGTCTTTACCGCTGAAAGGCTCGAGTGTTCGAGGAGTATAAGTCTTGAACAGAACTGTAGGAGGATGCGCCTTTGGCATCCATGAGTAACTATCTTTGAATTCTGTTGGAACGGTGGACGGAGTAGAAGTGGATGGAAATACGATTCTCTGGACAGAATAGAGAATATAAATGAGAAGAGAGGTGTTGACGGGGGTTCCAAAGTCCAATGTGAGAGCCATCTTCAATAATGGTGTGGTGGTGTTGTTCAAGTTCATCGTGGGCTGCTATACCAGCGCTTATATTACACTGCTTGCGCCGTCCAGGCAGCGCCGTGCTTAGAAATGACCGGTTAGTAACCGGCATAATATGCGGCTTTTTCAGTCCATTCTTGTCGTGACCAGTGGCTGCAAGGTTCTATCTTTGCCTCTATCTTTGACGGTCTGAAGAGCTGTCCCAAGCCTTGTATGATCTTTCTAGCTCTCATAATGGTGATCTCGCAGACATAGTAAACCCCTACGCGTGCAGCTGAAAATATATGGGTCATGTTCAGGAGGTTGGGATACATCTTGTTCTCGTGATTCGTCCTCTGATCATCGTTTGCGGACCGACACTGACCGCCCCTCCCGGTCACCAGGACTTTTGAAGAAAAAGCGGGCACATAAAGTTGTGAGACATCCACCTGAACATGCAGGTGCGCGATTATGCCTCCCTCTATCAAGTCTAGTGGTTTTTACTGTGTTTTTGCCTTATTTTTTGCCTTACTTTTCTGCTCGTCATACGCCTCAGGCTCGTCCAATGAAGTTCGCGTGTTGGACGTCACAACGTTGGGCTCGGATCCTCAGACTGTCAATAGGCTGAACGGTGAATCATTCCAGCAGGATGCTGTTACTACTTTCAATGGTGCGTCTTATGGCATCTTCTTGTGGAGTACGACCCTTAATGAATCCGAAGGCTACCAGTATGCTGTGTTTTGGGTGGCAGATACCGCCAATACTTCTGTCAGACACGCTTCTATCTCCCGGCGTTCCATTCAGCCGCAGAATGGTCCATGGGAAACGTTCACATTGACGGATTACAACCAGACAGAAGATGACGGACATGACATGTAAGGTGGCTTTGCTCCACCCCTATGATCGCGCTTCATGCCTTTTCAGTATATGCCTAGGCATCTCTCACGGAGATGGAACACTGCATATCTCGTTTGACCAGCACGATAACCCCCTGAATTATCGCATATCCACGCCAGGAGTTGCCACCAATCCCGCAGGGGTAACTTGGTCTCCCGACATTTTTGGACCTACCCTCGTGAGTGTCTTCCATAATATATCCATTTCAACTAATATTAACTCGTGCTCTCCACAAGGACTATCTCCCAGGGCTTGAATCTTTGGTCGATTCTGTCAATTTCATTAACATAACGTATCCTCGCTTTCTAGTGATTCCATCCTCGGCTGCGGGAAGTACGGGAGCTGATCTGCTGCTTGAAATGCGTGTGGGCCGTTCAGGCTTAGGCGATGATTGGTTATATCGATATGTTCCCAACGAGGGTTGGGAATTAACGGGGAGGTATCTAGAGGTATGCTGCTTTGTCGCATTTCTCTCTCTTTCTTTGTTATTTATATTTTTCTAGGGAGTCAACAGTAAGCGATTAAAAATAAATTTATTATAAGGTATACGAACCAAATGAATTGCGTTCAGATAATGCTTACATCAACGGACTGGACTTTGATCCAAAGGGCAATTTGCAGGTAACATGGTTCGTTCTAGAGACTGGCTTTTTCATTTTTTGTTAGCTGATATGAGTTGGATTGTTTTCCACAGGACATATCGAGATTATGTGAACGACACGGGTCAAGATGTTGCAGTCGAAGCAGGTCCTAATGGCCCAGGGAACGTGCGTACTTCATATCATGCGTATGAACTCCTCGGATACACACGACTTAGCCCCTCATGCAGAATCACGATATGAATTTCGTGTTCAGTCCTGACCTCGGTTTTACCTGGCAAAACAACTGGAATCAAACCATTTGCAACACGACTGCGGAAGCTCCCGTCTTACCCATTTCTGCGGGCATCACGATTTTCACAATCCCTAAATACAGGTAACCTTCTAACTGCACGTCTTTTCCTATCGAGAACCATGTGAAGTTAAAAGTTCGCTTCTTCCGCAGTGGTATCTTGAACCAAGAAGCTCAGATAGTTGATAACGAGGGAAGGATGCATGTGCTCAACAGGGAGAATACGACGGGAAGCGAGCTGTGGTTTGTGGTTCTTCTTCTATGCATCATTGACTATTAACCAAACGCTCCATTGTTCTATTTTAGGTACCACTACTGGCGTAGCGTGGATACCTTTTGGACGCGAACTGCGTTTCCATTAGACATTCCGAGTGACTACAATATTACTGGCACGCCCACGTACATCGGAAAACGAGGCAAGCTCGTCGTGCTTCCTAATTCTCAGTCGTTATTGGCAATTCTACCCGATAACGCCCCAAATTCGACTGCATTAAGCATCCTGCGAAGCACCGCGGATGGCCACTTCGCGGATTGGACGACTGTATGGGAGGTTAGCAGTGGGTGTGTTGCGGAACCCCTATTTGATCGTTACCGGCTAAATGTGGCAAATGGTGGCGATGGCGTGTTAAGCTTGTACTTGGTGAATGGCACGGAGGTGCAAATATGGGACTTGGATGTTAACGGGCTGTAACACGACCAGAAATGTTTAGCAGCTAAATAAAACCTGTCAAGACTAGTTGATTATGTATTACAAAAGAGCATAAAAGGGTATATGTGTATATGCCATTATTTGCCAGTGTAAAGTACCTGTAAAAAGAATTCATGTGTTCGTCGAGTAACGCCCGCGTGGTCCATGTATTGTACAAAAGAGTCCCCATTGAGATATTGACATAGAATGGGAGGATTTTGCCCCTGTGAGGCAGGTTCAATTACAGCAGCTTGTAAGACTCTGCGCATGCCTCCATCGTGACTTCCACTCGCCTCGAGGAGCACTGGGCTATAATGATTAGCATCCAGTTCGTTATCCAGCGGAAACTCTACCCATCGATATCGTCCCTTTCTCAACTCATAACACGAACATTGAACTGTTGAGCGTTTACTTGCAGCAGAGGCGCTGCTACTTTTTCGTCTCTTGACCTGGATCAAGTCATAAGCAACAGCAAAAACTCGAAATGAATCAATGGACTTACGTTGGACCCATGGCAGAGATTGGATACATGGAGAAAAATGGCATGCGCCCTATTACGGGTGTCCATACTGGCACGTTCTTCACGGGCCAAGGCCTCGGAACGTCGAATGAGCTCGTGGCAGCACTCAGGGTCCTTCTCAGCCACGCTGTGCACTTCCTGGATGGAAACTGTATCGCGAGATCTATTGCAAACGGCGAGCTGAGTATGACGTATACGTGGTAAAGTTAAAGTTGGACCAAGGGACACACACTCACCGAGTACCTGCTTCAATAAGCATCTGGCATAGTTCCATGCGCCGGTGGTGTGCGATAATGCGGAGGTTGTTATCTTGGCTGAAAGCATACCACTCTGCTTGGAAAGCAGACCAAAGGGGAAAGAAAGGCGAACCGAGGAGACAGGACGTGTTGGAGACAGAGGCTGAGATTTTGCTTTCGTGAACGGGTGAGAGACGTTTGGCTTCTTTGATGTAAGAAAGGGCTTGTGTCACAAACGTTAAACAGCCATTATCGCGGGTACGATTAACCAGATAAGGTGCTCTGTGAACAGTCTTTTCGATGGCTCTTAGAAGACAGAGTAAGGGGCCGAAAACTAAGCCTATATCGGTCTTACTGATGTACCAACAATAAGCTCAACGCCTTCCTCTGGAAACACCATGATCGTATGCTTACAATATATAAAAGGCAGTGGGTTCTAAAACCTGCCGTTGAATGCTTTCCCATCCAAGAATATATATTACTTCATTGATACTTCTGAAGATATTCTGCAGTAAATGAACGACAACGAGGATGTCTAGATCATGACGCTCCTTGCAGGTGCGCAGCACCTGCCAACAGACTTTAACCGCTTTTGAGGTGACTAATAGCGGTAAAAGACCATCGGAGCTGCCGATTCTAAGAAGCCGGGAAGCTGCAACAAAACGAGTATCAGGGTGCCTAAAACGAGATAGGTTATCTTTGTTAATTTAGATAACAGTCACCAAAATATTCACTTCATATAATTCAGTAGCAGTTTCAGGTCTTCGGTTAGTTGGTATGCTGGGTTGTCTCTCCAGATAATGCCGTAGCCACTCCTTTTCACGAGTCGTTGCCTGAATTCGCCCCAGTGTGTGTCGAGATGCTTAGTGAAAGCAAATGGTTCATCCTCCTTCAAAACCGGTAAAGCGTTCTTTAGGCGCCCAAGGAAGAGATCTACGTCTTGAGTAAGGCAAAGTGCCTTTGAGAACAAGCGGGCTTTTTCCGCAAAAGAGTCTAGCGCGTCTCCAAGACCTATTGTTAGGAACATGCTGAGGAAATCGGCATAGATGGCGACAAACGCAAGAATGTAACGCATGGTCGGATAAGCACTGGATAAAGTTTCTGATCTGCAAATGTAAAAACGGTGAATGATCAGTATACGGTATTCCTTTGTCTAATTGGGGTTTAAAAAAAGTTGCACCTGCCAACGTGAGATACGAGGAATTCGCAACCCAAGAGAAAGGGATAATGAGTCATAAGGGCTTTCCCGTAAGATTGACCGCACTTTGAGCACCTATAGTTTCCGGAAGAGAGGATGAAATCCAAGAGGACATCTGGATCAGCAGATAAACACGATGCTCGGGAAGAGGTTGAGGATTCAGCCGATGGAGATGCGTCAGGGCTCACTGGCTGAGCACAAGGACACTGCGGACTGCCATCACGGGCTGGTAACATACGAACAACAGCGGTATTTACGTTGGCACCACCGCTTAGATGTTCGCTTGCAGCATCCACCCATCGTTCTAGACGGCGGCCAGCTGAAGTCAACAATAAAGCAAGTGTTCTGCCAGGTCCAGGCTGGTTCGATACGGTCGAACTTGTGGCAGCTCTTGCCCAGCTTGCACGGTTCTCGGAACGGAATTGAGTAAGATTATGGGATTCAGAATCCGGATCTCGTGGTGGTACCATCGTGATTGGAGGACGTAGAACGGACACGACATAGATAGCCAACTTCAAGGAAAGCGCGTACGTCGAACACGACAAGAAATACCCGCTTTCCGCAGCGTTTTTGAGGCATAACCACTAAGGCCTAAGGCTCTGAGCGCCAGTGTCAAAAGGCTGTCCAAGGAAACGCCAATGCTAAGGTCAAGTGGTCCCGCACGTGATCATGTACGCAAAGTGGCTTAAAGGCTTTCGAAGATTCCACCATGTCCCGAACCGCAACTTACTGTTCTCTTCTGCAGTAGAGAAGAACGGACATTATCATAATGATAGCGAGACCCTGAAACACGTTTATATGGGAAAAATAACAAGACAAGCAAGAATCGCGATTGGATGCTGCAGCTGCTGTATTTGAAGCCAGCGCGTCATGTCAGCCCGCGGCTCGTTGCTGAAAACCACTTGGATTCCCACATTTCATCACTCCATCTTCTTATCTTCTGGAAAACAGCTCTTGCGGATGGACGGACATGCAGCTATCTAACACCATGCCCTTTGCCTCATGTTCCTATCTTAACGCATGAGCAATTGTGACCACCGCGGTCCAGGATCTCCTCCAGTACGCAATCTAAGTTTTAAGCGGAATCGGTAAAGTGGCTTCTTTTTCGTAGCAGAAAGAATGTTACTAAACATTTCAACTTATCGGCCCACAGCTGATCCAATCAGCGGATCGCTCCAGGCATCTCATCGTTTGGTCGACCACTCACGAGGACAGCATGCATGACTCATCGCCCCTTGTCGCCCCTTGTACATAAATTTTTTTTAGTCGGTATCTGGACCGACATGTATTTTCGATTGATTGGTCATGACTGGGACTATAAAGATTGAGATGGCAAGAGCCATGTCTCTTCGTTGACTTTCTCCTGTCACCAACCGGTGCGACCTAGACCTGTCAGACTGCATAAGCTTACTTGCGGCCTCTCAGCGATATGTTGCCACCACCACCCTTGTCTCCCGCAGAAACACTCGTCGATGGACTACCATCACCAAAGTTATCGACGGCCAGAAAACTGGTCTTGCTCACTATATTCTGTCTGGCACAATTCTTAGATTCTTTCAATAACTCGGCTCTATTTTCTGCGATACCTGCTCTCGAGTTATCTTTAAATATGACCGAGAGTCAATCAACTTGGATTATCAGTGCATTTCAGCTGACTTTCGCTTCCTTCCTTTTAATTGTGAGCATAGTTCACGTATCTGTCTGTCGTTCCTGTTGTAGCTAATATCCCGGCCAGAGCGGTCGTATCAGCGACGTGTATAATCCTAGTATGGTTGATTGTGTTTTTTGACCACATGTCATGATTAACGGATCTTACAGAAACTGCGTTTATCTCCGGAGTGTCTGGCCTCGGCGTAATATCGGTCGGCGCAGGATTCGTAGATGACAAAATCATCATAATCATACTGCGTGCTCTTTGTGGTATTGGTGAGTTCTTGCACATCATTGCAAGAATCAATCCTAACGTACATACATAGCATCTGCAATGACTATCCCGTCCGCCCTGACATTACTTGTCAACGCGTTCCCAGATCCTCTCGAGCAGGCTCGTGCTATTGGAATATTTGGTGGCGTTGGTGCAATCGCCAACGGTAAGAGCCTTGGTTTACAAGAATGTGGATGAAGCTGAATCTTGGTGACATTCAGTTCTTGGACTTCTGATCGGGGCAGTGTTTGTCCAGTACGCTTCTTGGCACTGGGTCTTCTGGTTTGTTGCAATGGTAGCCGTGCCGGTAGCGCTATTATGTATTATTGTTATCCCTCCCCAACCAGAGCCGCTCGACGGCCCCGAACCTCAAGCATCAAAGTTTAAAAGCTTGGATACCACGGGTGTTTCGATATTGACGGGTACGCATGCTGTTGTCTATTCCGAACCATGTGTTAGGTACTGATAGCAGAGCAGTTGCCCTCATCTTGTTCATATTCGCTGTTACCTCTGGTTCTACTGATGGATGGGGATCTGGAATGGTCCTTGCCCCGTTGATCATTTCTATTTTTTTGATCGGTGGCTTCTTTTACTGGGAGACCCTTCTCCCTACTCATAGAGCTGCGATGTATGTGATATCTAGCCCATCTTTCCGTGACGCATCTAATAGCTGCTCATAGACCTCCGAAAACATGGTTCTACAAGAACTTCTCCGTTCTTTTTGCTACTGCACTTCTCCCTTACTTTTGGTGGAGCGCTGTATTCTCCATCTTTACGTCATTATGGCAGAATGTATACCACTGGGCAGTCATATCCTCAGCGATACATATGTATGTTCAACATGATGTGTCTATAACGCGAGGTGCTCAGCTTTCATAGGTTCCCTATTGGCGTCACCGCTTTTGCGATGAGCTTTACCGGACCATTATCCAGAGTGTACAGCCCCAAGTGGATCATCCTCACAGGACTCAGTTTGGTGGTTATCGCTACAACGTTGATCGCACTAGGGGGTGGGCCTGATGCTTATTGGCCATTCATCTTCCCAGCATTTGCAATAGGCAGTGCCGGTGCCATGCTAACCTTTACTCACACAAAGTACGTCCCATTCACTTTCTCACGTTCTTTGCTCATGTCTAAACGTTTTGCATCTAGTATCGCCATATTCCAGGCTGCCCCCCCTTCCATGGCAGGCACCGTCGGCGCCATCTTCAACGGTGCCCTTCAATTTGGCTCTGCAATCGGACTTGCGGCGATGAGTTCCATCGAGACGTCTGTCGAAGCTACACATGGGGGGTATGAGGAATATACGGGGCGCGCGGCCGCTTTCTGGTTCCTCCTCGCTATAGTCTGCGCCGAAGCACTCGCCATATTATTCTTCTACCGCACCGATTCGGACCACCTACCGCGGACGAGATGCGATGCCTCCCCAGAATGCTTAGAAAAGAAAAATCCCTCGGACGAGAAAGTACGCGAGGCTTGTGATGGTGCTACGAGTGTTGATGACTCGGTGACGGCTGAGAGCTCGGTCGCCTCCCATGTGTAGACTGCTGACGACTTGACATGTTATTTTTCATTTTTCTTTCCGTGCTTTCATGTTGCTGCTTGATGTAGCGCCGATACTTAGATGACAACAGTAACTAGTAGGAGAGGACGATTTTTCCTTTATATTTCTGATTTCGTGATAGAGAGCATTCCAGGCTGCATTTTTCTAGGATATGTATAGAATAGTTAGAACTTAGAAGTTTGATATCTGTGTCTGTAGGGTTTCTTTCCAAATTATGTATTCTCACATTTATCCTCAGTGTCTCAGTTAGCCATAATTACCTCTGCAAATTACTGTTACAGTAAGAGTTTTGACGAATTGTTTTATGTAATGCTGTGAATTCCACGTGGCTATCTAGTATCTGACTCTGATCAGAGTCACAGACTCGGAAAGTTATATTTCAGCTCTTGGACCTCAAGCTATCGATAACCATCTCGCTCCCTACCATGGCATCCCCGGAAGAAGTAGAACAAAAATACGAACTTATAACACGCGGACTGAAGGAGGTACTTGGTGGGGATGCAATCAAGGCCATCCTCACTGAAGGTCGATCGCCGAAATGCTACTGGGGCAAGTGTATATTTCCCCATCCAATGTCTTTCTAGGCTAAAGAGATTCGTATTAACAGGTACCGCTCCTACTGGAAAGCGTGAGCATGTAATCTTGTGATATACGTTGTCTAAGCTCTGACATCATGTGCAGCACACATCGGTTACTTCGTTGCTCTGACAAAGATCGCCGATTTCTTACGGGCAGGAGTTACGGTCAAAATTTTACTGGCAGGTGTGTATATATTGATATCATCATCTCCCGTTCGTCTTGCATATTCGCAGGGATAGCAAATCGCGATAAATGCATATTGTATACTACATTGTTTACTGTCTGTGAAATATTGACGAGTCATTTCCCCTTCAGATATACACGCTTTCCTCGATAATCTCAAGGCACCCTTAGATGTCGTGTCTTACAGAACGAAATACTACGAGTTTCTTCTCCGCGCTGTCTTCACGTCCCTCGGCATCCCTACATCAAAGCTCATATTCGTCGAAGGATCTTCTTACCAGCTGACAAAAGAATATAACCTTGACAATTACCGCCTTTGTGCAACCGTAACAGAGCACGATGCTAAAAAAGCAGGCGCAGAGGTCGTGAAACAGGTGGATAGCCCCCTTCTCAGTGGATTACTCTACCCTGGGCTCCAAGCTCTTGACGAACAGTACCTTGATGTGGATTTTCAGTTTGGTGGAGTAGATCAGGCGAGTATTTGATTTTACTTCTCGTTCATTTATGTGCGGATCTAATGGTCATTACTCTTTCAGCGGAAAATATTCACTTTTGCAGAGCTTTACCTTCCTAGACTCGGATACGCCAAGCGCTCCCATCTAATGAACCCCATGGTTCCCGGTCTCACAGGCGGCAAAATGTCATCCTCAGATCCAAAATCCAAAATCGACTTTCTCGATCCCCCAGAAGAGGTGCGCAAGAAGATAAAGAATGCATTTTGCGAGGAGGGCAACATTACCGAGAACGGCCTTTTAGCATTCATCGAAACCGTGCTGATACCAATAAGTGAGATGCGGCTGGAAAGAATGCGCGGGGAGACTGTTGCGGATGATGAGGAAGGGAAAGGCGCGAGTGGGAGCCAAAAACCTTTTATCGCCGACGATGCCCCGGAAGGAACGGTGTTCACTATAAAACGCAATCCAAAGTGGGGAGCACCGAGTCATTACAAATCGTACAAGGAATTAGAAAATGACTTTGCAGAGAAGAAACTGCACCCGTCTGATTTAAAACCTTCTGTAGCTGATGCCATCGTCAGTCTGCTGGAACCAATTCGAAAGGCCTTCCTTGAAAGCGAAGAGTGGCAGAATGTGGAAAGAACAGCGTATCCAGATCCCAATGCAAAACCTGAAGGAAAGAAGAAAAAGAAGGTATGTAACGCTGCTACTTCCTTGATGCCATGCATATTTTGACATATATTTCCGCCTAAGGAGAAGGTATACCACCCTCCACCACCGGGTAAAGGCAAGAACGCGAATGCCACCAATGCTCCTGCAGATCCAAATATTCCAGCTACAGAGGGAGCTACATCAGCCGTGGTCAATGTAGACGGAGTCAAGGAGGCAACATCGTCATAATCATATCGCAGTATCTATAAATGTATTAAACACTCGATCTGTAGATTTCATCTCTCGCAAGGCGGGTAAGAAAATGAACGGCCATATAATAGTGTACAAAACATTAGTGGATGGTATGCTGCAGGATGTTAAAGGAAGAAAACTGTGAGAATCTACAGGAAAAGCTACCATTCTCATTAGCCCCTTTTCCGGTCCCGTTCTCTACTCGTCTTAGTTTCCACCCTGACATATTCGCTTTCGTCATGACCACCGTCTTCCTTCCTAACCGTCATGTATGACTCTCCTAAAATCTGGAGTGCAACTGCCCTCAGCTGAGCCTTGCCCCGTGTGATACTAGGATCATCTAGCACCCGATCACATGTCTCACGAAGGACCGACTCGACCTCAAGCTTCGTACCCTTTTTGCAGAGACGAAAGTACATGAGAAATGTCCAATGAAGGTAGTTTATAACTTACCTTGAGAAGTGCTGCTAGGCCCTTCTCTGCTGCTTGTTCCTCTAATCGCTGCTTCTCTTCTGGACTCAAATTCCCAGCTTTCTCTGCAGCTTGAATTTGATCGAAGACACTCTTCAGCTCGATCGCAGATCGAAGAGTCGATACACTAAAGACATGTCAATGATTGTTGAGATCGAGTATGAGCGGTTATGAAGTACTGACGTCTCGCTGAAAACGTGATATTTGCCTTGAACGTTGTGTAGCCACCCACCGACACCGAAGAGGGACTGGTTTGTGGCCAGATAATGTTTAGCTTTGGAAGCGTAGACGAAGCCAACCGTTTGCAGCAACTCTACACCATAAGATTCTTTCTTTAACTCCCTGAATAAAGATACGACATGAGAAGCATAAATAAACACGTATGCCAGCATACGTACTCAGCCTCAAGTTGACATATTGTTCGCCAACTCTTCGACACGTCAGGATCATCAGGTCCTGTGGCTGATTCCGTGAATATTCCCAGTTTCCGCTCAAGATTTTCCACACTAAATGAGACGTATAAGCACCAGGAAAGAAACTTTTTTAAATAAACTTACAGTTTGCGCACACGCTCTGCACGCGCTGCCGCTTTCTGGATCAATTAATTGCTACCCGAAATGCAGGAGAGAGACAAAACATACCTCTGCAGACGCCTTCTTTTCTTTTTCTTCTTTCTTCGCCTTTTCTTCATCACTTATTATTTCTCTGCCTTTCGCATCTCTCTGCACTACCTTGCCTTCTTCTCCATCAGCTTCATCAGCTTCCTGCATTGCTGCTTTCATATCCCTTGCAAGGCTGATTTGACCTATGATTGGGACGAATCGTTCACCTCCGAAAATTGTACTGAATACTTCTTCGGGATCCACGAAGCCACCCTCTGGTGCACTTTCCATAGGCCCAAATTCATTATACTTCTTCCTAAGAGCAGGATCAGAGAGTGTTTGGTATGCTATTGCGATCTCCTTGAAGCGCTCTTCAGCATGAGGATCGTTGGGATTCTTGTCTGGATGATGCTTGATAGCCAGGCGCCCTGTAATGAATGTCTTTTTAATACACCCAAATGGCAATGGAGTTTTAAATAAATACGAACGGTATGCTTTCTTTACATCATCTGTCGAGGCATTCACTGGGATGCCCAAGATGTCATAATAGCCTGTTTCCAGTGGCCTTTCCTGGGTTCCTATCTTTCTACTTTTTCGATTACTCTGTACTGTATTAGCAGTGGGATTTGAGCTGTTGGGTGGTGGAGAACGAAGGCCTGCGTTCGCGCTCATGCTACTCATATTTGAAGGAGAAAAAGCATGCGAATAGACGTTCTGACATTTGAAGCAGTGAATCTGTAGGACGGTGGCGGATCGAGGCATTGGAGCTGGGACAGGGAATTCCACGGGGGCTTTGCAGTTTGAACATGTTGAAGGAATATGTGGTACAATTGGGCGAGATTGGAGAATGGGATATGAGGAGCTCATCGTCGAGACAAATCAACGTCAAAGGTGGACGTAGTCAAAGTCGCGGTGCTGTGGAACGAGCCACTTCGGCTTGGGACACCAAAATCAAGGGCAAGTCACGTGTATCTAGTACCATCGCGGCACTTCAGGCTTATTCAGGAAGTCATGCAAGTTGCAAGTATGGTAGAATAGAAAACAATGGACACTGATAACATGCACTGCGAATATCAATACTATCATGAGTGTCATTTTTTTTCTCGCCGTATCAGGTTCATTTTTCTAAGCATTCACTGGCAGGTGCGTCAGGTGTCTGTGGTAGGTGATCTGAACCGGTGCGGTAGAAGACAAGTACGGCGAAAGCTTCCACACATACTACAGCCAATAAAAACCAGAATGCGGCTGCTCGTCCGGAATATTCCTCAGACCCTCCATGCTTATCCTCAACAGACGTCTGGATGGAGCTCATGGCCGCAAGTCCGATGGCTGAACCAAACTGAAGGGCACCGTTGAAGATAGCGCCGACAGTGCCTGCCATTGAGGGAGGAGCTGCTTGAAATATGGCAATACTAAGTGAAAGTTAATCATGGCTTAGAAAGCAAGACGACACAAATCGTACTTTGCGTGGGTAAAAATCAGCATGGATCCAGCACTGCCAATCACAAATGCTGGGAAGATGAACGGCCAATATTGATTAGGTCCACCTCCGACTGCAATCAGCGTCGTAGCGATGACTAGAAAACCAAGTCCTGCGAGGATAATCCATTTTGGACTCAATACTCTGGATAGTGAGCCAGTAAAACTCATCGCAAAAGCAAGGACACCGATAGGGAACCTACAAAACACACCAAGTTAACACTTTGCCTTGTAATATTTCGCCACTGAACATACATATGTATCACCGATGAAATGACTGGCCAATGATATATGTTTTGCCATAACGTTATGAGAATGGTGTAGACAGCATTCCACCAAAAATATGGTAACAGCGCGGTAGCAAAGAGTACAGAGAAGTTCTTGTAGAACCACGTTCTAGGAGGTCTAACTCTAACGTTATTTGTATTCCGATAACCTGGTCAAACAACACGCACATTGCTGCTTTATTAGCAGGGAGAAGCGTCTCCCAATATATAAAACCGCCAATCAAGAGGATGGAAATGACTAGCGGTGCGAGGACCATGGCAGTACCCCACCCATTCGCCGAACCAGAGGTAACAGCAAAAACAAACAAAATGAGTGCAACTAGCTGTGTATCAGGACTTGATCGTAGTCAATACTAACCTACATGCTTACTTGTTAACATCACAACACCCACTATATCCAGGCGCTTGAATTTGGACCCTTGAGATTCAAAATGGTCTAGAGGTTTCGGTTGGGGCGGGATGACAAAGATACAACCTAACGCTACAGGTAGTGCCACTATTGCTACAAACCAAAAGACCCAATGCCATGAGGCGTATTCGACGAAGATAGCCCCTATTAGAAGTCCAAGTACTAGAATGTCACTCAGTGTTAGAGTATTTATTATTATCCTATACAGATGAATCCTTACCATTGGCAACTGCCCCACAACCACCAAAGACGCCAATGGCCCGAGCTTGCTCAAGAGGATCTGGGAAGACCTTGACTAGTAGTGTCAAAGCAGAAGGAATAGTCATTGCAGCAGCTATAAGACAGATCTGGATCACTTGCTCGCTTTATAATATTTGAAAACGTACATATGCCAATGAGAGCGCGCAGTGTGAGTATGACTATTTTGTTGTCAGCGAAGCCTGCGCCGAGCGAGATTACGCCGAGGCCAGCCACTCCAGATATAAACGCAGCTTCTGTCATTCCCGTGAGTCGTGGCAAACCAAGTATTTAAAATATTCGTTCTTACTAGGGCTGTAAACATCACTGATGCGACCGCTCTGGGCGGAGGGTATGAGTCACCAGCCACAAAGAAGATGCCACGGATGTGCGGATTGGACTCACAATTAATAGAAACGATGCGAAAGTCAGCTGAAATGCACTGATAATCCATGCTGACTGGCTCTCAGCTATGTTCAATGATATTTCAAGGGAAGGTATTGCAGAGAATAGGGCAGAAGTGTTGAAGGAATCCAAGAATTGCGCTAGACAGAATATAGCTAGCAGTACCATTTTCTTGGCTCTTGATAACGTTTTAGGCAGCTCTTCATTGCCTGGAGCTTCCACAATAGAAACAGGTGGTGGTGAAGACATCGCGCTGAAAGGTCGTGGAAAGGCTTGTTTACAGCTGGACAAGTTGGGCTGTACCAAGTAATGAATGGAGACAAGGAGCAACAGTGGAAGTAAGGTCACTTGTCTGCTCGATCCTTATAGTGGAAGACAATCTCAGTCATGACCAATCAAATTTAAATAGTAAGGAGGTAACATGTCGGACCAGATACCGAGTATGAGATATGTACGAGGAACCGCGATGGGGTCAAGCTTCTAGTTCTTGTGAGTGGCCTACCTAACGAGAGGGTGCTAGTGCGCCCATCTAGGCAGCTGCAACCGTATGATTGCCAGTGTTTGGAACCTTGGAATATACGACAGAAAAATATTCATTCTACCGGATCCGGTTGTGAACTAAAGATTTCTGCCACGCAGACTGTGTCAGTATCAGACTCGGAAGTGGAAGTTGGGCACGAGGTAGCTACCAAGATGCTTCACAGGTATGTTTCGGTTCACCTGGAACAGCCCATTGTCTAAAGATAAGAACAACGTGTGCACAGAACTGGGAAAGCGGTATTTCAGCGATGGACTTCGGGCCTATATGATCCGTTTGCTGTATGCAATGAAGACACTGTCTGTATGCTTCAAGAAAGGTTTGGTTTCATGGTCCCTCGACGATGTCAGAGGGTACAGAAATAATCAAACAAGCCCGATATTTGTAGAATTGCTGTCATGGTTAACCTCACCGCTTGCCGACGAAGACATAACGGAGAACACGTGACCGTATTTGATTACCTAATGGGCGAGTCAACAAACGGCGCGGCGCGCTTTAAACTTCCTTCCTTCCTTTAATTACAACCACCATCGCGAATATCGCGTCCTGAACTTGTTCATCTCTTATCCTAGTATAACACCTGTCCATATACCTTTAACGACATGTCTGGCCGTGGAAAAGGTGGAAAAGGTCTCGGAAAGTGAGTATTCAGAGCTTGAACGCCCTTGAACCCTTCTAAACTTTGTTCTGTGCTACACAGGGGAGGCGCCAAACGCCACCGCAAGATTCTTCGTGACAACATCCAGGGTATCACCAAGCCTGTACGTCTCCAAGTATCGTATGCTTCAAGTATTGTAACTCATGCCTTTCGTTGAAGGCCATCCGCCGTCTTGCTAGGCGTGGAGGTGTGAAACGTATCTCTGGTCTCATTTATGAGGAGACGCGTGGTGTCCTGAAAATCTTTTTGGAAAACGTGAGTTATACACTGATGCCATTAGGCATTGTTGCATAACTCATACTCTCACCAGGTTATCCGTGACTCTGTGACCTACACCGAGCATGCTAAGAGGTGAGGTCGAGTGGCATTGATTTTGAATGGTTTTTGACAATTCTTTTCCCTATAGGAAAACTGTCACAGCCCTCGATGTCGTCTATGCGTTGAAACGCTCTGGGAGGACCTTGTACGGTTTCGGAGCTTAAATAATACTTCGTTGGTGGTCCCCTTCGCTTTATCAGTATCGTTCTAACAGAAATACTCCCAGCAGTAGTTTGTTGTGTGCTCTATATTTACATATGTCTAGTGTTTTATTTCCATGTTGTATATTCCGTCAGATCTCACTTTTAAGAGTGACCATGTATGTAGCCTATATATCTTGTGCCTAGTACAGCGCAAATTAAGTTGCTTGAATAGCAAACCCAGTCAATTCAGAGCGTGCTCCAAGTATATAGGGAGACCAGTCTTATCTAAATAGGGTATAACGAGAGATAATAAGCTCACAGACAGGATCTGTTCGATTAAATCACGACTTCGCTCCCTTCCAACCGCGACAAAGCCAGTATCCTTCCGACGATCGTGCACGGCTTGCTTCAGGCTTTATATAGTGAACCAGATGGAAATTCGGCTCGAGGTGATTAGCTCGGAACTCGTGTAGCAACGGGTGGGCAAAATGCTTGAGACTGATGAACGCAATAGATAAATCATCCGAGCTCGATGAAGGGCACAGGAAACAAACATACAGTAGTGTCCCACCTCGTCCGGAGCGAGTCTCGTTTGCTTTTTTGAGGTTACCCGTCGCAAACTCAAACACAGCCCTACATATATCTAGACTCGATTCTGTATCACGAATACTGTTTCCAGTAAAATTGGCAGCCATGTCAGAGAGTATGACGTCTGCCTTCCCAGATGAATTCGTGTCTGACAGAAGCATAGATTTGACTATTTGTCCTGCCTCTGGGCTCAGAAAGTCGAGCTGGAGAGTCTGGACACCCGGTATCGGAAGCATAGGCAGCAGATCGACGGCAACAATAGATTTACCAAGGGAGGGTGCCTTCTTAACGGGTGCCTGCTTCCTGTCCAACTCAAGGTCTTCTTCGGCATAGCTCCAAGAATCGAAATTGTCTGATTTGTTCTTGTCTTTCCTCATAAACATGCCGTCATTGGGGAAGTCTAGAGAGTCCCCATCTTCTAGATCGTCATCGAAGTTTTCCGTCCATCCCATCTTTTTCGCTACGACCTGACTCCAGCCCCCTGGTGCGGCTCCAAGGTCAACTACCGTTTGAGTGCCGTTTTTTGGAAGAAAGGAGCCCCATTTCTTGTCTAATTCAATGAGTTTGAACGCAGACCTGGATCTATAGGATGCGGGATTTGTCTGACGCTGCTTGACGTAAGGATCTCGAGACTGCCTGGATAGCCAAGACTGGGACGACGATTTGATCTTCGAGACGACAGCGGTAGGACGAAAAGACATATAAGGTCAAATTTTTCTTCTGGGAGACCACCTTGCAAAAAGTGGGCTATCTAAAATTGGCCAAAATGGAGGGACGTGGTACAGCCAGATTAGGCAGTTGTGACGATGGATTGAAATGGAAAAATATATTCTCTGGTGGGTACCAAGCCAGATGACGTTGTTTGGCTACAGCCTTAGAAATAAATAACCTAGTCGGCTAAGTCCGATAATTACAAGCATCTTTGTCGAGATGCACACCAAACGCTAGGGACCAACATAAAAACGCCATAAATGTCAATGTAACGATCATGACTCCACCCTCTTCTTTATTCCCTGGTTACAGACAGGTTGAAGCATTCGGACCTGACGATGAATACTCTGATGAAGAAATCTCATATGTTACTCTAGACCTGGGTAATGTGGAACCGACTCTTGTTCCGAGCAGCTCGACATATAGACTGATTGTCAGCACAGTTTCTTTTATCTCGATTTAACTGCACTCATATCAATTCTAATGTGTATTCGACGCGATTTAATTATAGGGCCTTGACACTCCCATGCCGTTCTTGCAATTGTCTGGCACCATCTTCAAAGGGCAACACGACTCATTACTGGGTACTGAACTTTTATTCACAGAAGCGAAAGGTGAGTGGTATTCCTACTTTAGAAGTGCTCCTTGTATAATCTCGTCTCTCTTAGATGACCATGACCGTAGCAAACGCTTCATCACTCACGTCGCTAACACTGAACAACGTGTCCGCTTCAAGGAAGTAGAGCTAAAAGCTAAACAGCAAGACCCTCCGCAGCCCATACCCGATCAGTCATCCAAGGAATCTAGTAACAAGAATGAGGTATTTGCACTAGAACGTATGACGGGGAAGAGCTTCCCTCCAAATCCTCCGAAGCGTACACGCAGTAAGAGGAGCGATAAAAAGGGGAAGCAGCGGGAGGTTATCCCCGATCAAGAACAACTGACTGAGAAAAGTGTGGGGATAGTGTCGGATATGTTGGGTGACGAAGGAGAGGAATAGCGCATCTTGTTGGTAGCGACCTTAGGATACTCAGAACTATCGTCATTGTAGAAGCATATAAGTTATGGCATTGTGTCAAATCAACGCAAGGCTTGTAAATATGTTAATCTAGAGGACTGGATTTTGCAAAGAGTTAGTAACCGGAACAAAATCTGAATATATATTGTCTGCCCAATAATAGAAATTCTCTCTCTGCCTACATACAACCATTAGGTGGAAATACCTTATCAGGGGCCAATACTAACGGGGGGAAACCTGATACAATCGGCTCGGCTTGTCTCGACTGAAATACTCTGAAATTAGTCCGAGTACGAGCATACGGCGGTTGAATGATTACCGTTTCCCGCTTTCCTCCGAGCATAGGTCCTCCAAAAAGGCGTTTCGAAAGAGCAATGCTGCATTCTTCCAGGTATGATGAGATGGCAAACAGCCGGAGAACTGGTGTGCATTTTCTTGATGGCCTAGCTGCGACGGATCTAACCTACTTGTGCTTACCGTATGCGAGAACTCGATGAAATTGCCATAATCACGGTTCTTCGAAGAATCTAGCTATAGCTCGCTCTGGAGTCGTTCATGTCGGTTACTTCAAAAAGCTTGTCTGGAGAACAGTTTATACACCTGAGTATCTAGAACAAATTCTTGCAAAAGAGTACATACCAGATAAGAATGATGCAACCCCGAGTTACTAGCTAGAATAAGCAGTGACGTTGTATGTGATCCCGATGGGCCAATCGGCAGATGTCCAGCTTGAGTTACTTCCGTAAGTTACAATGCCCCTGTCATTGACACCTCCGCAAACTCTAAACGTCCAAGTCGACTTCAAGTCGAAGAACTGAAGACCATTGACAGCACCAGAGACCTTCCTCTAGACATTAGCCCATGTGGACACACAGAATTCCGTCGGGTATTCATGTTCGCACCCCGAGACTCCGCAAGGACACGACTCCGCATTCTTACCATTACACCTTACGTGGGGTACGGCGAGTCTACATTAGCTGGTTCGTTTTGCCACCATGATGGACCTATTCAGCGATCAAGAAGATGAAGAGGAAGGTGTCCCTGTCCACCTCACAGACTACGAACTACGCATCCTCCCGGATTTCGAGAAAGAGCTTCGAAGGCGTGGCAGCGCGGAGGACAAAATTCAGTGGATAGCAGAGCATGGTGCCAAGGTGAGAAACCTTTACTCTCATCACCTTCTGTTCTCCTCCCTCTTTTCTCGGTACACACTAGGGAGATGCCACATCTGAATTCCGCTCATATGATCTCCTCTCCGCGTCTCTCATCATGTTCTCTCCCTGAAAGCCCTGCGAATCGTGTATCTTCCGTGAACAAGAATGCAAGCCCGTTCTTGAAAGCGTCGTTTGCCAAGGGTGTGCAGAAACACACACGGGCTGCAGCTGGTACGCGGATTACAAGTGCGCCCATGTCACGAGCAGGTTGGGAATCTCCAAATCGACGTACAGCAGGCTCATGGGATATACACAATCGCCCTCTCGACTCGCATCCGAGATAATGTCCGTCAAGTCTGAGCTATCCTCGATCAGCATGCGGGGTCAGGGGATGGAACTCGGACCGAGTCCTGAAACTCAAAGCCGCAGTCTAAGCCAGTTACAGGTCCAGACGGAAAAGCTGGGAAATTCTAACGAACGAAATGTAAAGCTCACCCAAGAGATAATTAAAACTCGGGAAGCGCTCGCCACGCGCGAACGGGAAGCCGCGGGGCACGTAGAAAAGATCTTGCGCTTGCAGAAGGAACTGGATGGCGAAAGACAGTTTCTGGAGCTTATAAAAATCCAGGTGAAGAATACACAGGAACTAGCTAACACAGCTGTGACAGCCAAGAACCAAGCGTTGAAGGAGGTGGAGAGCGAACGGCAGCTTCGGGAGGTCGCTCAAACCCAATTGAAGAGTGCCCAGGAACAAGCTAGCACGGCTGCGACGGCTAGGGATCAAGCAGTGAAGGAGGCGGAAAGTAAGTGATCCTAACATACTTAACTGTGAATGCGAACTCCGTCACCTGTGATTTACTGACCGCTTAAATGCAGAAGAGTCCGATGAGCAACGTTTCCAGATATCCAGCCTTTTAGTCGAGCTCGAAGATACGAAGAAGCAGGTAGAAGCTGTGGTGTCTCGCGCCACTGACGCTGAAACGGCCAAAGAGCAAGCCCTAGAAGAGCTAGCAAGTATGTTTCCTTTTTTTTTACCGAATCACATCGAGAAAACCGAGATACTAGCGTGATCTCAGAACACCACTCCAGGCTCGGGGAGATCGAAAGGACAGAACAGTCTGATAGACTTGCGATCCGGATGCAATTGGATTTCAAGATTCGCGAACTGAAGAAAATAAGCTCTCGCAGTGATAATCCGACATATGATTTAGCACAATCGTTGGATCAAGTCGTCAAATCGTTGCAGGCCCTGAGCGATGGCCTCTTGGAAGAAGCGTGCAGCCGTGATGCGGACCCTATGGAGGTGGTTCAAGATATGACCCGACGCCGACGTCGTGGCGAGAACGGCGACCTCGAGGATGATAGTCACAGAAAGCGCATGAAGGGCGACGACGACGATTTTTGCGCATGAAAGACAGTGAAGAATCAGTGAACCATCTGCGTCCCAGTACTTCTTCGTCTTGTAGATTGAACTGAAGGTCGACATCGGTGCCATAGTAATATCTCGCGACTCGAGAAAAGACAACGTTGTCAAGGTGCCAATTCAGTGCCCCATCTGCCACAGCTTTAACCCTACCAAAAGAACGAGACAATATCGACGGTCAGTTATTTATCAGGTTCAAAAAATATACGTACGTTGGACCGTCTGGTCTGCTGATTGCCACACCTTGTTCTTTTCCCCATCGTAGAAGTCTTGAATAGACATATGGCGAGTTGGCAAGGCCTCCAACCAGTACGACTTTCTGCATAGAACACGAGACGATGAGATACGGGAAGAGAAGACGTGATACGAACATACGTCAGCCGCCCAAAGTCCGTTTTTCAGCGCAGTTTCAAGTCCTTGTATGATCGTATCTATCGTCGGGTCAAAAAATGATGCTACGTCAGTTCTGAAACAAAGGTCAATGACACAGGATAGCGAGCTGTAGAAATAGTATAATCAACCCTGAAATCTTCATTTTTCCCGAACGAATATGAAGTTCTGGTATATCAATGGGCAACCCATTGTCGCCTGCTATGGGTAGTGGAAGCCAAATGTGTTCATCAATATTATCGAACTGATTTCGAGCTTCATTGGTAAATAGCAGATACCGAAAGCACAATGTTTGATTACGCACAGTTTTCTTGGCTTGTTTTTCAAAGCGTTGAACACTTTCTGAAATACCGTCATGAGCACTCCATGGAGTATCTTTCAAGCGACCTAATGACGGTTGAGTCAGTATAATAAAAGCCATAGTACATATCGAAAGAAAAAACGTTGTAAGAATTGTTCCAAAGCCTTGCCGACAAACATCCCCCCATTCAAGTAGCCTACTATTTTGTTTAGCAGTCTAGTATTTAAATGCGGTGATAATACTTGCAACTAGACGCAATTGACTCCTTAAGTCTAAGGGGTTTGGTTTCCATGATGGTATACCCGCTGATAGAAGTCATTAGATATCGGGCGCTGCAGCCCAGCAGTAGGGAACGAACGTGATATCTATCGTCCCACCTATTTTATGACGATAAGTAAACGATTATGGCACTTGCACTTGAGATCAAATTACCTCCACAGTCACAAACGATAATGTCTGTGTCTACCTGCAGCCATTCATCGATATTTCCAGTACTAGCTGCATACAGCACGGCTGCCTGAAGAGACGTTGTCTCATAAAACCATGGAGATCATGGCAGAGATTACGCACCTCCGACTCCGTTACAAAGCTCACCCTTCGACCTCCATCGACGCTAACAAGCCCAGCTGCGATAGCCGCCAGCCGCATGCTATTTTGCTGCCGCCCTTCCCATCCGTTTGGGGTGGTTAAAACCACATACATACCGGGGCTGAGCATTTTTGGTCACCACCAGCGAGACCGGTGATGATCGAAGCTCTGACTTGTGCTTTAATATAACGAAAGAAGTCTGTGAACACTCGATCAACTGTTACACCACGCGGAAGAGGTGGTAACTGCAGTTTTCGGATTATAGGAAGGTGTGATGGCCGCAAGTGTAGCTTCCACCTGTTAATAAACAGTCAAACTTAGTCTTCGAGTTCCTGCCGTCATTACATACACATTGTGCACATATGACTTACCATTCTATTCGATGCCAACCGTTCTCTTCCGCTGCTACACAAGTATTGTCATCGTCGCAGTCCGCACCAGCAGTTTTGAATATTCCTTGTTTGCTGTAGTATAGTACCGATGGGACTTTGGAGTCAGACGCAGGCTTATTCCGAGCTTTGGCCAAGTCAATATCTAAAAGTGCGATGGCATGGTACTACATTGTCAGTCGACGGTCTTCAAAAAACCAACATCACTTAAACGCTTACTTGAATAAATTTTGGAACCCTTGCTTTCTCAAGGATACAATATGACGCAGCACTGCATGTCGTGCCGATATCAATAGACACGACCAAACTACTCAACCCTTTCCATGCGGATCTTGATCGAGTGGTACCTTTCTTGTTGGCTCTCATAACACTGACAGACAGGCTTAGAACGGAAGAAGAATTCGACTGACAGAAACAATAGTCTAAGCAGTCCGACCGTCAATGTTCAATGTAGTGTTCAACGTTCGGGTCCGAGTCCAACCCTCATCTCGCCCTTGAACTCAGCAAGCTGGTTCTATTGTTCCCACGTTTCCACAACTCGAGGCCTCATACTCGGTGGGTGACAGCCTGAGGTCTGGGGACAGACGACAATATTAATACTATATCACAGCGATGGTACTGGAGACTGCCAAGTGGACCCCAATGTCCAGTGCCGAAGAACTAGAAGGGTCGTCGACCAGAATCGCTATGACAGATCTACAAGAACAAACCACAGGAGAAGAGTACTGCTGTGCTCCGAGCCAGACGGATGCAGGTAGCGAAGTATCAAGCACGCAGAACCATGATGATGCAGATATGAGCATTGTCCCCAGTAGTGAATCTGAACAAGACCGTGACCCAGAGCCGCTTACAAAGCACATACCGCACGATGGTGCAGATATGAAGCTGACAGACGAGACTGAGAGCCAGGTTGAGTACGTTTGTTCGTGACTGTGTCTATGTTATCACTAGATTACTGTTTTCCCAGCCTAGCTTCCGCACTGATGACAGCAGAGAAAGACAACATCATACAAGAGTTGCATGAGGAAATTGATCTCCTCCGTCAGAGGAACACCGAACTTACTTTACAGTCCAAGCAGCAGAAGGAGTCTTCTCGGATGCGCAAACAGGGCATACAGGATCAAGAATTCAACCACGTGATCAACGAAATACCGGACACCGACATACAGGGGTTACTTAGTGACCTAAGTGAAGTTATAGATCACATGGTCTCAGAGGTCATTGACATTGTTGCTTCACTGCATCAGATCACCAAACACCAGTCTGAGCCCCCGCCGCCCATAGACACCCTCCTATGGGCACTTAAGCAAGATCCTCTTGTCACAGGTGCTCGTCAATATCTCCTTGATGCCTACATGCATTCCTCGGTCAACAATCACATACATCAATTATTCTTTCAGCCTCTTGTAGCACCATTTATTCCATGTGACACTTCCCCTGAAGTAGCTTCCACAACCTCTGAAGCAATTCTCGAGGTGCAGATGCTTGATCATCTATTTGAAAAATTGTTGAGAACCGGTATGTACTTCCCATAGTTTATATCATATAAGCATTATGACGAGGCACAGAACCATGGCATATCGCCCAGCGTTGGCGCGCTATCACAGCATCTCATGTCCCTCGACAAATCCCTGACCCTTTGGCTTTTCTTGCCGAATATACACCCCAAGAAGAATACATGCTGTACGGCATTATTTTTCAATTGTACTCAGTGGACAACATAGCGAGAGAGAAGCTTTCTACATGTTTGTCGACGAAGATGAAAGCCATCTACAACCAAGCTTACCACTTGTCCGTAACAATCAAGTGCGACGTTCTTCCCACACGATTGCTTGTGACTAAATGCAATGAGGATGTCGTCAACCCTCGAATCCACAACATCTGGCCACTTGATACGAAAGATGCCGGCGGTAAAGTGCTTGGAACTTATCATTTGGGCTTGGTGAAACAAGTGGACAACGACAAAGTCTCTGTTCTCACTGCCCCTACAGTGGTCAGTGGTGGCTTCTTGCACAAATTGGGATTACACTTGCATCGCCGTTGTCCTGGACCATGGTAATAGGACTGCGGATGATTCAGGAAGGTGATGATACATAACGATTTCAGCATCAAGAGCAGAATATATGCTAGTCTGTTGCTATATGTTGTAGGGGTATGGTTTGTATGAGCGAAGAGCGTTACGGTAGATAAATATCCGCCTGTGATATGCGATGATCGACGATGCACTTGTACTGTTTCTTGCAGGGTTTCGAGCGTGATTGCACACAAGGCGGTGGTGGGTTTGTAAGACGAGCGATCATGGATGCGACAATACCATTTGCCTGCGTGCTGAGCATGCTGGTGAGACATATATATGATAGATAGCATGATCGGCTTACGGACAAAAGGGACTTTATGAGACGGTACTAGGAGTGTTAGATAGACGGTAAGAGTGTAGACGTGGCTCACTGTGACTAGATATTAGTGGGTGGTCTGTATGTTTTGCTTCAAATTTTGCGACGAAAACTGGGCAGACCATGTTGATAACATGTGAATAATGTTCGGATACTCGAACGAGGATAGGTTGCTATTGTCACAGGCTAGTGAAATCATGTGGATAGCAGGCTCCTTCAGGTCTATTTGCCGTAGCAACTCGGAGGTGGTAGGAAGAAAAGTGGGGTAGCGGGAGATGACATCATAGGCGGGGACAAGCACAACCAAACAGAGGAGCAGTGTTTTTCTCACATCGACGGGCGCTTGCCACCGTTCTGGTTCTGACTACAAACACAGCAGCGATGATTCCGAGAGCAAGTCGTCGATATGCATCCACCGCACGGCCCAAGCAGCCCAGAAAAACAAACACCGCTGCAGAGACCACCCAGCGGCCACATGTGCTGAGCGCAGAGGAGCAGGTGAACATCATCAAGCGACGCATCGACAAGGCTGAGCGTGACGAGCGCATGGACATCACTCTCTCGCTCACCCCAGTCAAGACGTGCGTCTCTTGTTTCTGCCCTCCACTCGCGCTGACACCTTTCCAGTTACATGGGGGGATTCACCCGCCCACGTGACTTCCGCGCCCTCTACTGGTCCAAAGGCGGCCGGTACCACTCCCTCAACAAGGGCTACGAGTCGCCTCCCCCGTCGGCTTACCAACCACACACCGTATACCTTCTCGAGGGCCGATACTACTCCAAACACGGTCCCGGCCGTGCCGACACCCTCGAGCACATCGTCGGCGTCTGCCGCGAGTCCGACTTCCCCAATGTCCTCCAGAAATACAACTCCGACAGAGCCTCCCTCGATCACCTCGAGGCAATGGATAACGCCCGCTGGCCATGGGCTCCCCAGAAAACCCAGAAACGAGTCAAGTGGTGGGCTAAAGACGAAGACCCAAAGGCAACTCTCAGAGAAATCAACGAACGGGATGCCGACTTTAGTCTCTACGACAATGCTGAAGCCTTTACAGAACAGGACTCGGACATTGTACGAAAGGGCAACGTCGCTAAACTTGTTGCAGCAGCGCCAGGTCCTTTTTCACAGTCAACTCAGATCCGTGCTTTCCATTCTTCAGCTCGTGTTCTTCGCCCCACTTCTTACAATGAAGATCATATCGTACCCGACTTTTATCTAAAGCACAAACAGCGGTCACAGTCGAGGACGGCTACCGCCTCTACCACGCCCCCCTCACCTGCCGACACCGCAGGCACCGGTGTAGAGGCTGCTGAAAAACGCGCTCACGATCCACAGCGCCAGACAAGGGCAGTGCGCGAACGCCACTCCGAAGAAGCTGCTCTCATGCAGCACCTTTCCGACTCTATCTTATCCGACGAAGTCGCTGCCAGCACCCGTCGTCTCCGCTCAAAGATACCAGTCGAGCATTATGATGCTGATGGAGTACTCGTCCACCCCAGCGGTTTCGTCGTGCCCAGCACAGATCGTGTTTCTGCGGCAGCTCATTCCAGCTCCTCCGATGTGGCTCGTTGGAAAGAGCAGGAGCGTGACTTGCTCAAGGATACCGCGGCGCAGACTGCGGCTGTTGCTGAGCGTGTTCTGGAGTCGGACCTGGACTCTCTCAGCACCATTGGCGGTGCCTCGACGAGGGCGAGGAACCACAAGATCCCATTCGAGGTACGGGAGCCGGACGGGACAGTCAAGCATCCCAGCGGTTTCGTACCCCCCACACCAGCCCACGAGTTCAAATACTCTGACAGTGCTAGCTTGGAGGGAGGGATGAGCAACGCAGTTGGTCGGATGAAGGCCAGAGAAGGAAAGAAGGGAACGGGAGAGAGAGGTATTCACACTACCGCCGCTCGACGGGCCATGGAGGTCACCGCGCCTGTTCCCGTTCGGGAGCGTTACCTCCCCACATTAGCGGAAAAGCCGTTTTACCGCCCATTGTTGACACTCACCGTATCGACGCGTCCATTGGGAAACACTCTAGCACGTCTCTCGCGGGCTCTGCCCAAAGGCCTGCCCTTCTATGCGAGCATTCCTCCTGAAGACAGAAAGCATGGTCCGTCGTACTCTGCGCGGATGCGGTGCCTCAGATTGGGAAGAATGTCGGGACTCGCTGGAGACATGGGCCGGTTGTTGGACGGCGAACGAGGTGGATTTATTGGGATTCGTTTTGAGTCTGGGCAGCGGGGGAGAGCAGTCATGGGTGAGGGATTGGGGGACCCGGTTCCGCAAGAGAAGAGGATGATTGGGGTAGGCGTCGGGTCGTGGTACGCTCGTGCAGACGAGGTACGCGAGGCATTTGAACGCTCAACTCGCGGGACATATGACGTGTATGCGCTCAATGACTTTGGGACCCGTCAGCGATATGATACGGGAGAGGTAGTTCCCTATCCGCCCGCACACGAGGCGCCTGATGTCATTGACGCGGTGTTGGCCGAGAAGAAGGCGAGAAAACAGGATATGGTGGAGGTCATGCAGGAGAAGCGAGGAGAAGTCGATGACCGCGAGATGGCGGAACGACAGAGGAGGAGGAATGAGAGGAAGAAGGTGGTTGCGATGGAGCATGGGCCTGAGTTGGCAAAGGCGATGGCGGGGAACGTGAGAGGTGTGGTTGAGCCTTGATATCATCATTTATCTATGCATGGGCTCGCCGCGAGTGCTCGGGGAGTGTTGATCACTCACAGGTAAGTATTGTGGAGCAAGCAAGCAAGTGGATGGGAAGCTTCAAAGGTATACGTCTGAAATAGGCTGAACGTTTCGTGGAGGATTTGTAGCATACCAAATTGGTCAAGGTTGGCCTTCTTGTCCAATACATCTACTGATGGATTTACATGATGCACGCGTCGAATTATGTTCCTTTAGTCGATGTTGTGATAACTTTCCGTGTTCACTTCCATGTCATAATCCAAGCAAGTGAACAACATATTATTATCAATTCCACTGTCAAATCAATACGCAGAGTGAAAGGAACATCGCAGCGATCGATCCCATCGAGGATGCGATTAACTACTAAACGGTGTATCAGGCAACAAAGCAGATGTTTTAGGGTATAAGAAAACATGATCTTGTGCAGAAAGTAAACACAAAATCGTAACCGTAAAAAATGAATGCAAGCCAGCTATCATCGCCTTGCGCTGCCACGATTGTATCCAGCCTGCAAGTTGTCGAGCTCGGCCTCGAGTTGCTTGATCGCACTGTGAGCCATCTCCAAATCCTTGTTGAGCCGATCTCGCTCTGCGATAAGCTATAGGGTGCGACTTATGATAAGTATACGGTAGATTTATTGAGTGAGAACTTACATGTTGCTCCCACTGTCTGAACCTCGCCTCCTCTGCCTTGACCTGCTCGGTGAAGCGTCTCCTGAGCTGCTCTTCCTCCTCCTTGAACTTGGGGTTGTCGACCTTCTTCACCTTCGGCTCACCGAACTTCCTCGTCTCCATCTGCTGCTGCCTGTAGTTCTCATAGTGCAGCTCCTCCGTCGTTGAGATCAGGTCAAGCATGTGCGTACGGATAAGCAGACTTCTCAGTTTCCTGAAATCACAGTGAGTTTCATCCTCGACTTCTGCTACACCCCACAGGTATTCACGACCCTTGACGACGCGCCCGTCAGCTGTCTGGACGTCTTCGGTGGAGCCGATGATGGAGAAGGGGATGGCGCCGGTGAGCATACGGGCATGCTCCGCGGCACTGTCGTCGTCGCTCTCGACTGGAGGTTGGTAGATGCGGATGCCCTGAGCGGCGATGACCTCGCGAACGCGTTGTTTGAAAACGATAACATCGTTTTGGGTTAGAGTGTCGGCCTTGGCGACGACAGGGATGAGGTTCACACGAGTTCCGAGACGCTTCATGATTTCGATATCCAGAGGCTTTAGCCTAGATGTGAGAAACGGTCAAAATCACATCGATCAGTAGGTAATTCGGGAGTGAGAGAATCAAGCGATGACGAGTACTGACGTATGTCCTGTTGGCCTGATAAAGTACAAACAAGCGTGTACTCTCAGATCTGTCTTTTCTTCACGCTGAGGTTGTTGCTCCTGACGCATATACGCTTCATGCTGGTCGTCGATGAAATCAACGATGGGAGACCAGGAGTCGCGGTTGTTGACATAGTCACCGAATCCTGGGGTGTCAATGACAGTGAGCTTGACCTTGAACTGTTTCTCCTCAAGCTCAGCCTTGATTATTTCGACCTCGGTGAGCTTGTCGAGTTGCTTGTAATGACGCTTGGAGTAGTTCTTGTTCGGGGACAACTCGGTCGAGAACAGCGTGTTGATGAGGGTCGTTTTACCGAGACCAGATTCACCTGAGAAATTCAGTTTAGAGAAGGGGAAATGGGATGAAGAATGCAAGACAAGACAAACCGACGACCATCATGGTGAAGTGTGCACCACGCTTGGCAACGATTTTGTGCCTCTACATTGAGAAGATGGAGGTTGATGGACGCGAGAAGAAAGAAAGACATGTTAGTGTTACATTACATTGAGCTTTTATAACAAACACGCACCTGGTTAGGGAGGTTTGCAATACCTATGCCATCTGCGGAGGGAGTAGGAGCCGACATGGTCTGAAATTTGGTGCTTGTTCTCGACGACGAGGACAAAATGGTGCCAGTCATCTGAGCTAAGGTTTTCATTGACCGCTTTGAGTATGTTTATTTGGTCGGTGGCACCACTGCGCTCCCTTTACTGTTGACTTCTAGTCAACTTCTACTACTAGTACTAATAGTCGTTTACAATATTCTCGAGTGCGTCTATGTCATGCTCAATTTTTGTTGCAGATATCATACCCCATCACTATATGTAAAGACAACACGTTAATCTTTCATTTTACCCCCATGCATCCACAAGGCTTCCACGGTATCGAGCGTTACATAGGAGTCGCCGAGGCTTCGTTGAATTGAGTGGCTGTTTGGATGCCCGTGGGTCCAACTTTGTCCAAGCCTCGTGCATTCTGCCAGGTTCCTTTCTAATCTACCACCAAGATGAATCGCTCAAATGATAACGTCTATCAAGCCCCGTCTCACTCTACCAGCCCTTACATGGAGGTTGGACCCGCCTTGCAGCAAGCTCTCAGACTAGCCAGGTGCCAGGCTTCTAATCTCAAACAACGCAAGCTAGAAGAACTCCCGGCTGAGAACAATGTCATGGACAAGGACATCACTCGCGAAGAGCAGCGCTTGCTCAGTGCTAATGCGCAAGTTGTGAAGGCTTTGGAGCATTTGTTCAGTTGGAGGTACAGTTTGGGGGTGCCTCCTTGTAAGGTTTGGATTGACTGTGTCTTATGTGGCGTGCATAACAGGCATAAGGATCGAACATCGCGGACCAGTAAGCTTTCGTTTGTCGAATCCTGGCGCTTTCAGCGCGTCATGTATCGCGTCTGGCTGTTGTCCTACTTGTATGGGATGGGAAGTGTCCCAGTCGTACCGATTACCGAGAACTGCGAGTACTCAGATCTTATGGAATATCGAGCAAAACAGAAGGCTTTCTTGAAACAATTCACGACGAAAGCTTTGCACCAAATCAGTAGGATTGCGATCTTCCTTCAAGGAATCGCAAATTGGGCGCTTTTTGCGGAAGGAAAGCTTATCGGTTCTTTAGAAGTCTGTTTGTATCCACGTCTAATTCTACTTCATTCCATCATATAACATATCACCGCAGACGATTTCAAAGGGTTGTACCTCTTTGCTGGTCCACATGCCGTCCTTCAATGTTACGAGGAAATGAGCACAGAACCATTACAACTGGGCTATCTTAATGATGATGGACCCTACGAGAAGTTTCTTACAGGACCATTGAAAGAACTATACACAGAACGTCAGGTGACCAATGAACCGTACGGAAAAGATTTAGAGAAGCTCATCTTGGATCGCGTAAATGGAGAGAATGATAAGTGTAAGTTAGTGGTCATTGCACTAGGAATCTATTATTCTTATATTTTGTTGACAGGTCGACAATGCACATCTGATTATCAATGGCTTCCGGGCATAAAACAAGGCGTCAATTTGTATAACGAAACCAGTGTGTCAATCTGAACGTAGCTGCCATCATATCATGTCATGACCAGGTCTGCGCAGATTGGGACTATCTGAGAGGATATATTATTGCTGACTTGCAGTTTCACGTTCCCGGGAAAGTGCTGCAAAACCAGTCGGACAAACAACTCAATCAGACTTTACGCAACATAGATTATGCTATCTTGATGGATGAAATGTTCGACAGCAAGAAGGATCCATACTTAAACTTGTCTAAGCAAGACTGGGTTTGCTATGATTGTCTTACCGAGCTATTCAGAGATACTGTACTTCGTTGGTGGCTCAACCGTAAACGTAGAGGTATGTTTATTGCTGCTGGTGCTATCGAAACCATACTATTTGAATTCTCTTATATTTATATTTCATATTATAGATGGGGTGACTATCAAGGAAGATTGCCAGTGCGTTTATATGCCAAACCCATCACTCAGAGCGTTCCGATCATAATTGAACGTCTGTAGATATGGATACGACTGCAGTCAGCAAACATATAGCAGAGGCTTAGAGCACGCGATGAGATTCAACGTAAGTTTGCAATAAATTTCTGTCGCTTTCGTATGGTCATTAAAACTGGGTGCAGCATCTTTGTGAACCTACCCAGAGAGAACAGGGATCGCAAGGAGCGTACTGATGAGCCATTCTGTCAACCGCCCATAATAAGCTGCGTTTACGAGGTATAACAATATGACTGCACTATACCATGTCCTTGCTCGATGATATTACTGTAACATGCATGATTCCCATTGGCTCATGTTATTATAAATTCAAAATTATATCGAACAATGAATGTATCGAACGGTAGTGAAACCAGACCAATTCCTAGTCTGTGCTATGCTCTTTCTCCTACCAGCGTGTGTTAGATTAAGATTCATGATGTATACGGTAACATGTGCTCTCCAGCACATTCAGATCAAAACCTACAATGCGCAACATACACAATGATCTGCCTTAATCACATAGACGCTTCAATGCATCTACCCACCCCACATTGTAGGTTCAGCACTAGGGAGACATGAGATAATTTTATCGAAATCGCTATCATTTCTAGCCTGGACCTTTACTGAATTACAAAAACCATATAGAATGGACGCCATTCAACATGACGGTTTTGCTACATCATGATACAAATAAAATATACCTAATCCATGAAGTTCCATCTTTTTACGACTTGGAGCATAAAATTGTCGTGGTCCCTCAAGATCTTTTTCCCGTCGCGAGCTTCTTGTGGCCTTACTATGTCCATGTAATTGACGCAAGCTGGGTAGCGCGCCTCCTCAATGCTTCCCGCCCAGTCAAAGTCGATGATCATGAACCGTGTCTTGTCGGTCTTGGACACCATAATATTCGTATCGCGAATATCGCCATGGACGTAACCAGCTTCGTGAAGACTTTCCAGTTTTGCGGATATATCGGTGAAGACAGAAAGGGGGAGCCGTCCCGTGCGGGCACTCAGCATCTCAAAGTCGTCAGGGAGCATGTCCATGACCACCATGAACCAGCCACCGGCGATCTTTTCGAACCCTCGCAAGGCTGGGGCACATCCCAAAGATGCAAAGTGATTATGGACATCGCACGAATAAGTTTGAACGAATTTAATACAAATATGATCGCCTTCGTCCTCAGTTCCAGAGAAGACGAGCTTGTCAGAGTCCAGTTCTATCACGTACCAGAAATGTTTCAGAGTATTGCTGTGAAGCGATATGTAACTCGTTGGGTACGCGAACATATGAGGGGGGACCGGTGCGGAAGTAAGAACAGGGGTTTCTGTCAGGTTTTCGTAATACTCATTCAGCCTTTCGGCAGCTTTGCGAAAAGCGGCCATGTGACGTGCCACGGTAAGTCGATTGTGGATATCGGTGGAATGAAAGTGAAACGCAATAGGTGTTGACAAGATTTGTACTGTCGGACGCAAGTTCCATGCGGCACCGGCAAACACCATATATGGCCCTGCAGAAAGAACCAATTAGCTCGCCATAGAAACGGTAGAGGACGCGAGGACGAACCAAAAATGGTAAGAAGGAGGCATGGCAAAGGGGACCTGCTGAATTTGAGAGCGTATTCTCTCGTCGAGTCTAGGTAGTATCCTATGGCTTGGAAATACGGCTCAGTTGATGTACTCCCGGTTTCGTTTTTGAATTCGGCAATCACATAACGATGACCATTGACTTTCATTTCTGCATTCGTCAGGTATTCAGCGGGTTTCGTTGATGGTAAAGTGGAAGCGGTAGTTTTGAAATACCATGTCAACAGCTTCAACCCGTTCGTTCTCGTCGCCATACAAGGCCGACATGGCTGTCGCGAGGTGCTCAATGAAACTGTTATCCTCAGCTGTTACATCAATAGTCTGACAGTCATCAAGAAACTGGCCAAAGACAGGATGTAAGAGGGTCACAGGGATAGTTTCCTCATATTCGCGGGGACGACCACAGGGCATAGATTTAAGTCGTTGTGGATCATGCTGTCGTGTCCGAAATGTAGATGGGGTGCCAGTGTTTGAAGGCCTCTCCTTCGGAGTGGATGTTAGGAATGCCTTGCGCGCAGTCGTGATCGGATCGTCATTGCCTATGTGATGATAAGACAATGGAGGAGGTTTCGTTAAGCTCGAGTGAGTACGAGTCAATACCGTCATATTTTTCGCTTACTTTCATCGAGTAGCTCGACGACAACACGTGGCATCTGAAGAAAAGGGACGTCATCGAAGACCTCCTTCAGAATCTTAGTCTCTTGCAGGATTTGACCCTATCCTGTAGCACCAAGAATCTCGTGGAGCTCGTCATCGTTGTTTGCTGTAACCTTGTAAACTCTGAAGTCAGTAAAGGGGGCACTGTATGCCGCCTTGATCGAAGCGTTGAGATCGCCAATATCGGCCTCCGCTGGTATTGTGACTTTAATGAAACCCGCAAGATTTGCCCCTCGCATCCAAAATTTAATGGAAAGCACGTCTGGTAATGTGAAGAGAATGATCATCATGATTGAGGTTGAGTTGGAATTGCAAGTGCCACATACCAATGATAAGGTGAAGTTGGTTTCTGGCAGGCGGTTGCGTAAAAATATCTGACAACTGCTGCCCCGCCTCCAGAGGATTTTCCAGACTGGGACTGGTGAGATTGCTGAGCATACCTTTAAGGGAATCATGTCCTTCATATGGAAAGGAAACTTTGTAGAGATCGATATCGCGGAACTGGAAGGAGTTCTTGCTCTTGATGACTTTTTTGAGGTCGTAGACAGTCTCTGAACTTGAGATGTTGACAGGAAAGATGTTTTCAACATCTTCACCGTAGACCCAACAGTTGAGCTTTTCCATGTTGTGGCACTTGGCTGGACTGAATGAAACGATGAAAGACGGTGCGCGCGTGTGTGGCGACTCCGCCTTGGTGGTTATCATGGATCACGTGCTACGCCTTTTCCTTCTTTGTAGACCGAGACCGGGCTTTGGCTATCCCTGGGTTGGTGCAGTTGAAGGTGTTCTGTAGTGTTTCGGAAAGACGCATGAAACTTCATGTTGTCCAAGCAGATTTACCTCCTTCTGTGGGTGCTTTTTGTACACCTGGCGGGGATTTATCTCTTTACAAAGGGATTTATCTCTTTACAAAAGGCTTTCTCCTCAATCGTCTATCACTTTCAGACTCGAGCATCTGCTCGCACGATGTCTGCACATCTCTCGCTACCCATAAAAAAGCTATATTGCTCGTTATAGACGCCCTTCGGTTCGATTTCATCTCCAATGATCCTCCACACCCAGCTTCTCCATACCACCACAATATCTTAACGCTTCCACGCGAGCTCACAGTCATAAAGTTTGCCGTCAGAAGGGTAATAGCATACAGTGATAAATGCGTACAGGAACTGGGTGCACGGACGATGATGATCCACACCCCTTCCTTAGACTCGGAGAAAAGGGTTGATAATTTGTACCATCCGTTGAGCTTCCTTTCCTCTGAATGATCCCACCGACTAAGCGTGCCTTCCAGTTGCTCATCGTCAGAAAGGCAAATAGAGTAGAGATCGACATACTTTGCTTCCACATCACGGAACTGTGAGGAGTTCTTGTTCTTGATGGCTTCTTTGAGGTTGTAGACAGTCTCTGAACTTGAGATGTTGACAGTAAAGATGCTTTCAACGTCTTCACCGTAGATCCAACAGTTGAGTGTTTCCATGCTGTGGCACTTGGTTAGTCTCCCCTAGGCATACCATTTAGGAGGAAGACAGTCGTTCCTCCTATCAATGGTCTGCTTCCAAACGCGCCCAAGTAACCGTCGTACGGGAATCTCTTCCCATCAAGCAGCCAAACAAACGCGGCATCCACGGCATGCCTTCCAAAAATGGTATTGTCACATGGAGCGGCAGCACTACCACAAGTTTGTTAATGTTGAACGTTGAAATGAACATACAACAACCTGTTTTGCCTACAGGTTGTATATATATCCACCACCACTTAATGGTACAATACTAATGAACAGTAAATCTGCAAACTTTTGCTTTAATCTTAGTCCCTAATATTTTTCTCTGCTTCATTTCCAACCAAGGTAGTATTCCAACGACTCACAACCAGCACCAGGCTTTGAACTGTAGTACTTCACTCAATATGATCAATTGGCCTTCAAGTGTAGCATCAAATATTCAGAGAGAGCCTGTATAACATGCATGAGTTGAATGAAAGTGCTGGTTTACCTGTTCCTGTAGCGGTCACAAAACAGCACATTCCTGCCATCAATAAGGCTCCCAATTACTTCTAGTGGGTGGTCATGTATCATGGGGCATCCAGGTATCAATAATGTATCAATTAAGTATATGGCTTTCATACTGCAAGGCAAAAATACAAAGTGTTACGATAACACAATTTTCGGACCTTTCCTTTAATTTTCATTCTCCTCTTCAACTTTCTTTTGTAGTTTTCACACTCCATGCCATGCGGCACTTTCCCTTTTTGTTCAAACTCCTCTTTCTCGCGTTGCACTGCTTTCTTCTTATTTTTAGCTACAAGTCTCTCACGCAGTGGAGCTGGTCACACGGGCTGCGCCCTATGACATCATCAGCCACTGCCTTTAGCAACTGTATAGTACATACATACAAACAAATCTGTAACAGTATATAAACCCCAATAGATCAAGGAGACTCCTCAGCAAGTCCTCCTGTTGTTAACCAACAAACTCTCTGCAGCCTAAGGGGTAACCACTCCCCATTCACTACCTTTATAGTGTGTTCCTGTGTGTGCCAGAGTAGCTAACTCTTGGTTGTTACATTAGGACTTGCTCTTCTACTCTCTTGCACGTTGTGCAAAAAAAAAAAAAAGTCCCACTGGGCACACGGGCTCCAGGGTGAAGGAGATTTGGTTATTGTTTGGGAATATCCTACATAGCAGATAGGTGCGCTCTTCGCGACAGCCTTGTAGTGCTTAGGGCGAAGAGACAATACCATCGATACACGGCCCCCAGCGTTAAGGGGAGTACTATAGCTCAGCAGTCGGTGTGGAATCGCTGTTGATTAGAATTTAGATACAAAACTTCTCTTTCAAGTACCTCTGACCAGGCCGGGCACTTGCCTCCGCCAGTCTGGAGAAGGGTTGACAGCCTAATAAGTGGACCACCCCCTGACAACCGTTCCGACCAGGGTTTCATACTATAACTTTTATGTACATTTTCAAATACTATAGTGTGGGTAGTCGGAGATTGAGATCCAATACTCAGCTGGGAAGAGGTAGATCTGCAGATAGCAAGTGGGGACCCCCAGTTACGTTTTTTTTACCTTACCAAGAGAACAAGTCGACATGTCGTTGCAAAGTCAAACCGACGTCAATGCTCTGCTGCACAACATGCGTGCACAGATCTTGGCGTTAACTACGCAACTTGCCGAGCTGCAAGCGGCCCCTGCTGCTGCAGCAACCCCCTTGGTTGAGAAGAAGTTCAATAAAAAAGTCAAAATTGTCGCTGACCCCGGCGCCTTTGAAGGAGAACAAGCACAATTCGCCGAATGGTGGATCAAACTCCAGATTTGGGTCAAGGCAAACTGGGGTGCATTTGCTGATGATTTTGAGGTAGCAACAGCAGTGCTATCCTGACTAAAAGGACCTGTGGCGGGTCGATACACGCAAGTTAGATTGCAGGAGTGCTACACCGCGGGAGTGTGGCCTGCCTGGGATGATCTCAAAGTTGAGATCGAAAAATATTTCAAACTGCAAGCTGAGCGAGACTGGGCGTGTCAGCAAATCCGATCCTTGAAGCAAGGAAACTGTGAGGAATCGATTTTTCTTATCGCATTCCCGTCATGTCGTGGTTAGCAGACTCGATCCCCGTCACTCCTCTTGCCCTTGGACTAGAGATTACAGCAGGTGTCTTATTACTTTTATCATTTTTCTTCTTATTCTCTCTTCACACTCACGTTCTATCGTACCTACAACGAGGTAGACTTGTTGTCGATCCTCGAGAAGATATCCAGATGACATAGCCACGATCCAGTGCTATGTCTGGGAATACTTCAGAGGAATATTGATAAGCGAAGAAGGCTGTGAGTCAGCGCCTTCTCATGGGCTTACTGATACAGCCAATCATACATCCCTTACCAATACATTTTCTCATACGATTAGTAAATACGATAGATCAGACCATTTTCTCCTTTTTTCTTATTTGTTAGCTAGCTGGTCAGACCACTTTCTCAGTACTTCCCTTTCTCGGTCTGACCATCGCCGTTCACTATATAGAGAAGTACATACTCGATGTATTGTTCTCTAGTTCAATATTAGTTTGGATTTGCGCTCATACCGATACTCTTCATCCTCATACCCTGATTCACCGCCTTCCAGCAAGGACTTGACCAGGCATTGGGCTTTGTTATATAGCTTTGTATTTGTTGCCTGACAGAAACATGAGGATTGATGATTACATTACCCGGTTCCTGGCCCTCTCCGTCCAAGGAGGGCTCAGTAATGAACACGCAGTAGAGCTGCTGGAACGCAATGTGAACCCCCACATTGCAGAACAACTCTACCTGCAGGATATGAGACAGGACAAACTTTCAGACGCGGCAGAAGAAATTTGTAAAATTGGTAGGGCCATAGAGCTCTACAAAATGCACCAAGGTGGCGGGACCACCACCAAAAATGACCTTTCCCAGAGGAGCCCTGGGTCATCAAACCAAAAACATAATCACTCTCACGGGTTCAAGCTGTTCGGGCTGCAGCCAGGGCAGGGTGCTCCTATGGATATCGGTGTCATGCACCAAAGTTGATTGGTAGCATGGACAGGTGTCAATAACGAAGTGAATATTCAAAAAGACTCGCCTTTGCGCCACACAGGCACAGTGCCACGTGGAATAGTAATTAATATTGCCCTTTTTGAACTTGTGGCTGATCAGCACCACCTCTATTAGGCAATCCAGTCACGCTCACCTTTGCTTTTCCATTCGGTACTTTCCGCATTTCGGCATTTCGGCAAATTTTTGCGTCGCCACTGGCTACACATTGCATTGCGCCCTCGCTTTTTGTCGTTTCCCTTACTCCCCTTCCTTTGCCTAGCCCCACCATGGGCCCCTTCCTCTCCTTTTTATTCTCACCTGACGGTCGTTTCTGGGTCCCCATTCTAATCCACTTGTTTGTCACCTCCACCCTCCTCCTCCTCATCTTATTTGCACCCCCACCATTTCTGATGTCACCACTTCCTATCCGCTTCCGTCGCCGATCCGTTGACTACCACGTGCCACTGCTGATATCAGCAAAGCCCCGGCGGCCGGTCCAAATAGGGCAACAGGTCCATCTTCATGACGTCGATCTACCATCATATACTATCAAAACATCGGTCGCTCGTCTTGCCTGGTTGGAGCGTGGGTGGGTAATTTTTGAGCTGGAGAAGGTTCATCCCCTTGCGTCGCCCATGTTCATCGCTGTCCCATTCACTTGGGTACACTTATCATTTGTCCATCGTCTTCGCTACAGCTACACCTACCACACGCTGCCTGGGACTCACTTGTTCCAAATTGGAACTACTCCTCTCCCTCCCTCGTTTGATCAGGTGGTCCAACACAACCAGTCCATTGGTAAGGCCATGGAACTGTCAGATTTGGACTAGGTGGTGGACCGGTGGCTCCAGTTTCTTTTTCTTCAGCAGAACATTCATTTACAGTGCGATTATTTTTGATTTTTGAATCATTTTTATGGACACATATTTTTTTAGAATGCCTGACTGACAATAAAGGAACTGTGTTGATACTGATAGTGTTTTGCCTGCCTTTTTTTTACTGCATCTTCCCATGACATCATGATTTCCTGCTCTCCTTTTGCTATTGGACTTTACTTTATGGCTGTACAAACCTGTGACATTACTCACAGCATTTATTGTTCTATCCCTTTCTTTTCCTTTTTTTGATAATCTTATCCTGTACTACCTACGCAGGATTCATCAGCGTACATTCCTTCCTTCATATTCTTTCTCATTCTTTTTGCACAGCTATACTGTGCATAGCCTACTTTTCTTTTACTATATAAACCCCTGTATTTTACCTTGTAAAAACAACAAGAAATCCAATCCAGACTTCTTCTCTACTCTCAAGTTCACTACTCTGCTACTTGTGATCCAGTGTGGTCACAACACTTCCCACTTCTACCACTGTCAACTGCCGTCATCGTCACTTCCCACTTTTGAAGTCATTGTCATCCCTTTCGATTAGAGTCCTTCTGAGCACTACAGTTTGTGCGTCAGGAGCCTGCTATCACTGGGAACCTCGTCATATTGTCGTTCTCAAACCTACCTTGTGCTACGATTAGCAAGGTAGTGCTCGTCTATACTCGTCACAAAGCCCCTATCCTTCTATAAATTCAACTATCCCTCCTCCTCAAAACCCACACTCATACACCTCTGGGTTTTACTTTGAAGGATCTTTATACGTACCACCCCACGAACAACCAGACCACTCCACTGTTCTAGGAGGCAAAGCCCATAAACAAGTTCCGTGGAATCTGGGAGGATTGTGTGTTAGTTTGTTTTGTGTGTGGTTTTCTAACAGCAGTTCTCATCATCGACATCGGGTTGCCGCTTGCTGCAAACTCTTCAAAGTTGTTCTCGTCGTAGAGGTTTTCTACGGTTACTGGGGGATCGTGTTGTGTTGTGGGCAGTAGCTGTGGGTGGCTTCCTGCGTAGTACTGTAGCCAACGTGTTCTGGCTTCGTAGAAAGCGTCTGCTTGTTCTCTGCTGTGGAGTCGGGTTATGTCTGGTTGTGGAAAGGGAGGTGGTGCTGCTATCCTTTCTTGTCGGGATGACGTCGGTGGGGTTGCTGTTTGTGGGTTGTCTGAGCTTCCTCTTGCTCTCTGGGATCTGGTTGTTGGTCGTTGCGACGTCTTGTCAACTTTTTCTTCCCAAACCTAAATAGGTGGGACTTCTGGTTAGAATACAATTCTTTTGTTACGCACGAAGTGCTTAACAAAGTCTGAGGGTTTGTCGAGGTTTGTAAAGAGACTTATCCGAAGACAAGTTCAAGAACATAGTTCTGAGTGGAGGTTTTCCAACGGGAGTTGGTCTTCTTCTGAATAGAAGTCTGATCTTAGGAGTCTAGCTTTGTAAGCGTAAACTGCGTAGAATCGTATTAGAGAATACTACTGCTGTTACATGGTATTTATAATGGAAAGGAATCGGTGATAGGAGTTAGGTCCTATCTAGGGCAGGTCCATCTGTTGAGGACTAAGTACTATAATAGGTACTGTGAATGCGAGAGGAACGGAAGTGTACGTGAAGGAAATGAGTCATCGGTCCGATGGTATAACCAATGAGTAAAAAGAAATGAGTAGTCCTTAAATGTCCAAATAGAGATCGTAACAGAAAGTCTTTTCTACACATAAATTGGAGCGCTTCCCAGAGGCTAAGCCCTGGGACCATGCTATAGAATTGAAGGATGCCTTCAAACCGAGAAAAGGACACATAATACCACTTTCTGCTTCAGAAAGAGATGAAGTATCAAGTTTCATAGACGAACAGCTTAGGAAGGGTTACATCAGACCTTCCAAAAGCCCTATGACATCCCCGGTGTTCTTCATCCCTAAAAAGGATGGTAAGAAGCGCATGATTATGGACTATCATTACGTGAATGAGCACACGGTTAAAAATGTTTATCCGCTGTCGATGATGAGAACTGCTGTTAGAAAACCACACACAAAACAAACTAACACACAATCCTCCCAGATTCCACGGAACTTGTTTATGGGCTTTGCCTCCTAGAACAGTGGAGTGGTCTGGTTGTTCGTGGGGTGGTACGTATAAAGATCCTTCAAAGTAAAACCCAGAGGTGTATGAGTGTGGGTTTTGAGGAGGAGGGATAGTTGAATTTATAGAAGGATAGGGGCTTTGTGACGAGTATAGACGAGCACTACCTTGCTAATCGTAGCACAAGGTAGGTTTGAGAATGACAATATGACGAGGTTCCCAGTGATAGCAGGCTCCTGACGCACAGACTGTAGTGCTCAGAAGGACTCTAATCGAAAGGGATGACAATCACTTTTCAAAAGTGACGAGTGACAATGACAGTAGTTGACAGTGGTAGAAGTGGGAAGTGTTGTGATCACACTGGATCACAAGTAGTAGTGAGTAGTGAACTTGAGATTAGAGAAGAAGTCTGGATTTGAGTTCTTGTTGTTTTTACAAGGTAAAATACAGGGGTTTATATAGTAAAAGAAAAGTAGGCTATGCACAGTATAGCTGTGCAAAAAGAATGAGAAAGAACATGAAGGAAGGAATGTACGCTGACAAATCCTGCGTAGGTAGTACAGGATAAGATTGTCAAAAAAAGGAAAAGAAAGGGATAGAACAATAAATGCTGTGAGTAATGTCACAGGTTTGTACAGCCATAAAGTAAAGTCCAATAGCAAAAGGAGAGCAGGAAAATCATGATGTCATGGGAAGATGCAGTAAAAAAAGGGCAAGGCAAAACACTATCAGTATCAACACAGTTCCTTTATTGTCAGTCAGGCATTCTAAAAAATATGTGTCCATAAAAATGATTCAAAAATCAAAAATAATTGCACTGTAAATGAATGTTCTGCTGAAGAAAAAGAAACTGGAGCCACTGGTCCACCACCTAGTCCAAATCCGACAGTTCCATGGCCTTACCAATGGACTGGTTGTGTTGGACCACCTGATCAAACGAGGGAGGGAGAGGAGTAGTTCCAATTTGGAACAAGTGAGTCCCAGGCAGCGTGTGGTAGGTGTAGCTGTAGCGAAGACAATGGACAAAAGATAAGTGTACTCAAGTGAATGGGACAGCAACAAACATGGGCGACACAAGGGGATGAACCTTCTCCAGCTCAAAAACTACCCACCCACACTCCAACCAGGCAAGACGAGCGACCGATGTTTTGATAGTATATGATGGTAGATCGACGTCATAAAGATGGACCTGTTACCCTATTTGAACTGGCCGCCGGGGCTTTGCTGATATCAGCAGTGGCACGTGGTAGTCAACGGATTGGCAATGGAAGCAGATAGGAAGTGGTGACATCAGAAATGGTGGGGGAGCAAAGAAGACGAGGAGGAGGAGGCTGGAGGTGACGAGGAGGTGAACTAAAATGGGGATCCAGAAATGACCGTCGGGTGAGAATAAAAACGAGAGTAAGGGACCCATGGTGGGGCTAGGCAAAGGAAGGGAAGTGAAGGAAACGACAAAAGCGAGGGCGCAATGCAATGTGTAGCCAGTGGCGACGCAAAAATTTGCCAAAATGCCAAAATGCCAAAAGTACCGAATGGAAAAGCAAAGGTGAGCGTGACTGGATTGCCTAATAGAGGTGGTGCTGATCAGCCACAAGTTTGAAAAAGGCAATATTAATTACTATTCCACGTGGCACTGTGCCTGTGTGGCGCAAAGGCGAGTCTTTTTGAATATTCACTTCGTTATTGACACCTGTCCATGCTACCAATCAACTTTGGTGCATGACATTGGCCTTTACCAGATTAAGGAAGTTAAACCCAATACAGTGGAGCTGAAACTCCCAAAATGGATGAGGGTAGTACCCACGGTCAATATTAGCCGTGTGAAACCCTACAAAGGGCTGCTGCCGGGTCAGTGCATGGACTGGCCCGGACCGGTTGTAGTCACCCAGGAAGGTGAGAAAGAGTTTGAAGTCAAACGAGTCGTGGATTCACGCTTGAAGCATGGAAAATTAGAGTTCCTAGTCCTATGGAAGGGCTATGGAGACGAGGACAGAACATGGGAACCAGAAACCCATCTGGACAATTCCCACGACACTGTTTGCAAATTTTATTCTAAAAATCCCTCGGCTCCTAGGAAGCTTAGAGGCATTGATTCAACACTTTTTAATTCCCTTTTTCAACCTATGCCCAAAAATTTGATACTACCTCTGGTACTTGGTCTCACCTGGAAGTCAAGCCTTAGAGGGGGGTAGTGTTACAATACACAATTTTTGGACCTTTAAATTTCATTCTCCTCTTTAACTTTCTTCTGTAGTTTTTACACACTGTGCCATGCAGCATTTTCTATTTTTGTTCAAACTCCACCTTCTCGCTCTGCGCTGCCTTTTTTTATTTTTAGCTACAAAGTATCTCACACAGTGGAGCTGGTCACATGGGCTGCACCCTATGACATCATCAGCCACTGCCCCCATCAACTATATAGTACATATGTACAAACAACCTGTAGTAGTATAAATACCCAATAGATCCAGGAGACCCCTCACCAAGTCCTCCTGTTGTTTACCCACAACTAACTTGGTCCTATCCTAAGGGTAACCACTCCCCTCACTGTTACGATAACACATTTTCAGACCTTTAATTATCATTCTCCTCTTTAACCTTTTTCTATAGTTTTCACACATGGTACCATGCAGCACCTTCCCTTTTGTTCAAACTCCTCTTTTTCGTGCCACGCGGCCTTTCTTCTTATTTTAGATACTAGTATCTCACACAGTAGAGCTGGTCACACAGGCTGCGCCCTCTGACATCATCAGCCACTGCCTTCATCAACTGTACAGTACACATGTACAAATAGCTTGTAGTAGTATAAATACCCCAATAGATCAAGGAAACTCCTCGGCGAGTCCTCCTGTTGTATCCTCACAACTAATTTGTTGAATCCTAAGGGGTAATCACTCCCTCATCTCTTTCTCTTTTGCTTGTCTGAGTTGTGCGCCGGAGTAAGAAACTCTAGGTTGTTACACTCACTACCTTTACAGCTTTGTCTGAGTTGTGCATCAGAGTAACAAACTCTTGGTCGTTACAAATGCATGCTGTAATAATGTAGGTGCAAAGCTTCTTATATAACAGACAGATGTAAATACCATGTGAAAATTAATGATAGCCACAAAAGGCTGGTTATAATCACAGAATAAAACTTTGGGCAAAGCTCCAAAGTTCTCTTATGTAATATAATTTCTACAGTAACAAAGAAGATTCTGTGGATTGTTACGACAACACAATTTTTGGACCTTTCCTTTAATTTTCATTCTCCGCTTTAACCTTTTACTGTAGTTTTCACACTTCATGCCATGCGGCACTTTCCTTTTCATTCTAACTCCACTTTCTTGCACAGCACCGCCTTTATTCTTCTTTTAGACACAAACTCTCTCATGCAGTGGAGCTGGTCATGCGGGCTAGGCCCCATGACATCATCAGCCACTGCCTTTATCAACTATACAGTACATATGTACAAATAAACTTGTAGTAGTATATATACCCCAATAGGTCAAGGAGACTCCTCAGCGAGTCCTCCTGTTGTATCCTCACAACTAACTTGTTGAAGTCTAAGGGATTTATCCCTTTCTCATTTTCTCCACTCTTTGCCTGTCCTAGTTGTGCGCCAGGGTAACAAACTCTTGGTTGTTACATGGATGTGGATGTTCATCAGCAAATGATTTGGAGAAGACCTACCTCCAACAGAGCTACACTGCAATAACCAATCTGTGATTGCACTATCTAAAGACAGTTAGTGTCACACCTGCACCAAGCATATCAACATATATTATCACTTTATCCAACATGCTATTGAAGATGGAAAAGTCAAGATCAACTATTGCCCAACTGAAGACATGATGGCAGATGTACTCACAAAAGCTTTGCCCTCATTCAAGGTCAATCACTTTGCAAGCACACTTGGACTCTGTACAGCTTGAGGGGGAGTGTTGGAAGTACATGTACATGAGACTCACAAGCATTGTATGGTGTGGTGCATAGATAAGAAGTGGTGCAGGCACCAAAATGGGAAGGTGCAGTGATTGAGGTGGCCCATGTACCCAATATACAGCATCAGAAATTTTGTTTCTGTTTTCACATATATACACTGTTGTTGTCAGGCAGACACCTCAGATCTTCTCTCAAAGTCTGAGGTGACATCCTTTTATGTTAAACTTACAAGTACTTAGCTCATACTTTATTTCCAGTCTTTTGTCTTGTTCAGGCTAGGTACATAATCATGAATATTACAGATCTTCTCTTAAAGTCCGAGTCTTTTGTCTTGACCAAACCCAAACAACTTGACTCGTAACCTCTGAAAGGGTTAAAACAATGTCATTCTTGATTGTGGTTGCTACTGTAGTGAATTGTATAACATTCTGCAGTGAGAGACCATGATAATGGTTGAGGGTGTGTACACGTGTGCGATAAGGGTGAGTTCAACTATGTTTCAACGTGGCAAAAGAAATCCAGGTGCCTCCGTTTTTGGGGCGTGCGAGCTTATTATATAACGTTTTGCAGAGGAGCGAAGTTGGCGCAGCCAAGGTTTTCGGAAAGCGCTGTAACACCTCTTGACGTGTTCAAAGCACATTAGCACGATGTCAAATAGTGTCAAAGAGAACTCCTACCTGGCCCACTCGATCCCCAATGAGCGCCGACACAATATGCCCCCAACCAATGGGTCAGCAAGTGCGAAAGAACCTCTGCTCGGCTTTTTACCAAGAAAAGTGACTGGACCACAAGTCCGGAAAGCCTTGGTAAATATCCATATATTTTTGCTTCTTATCTATGCTGGGAAGTTATGTTCCCTGGAAACTGAGACAAGCTTCGACGGTCACTTTATGTTAGGATCACGATATCAATGCATTCACAAAGCTACCACATACACCGCAATATAGGAAGATTTTGGAGGCACGCAAGAAGCTGCCTGTGTATGCACAGATGGATGAATTCTATAAAATGGCGAGTACTCTTTTGCATCTTACAGACGCTGGAGTGTAGGGGACACCAACGCCTGTTAGCAAGCACTACTGTCTTTTTCATCCTCGTCTGACATGTCTCATGTGAAATTATCGTTCGTGAGCTCATGAAATCATACAGTTCACCAGTAATCAGATCATCGTGATGGTCGGTGAAACTGGTTCAGGAAAGACGACACAGTGAGTTGATGACCTACCTCCGTTGTTCAAACATCTTTGAACAATAGCTTACAGAGAAATCTATCTTCACTATTAGAATACCACAGTTTGTCGCTTATACGGATTTACCTCACACCAAGGGAAAATTGGTCGCATGCACGCAGCCTCGTCGAGTAGCAGCCATGTCAGTGGCTAAACGCGTTGCCGATGAAATGGACGTTGAACTTGGGAGACAAGTCGGTTACTCAATACGTTTTGAGGACATGACTGAGCCTGGCACTACTTTTCTCAAATACATGACGGATGGTATGCTTCTCCGGGAAGCAATGAATGATCCTAGCCTCGATCGCTATTCAACGATCATCCTCGACGAGGCTCACGAACGCACTCTCGCCACTGATATCCTGATGGGTCTCCTAAAAGATTTGGCCAAAAGACGTTCAGACCTCAAAATTATAATCATGTCTGCGACACTAGATGCACTCAAGTTCCAGAAATACTTTGGCCTAACAAGTGATACGGCAGCGCCACTATTCAAAGTTCCGGGACGTACACATCCTGTCGAGGTATTTTACACCCAAGAACCAGAACCGGATTATGTTGAAGCAGCAATTCGTACTGTTCTCATGATACATCGAGCCGAGGATCCCGGAGATGTGTTGCTCTTCCTTACTGGAGAGGAAGAGATCGAAGATGCGTGCCGCAAGATCAAACTCGAAGCAGATGACCTGGTAAACCAGGACCCAGACTCTGTGGGTCCTCTTATCTGCATCCCCTTGTACTCGTCGTTGCCGCCACAGCAGCAGCAGCGGATATTCGACCCACCGCCATCAGCACGGTCTCCTGATGGACCCCCTGGGCGCAAAATCGTAGTCTCGACCAATATTGCAGAGACATCGCTCACCATTGATGGAATAGTGTATGTTGTCGATCCTGGGTTTTCGAAGCAGAAGGTTTACAACCCGAGAATCCGAGTGGAGAGCTTGCTAGTCAGCCCGATATCTAAGGCGTCAGCGCAGCAGAGGGCGGGACGAGCTGGTCGTACTAGACCTGGGAAATGTTTCAGGTTGTACACGGAGAAAGATTTTATGTCAGAATTGGAGGAGCAAACGCACCCCGAGATTTTACGAAGCAACCTTGCAAATACTGTCTTAGAGTTGGTTAAGTTAGGGATTAAAGTAAGGCTCACTCCATGACACTTTTTTGACGTACTGAAGCGGTGTGCATTTATCTGGCTAGGATCTTGTAAAATTTGACTATGTAGACGCTCCAGCACCTGAGACTTTAATGCGGGCATTGGAGCTCTTGAATTATTTGGCGGCATTGGATGATGACGGTAACCTAACGCCTCTAGGTACCATAATGGCGGAATTCCCGCTAGATCCTCAGGTACGCAAAGATATCGAACTAGTCGACGTACTCGAAATAACGGTTTTCTACGTATAGTTGGCGAAGATGCTAATTGTGAGTCCGGAGTTCAAGTGTAGCAATGAAATATTAACTATCACCGCAATGTTGTCTGGTGTGTTATACTTCGACAGCTATGTCCCCCGCCCATTGACTTGCTGATTTTGCAGTACCAAATGTATGGCTACGACCAAACAACCAACGGAAGGAGGCAGATGCCGCGAAAGCCCTTCTCACTGTCCCAGATGGTGATCATTTGACCATGCTCAACGTATATAACAATTACATACAGAGTACGATCCCTTCTTCCCGAAGTATATTCTAAGCTGATATCATGTTCATAGACAAGTATGATAAGAATTGGGCTTGGACCAACTATCTTTCTGCCCGAGCACTTGCACAGGCCGAGAACGTTCGGGACCAGTTGAAGCGTACTATGGAGCGATTTGAGGTCGAGCTTGTGTCCATCGTGGACCCCAACAAATTGTACCTGGCAGTCCGGCAAGCGCTTGTATGTGGCTTTTTCATGCAGGTAGCCCACAAGGAGGGCGACAAAGGGAACTATTTGACAGTCAAGGACAACCAAGTACGTGATATCTGATCATGTTGTTGTTGAGGTACCGATTAGGAGCATGCTTAGGTTGTTGGACTGCATCCATCATGTGGCCTTGATGCACAGCCAGACTGGGTAATTTTTAATGAGTTTGTTTTGACAACACGACCATATATCAGAACGGTAACGGATGTACGCCCTGAGTGGTGAGTGGGATGATTCGTTGGTCGCGATAGTCTTTTGTTTTATTTGCTAATGCCCTACACAGGCTATTGGAGTTTGCTTCGGTGTATTTCGATTTGTCTTCTTTCCCAGATGGGGAAACGAAGCGGGCGCTGCAACGTGTGGCAAACAAGCGCGCAGGTAAATCTGGCCGGGTAGGTGACGACGGGGATGGGGCCAAGAAGAAGAAGCTAAAAAAGAGCAAGTAGTGGTATCTTCGCGATTGCTCATATTTATGTGTAGAGTTGACTTCAGGTCTTAATCTCTGGATAATGAATAGAATCTGAGAGCAGACCTGTTTGCAAGGACTATAGTACTATTGATGGTATAACTTACGACATTGTGGGACTTAGGCGCTATTGTGAAGCACGACATCAGACATGATCATGTTTCAAAGACTAAGGGGTCAATCTAAATATTGTATGCTCTTATCAGATC